GCTATCGTCTACTATTAACTTTAATCATACCTGTTTTCTGTTTCTTTTTCTTCACTGTTAATACAATTGCTGTTTGAGTTATGTTGGATAGCAAGCGAATAATCCAAGAGAAAGAAGAAGGCAACCATCCCTTCTCTCCGTAAAAACATGATAAATTGTACTTTAAAAGCTGAAAAATCAAATGTTATACAATTAGCGAACGAATGAATCAAATAATAGCAAGTGCAAAATGACTGATTAGGCTAATTAAAAAAAAGAAAAAAACAAGAAAAAGAAACCCAAAAAAACAGAAGCGCGATTTTTTTTCGCCTAATTGCTACGTACTAGTGATGAAAATGCATAGAGAAAGGCATCTACCAACAAGAGGCCTCGTGGCCCAATGGTTAAGGCGCCTGACTACGGATCAGGAGATTCCAGGTTCGACTCCTGGCGGGGTCAAATTTTTATAGCTAGTTTCCTAGTTGCAGGTCTAGTTTAATAAACAATTCCGGATAGAAAACCAAGTTTAGTGATACACCAATATTAACAGATAAATGTGTGCCTACTGCATGATTGAATCATAAAGAACAGAAGGGTTTATTGTATACTTCTTTGCTTAAACTTTACGAACTTATCCAAGTTCAATTCAAATATTCTTGCGACTTTAGCTCATCGTTTATAGTCAGTATTGTACAAAAATGTAGTACTGATAATGAATAAGTGAATATAGTCATATATTATGACACTTATCAAACAAAGTTACTTACATTAACCCTACTAAAATCATACATTCAAGTTCTCCGAATTACTGAAAATCTTGAAATTGAAGCGAATAATGATTTATTCGCGCTATTAGCCATATTAGAGCAATGGTTAAGATAGATTGGTTAAATAATGACTTAGAGATTACTTGTTATTTTCAAAAACTTAGAAGCTTAATAAATTCTAACTTTCAGAAAGATTTATTTTTGCTTAGATTAAAACTGAGACGCGTCGCGTCGCGGTGTCAACTACTGTTCCTAAAAGCATACAAGCTTATCCTTAACCATATAATTACCAATGGATATCTAAAAAAAAAGGAATGTCTCAGAATACAATTCCAACTCCTAAAAAAGTAATTGAACCTTCTGTACTAAATAATCATTTTGCTAAGGATCAGGAAGATGAAGACTTACGGGCCAAAAGAAGAAGAAGGCGTACCACAGACGCTGAAGCATCTATTTTAGAGCAATACTTTTTAAAAACACCTAAACCAAATCTTTTGGAAAGGCAAGAACTTAGTAAAAAACTAAATTCTAGTATGTCTCCGCGAGAATTGCAAATTTGGTTTCAGAATAAACGTCAATCACTGCGTAGAAACAACAGCTTACTCCGCGGTCGTTCGGATTTTGAAATAGAAGGTATAGCTCCCAAAAGAAAATCGATGCTTACTCTTTGTGAAAGCCAGAATGGAGAAGCCGAACTATTTTTTTTGAAGAAGACAGTCGATAAGAGCACTAATTTGGAAAGTAAAACGGCCAGACAAACTAGAAAAACCGAGAGTTCTGAAAATATTAAAACGTTACTCTCTACCAAAGCTGATCAGCCTCCTTCGCCGAGCGAAGATAATTATTCGTCCCATAAAGAATTGGAAGAATGCGCCAAAAGTCTAATTGAATTACAACAAAGAAATAATCACGCTCAGCTTCAATGAAGCTCTAATCTTAACGTTAATGCATAACTCACAACATTTTCATTAGAATTTACAATAGACTAAGTAATGACATATATTCCTCGTTTGCGGAATTCATATTAAGGGAAGATGAGAGCTCAAGGTCTAAATATCACTTGGAATGAGATGATAGTACTTCATTCAGAAAATTATCCGACGATAAAATTGTATCTGAAGATACAGTTTCCTGTAGCGTGGTGCTCGACTCATAACTTGTAAAGGCTTCCGTCGGCAAAGAGGGATATGAAATAGCATATGGAGGTGACGAGTTTAACGTTGAGCTTTGATTTATTTTATGTTCTTCGATCTCATCATTTTCAGTTCGATTAGTAACTTCATTAACCATTGTTTCGTATTCATAAAGTCCACTATAGAGTTCATTTTTCCTTAAATTTCTTCGTAAGCAATTCCTGGTCTTTTGACAAATCAGGTCGTTTAACATTTTTTCAGATGAGTTGCCATTCGATCCAGCTCTATTAAGGATTCTGTTTATTGAATTAGAGTACTTATGAGCGAAGAACATCGTGTTCGAAAATTTCTAAACCATGTTTCCACATTAGCTAATATCTTAAACAATATGAGCGCGTTATACCTTATAAAGATTCGGCTGAAATGATAAAGGACATTTACGGCTAAGGACATTCACAATGTTCCTTAGCAAAGCCTCATATAATAAATGGGCTACAATCTTGGAACTGCAATCAAACTCAGAGACATCATTTTGTCGAAAGTCGCAACTCATTATTAGTATAAGTAACTCCCGAACGGATTCTGGCTTAACAGAGAATTTTGGAGGACTAATAGTGACTAACCAGTAAGTATCATGAGTATAAGCTTATACATACATCTCACCATATGTCCGTTCACCTCAGAATTCAGCAGTACGGAGAATTCCAGCTTCTTCCAAACCTACTATAAGTAAGTCATTCAGACAGATAGAACGTACAGGAAAACTAGCGATCTCATTTCCCAAAGAATAGCACGTTAAAGAATCGACGGGCTTTCCATTAAGGCGAACTTTAACTATAAACTTCAAATAACCTGTTAACTAAAGTACATTAATAAAGAAAATATACTTCAAAAGGAGAGGAAATAATGCTTTCAATATCTTCCTCCAAAGAGTTCCAAATTTCTTGAAATTCATACTCCAACAGGAAGTCTTTGATGGGGCTATATATTCTATGCATAGAACAATAAATTTAGCAAACAGAAGTGTAATGTACAGATATGACTTTCAGACTAATGGGTAAGACAAAGGAAAGACGCGACGCGTAGCATTACGTCTTGTGAGTCTTTCTTTGCGACTTGATCATCACTAATGAAATGAATGTCCCAACAAGGCAAATTCCAAACAGCATTAATGATACTGGTACAACGATAGCCCATTCACGATCTAAGAAGAACTTCTGGGTTGGGTTCATCCCGTCAACAAAGGGCTAGTTTACAATAATTACTAAATAGAAACAAAAAACACAATTACCATTATTAGAATCCATATAGTATAATAAATAAAGGCAGCCGTAAACAGATAGATTAACATCTCTTAATGTATATTTCAGCCTTTCGGACGTTTATGAATCAAACGATTTCCGTCACGCTCTATTCAATAAAATATTATTTTGCTCAAACAACGTAGTAATGTTCAATTAAGATAAGCTTAATATCAGCAAGCAGTTGAGGTTGGTTAAAGCAGAGTTTCATGCCGCAGTACGATTTACTATGATAAATAAACATCCTGATTTACAAGTTGTAGGTATAAACTAGATAGATGATTCCAAACTGTCAATCACTACAGAAAATAGAAAGAAAATTATTTCTTGTACAAATGATCAATAAAACTGTTTTATGTAAAGTTAATTTTATTACCGATACTACATTGAAAAATTTTAGGCAATTCCCCTAAGAGCACGTCTGCGGTCTCGCTCTTCAGTGATGCTAAGCTTGACACCCTTGCCCTTGGGCAAAGAGATCCAGCTCTTGTTGGTCTCACCAATGACGAAGACGTTGGAAAGACGGGTAGCAAACTCACGGTCCAAGGCATCCTTGACGTGAATGATTTCAAAAGAACCAAGGTGGTGTTCACGGTGAATAATGGTACCAACACGACCCATGTTACGGCCACCAGTGACCATGACTTGGGCAGAAGTATCGAACTTGATAAATCCTTCGATCTTGTTAGTTTCCAAGTTGAGCTTGATGGTGTCGTTGACCTTGATCAAAGGATCAGGATAACGAATAGTGCGGCCGTCATGAGTGACGAGGAAGGGAATACCCTTGGCACCCAATTGCACACGCTTGACCTTGCAAAGCTTGTACTTGGCTTCTTCAGCAGTGATACGGTGAACGGTGAAACGTCCCTTAACATCATAGACAAGACGGAAGTGTTCACCAGTCTTTTCAATGCTAATGACATCCATGAAACCAGTAGGGAAAGTGTTATCAGTACGGACCTTTCCGTCGACCTTGATTAAACGTTGCATGAGAATGGCTTTGACCTCACGACCGTTCAAAGCATACTTGAGACGGTTGCGCAAGAAAACAATCAAGGGAAGGCACTCACGTGCCTTATGAGGACCAGCAGAAGGCTTAGGAGCATAAGTACCGGATAACTTGTCCAAAAGCCAGTGGTGAGGTGCGGCCACACGCTTCAGGTGCTTTTTGGGGCCTCTTACCATTTTTGTTTCAGTTGGTTCAAGGAAGATTCAAATAGGGCATCACCTAGTCTCTTGTGAATATTCGCCAAACAGTGACTGCTCACAACAAAAGAACCCTACCCTAAATGCTTATATAAATACATGACATATAATAATAACAATAAAGAAGAACCGCCTTCGTTTAAGAAAATTATATATTCGTATTAATCAACCATTCGAATCTGAAAACTATTTATTCATAGTTCTCAAAATGCTAGTGAGATCAAGGTTATAGGAATTCACGAGACGATAGAAGAAGGAATTGGGTGAAAAAACGCTATATTAAGAATACAACGAGTTGCCGTTCTAGTGTTTCCAAGCAGTTTGTAACAATTTTTTAATAATGAATGCTTATATTGTCTTCCAATCTGAAGGGTGGAAATAGCTTAATATTAACTTGAGTAAGATAAGTAAAAGACATGTATATGGATTCCGAAAACGCTGGGAGCGATACATCGCTCAGCAAATGGAAAAACAAATGCGCCATATGCAAAAGTAAATAAATGCTTTAACCGAGCAGATCACCTTAATAACTCAAGAAAGAATGGAAGAAAAAATGAGCTGAATGGAAATTGATGAAGACTTATCTCTGAGAAACCAATTGACCTTATCGAAATGGTAGAAAGTATATATGGCGAAAGAGTTAAACTATATTTATATCGAATAAATATGAAAGAACTAGCGATCTATAAGCCGGATAAGCATGCACTGAACGATTTTTTGTAAGATTTGCTCACCGTTTACGAAACGGTGCCTTTGGTATTCCCGACTGATCGTGAAAAAATCAATTTGCAAGTTCACCATCGGGAACATATTAAAGAGATCATTAAGAAACCGGGAGCCCAGAAAACTCTTGATAATGTATTTGAAAAAGTTTTTCTCAGCGGTCAAGATGACTCTTGGTTAAAAACTCTACATGAACATATAGATAAAGCAAATAATTCTGATTTCGTTTTTCAAGAATACAGAGATGGTTTTTAAGTTCAGACGCTGAAACAAACATAAAGATTAGTGCGTTTTTGTGTCAGAAAATGCATAATCGAAAACAGTTTATAATAAAATAATATTGAAAAGGGAGATCCTTTTAAAACCATGAAGGAAACAAAATAAGCGTTTTTATAACTCACCTACAAGACCAGGAAAATTAAATCGTCGACAATACGTACCGCCAAAGCAAAATACCTGGAAACATGTCAAGAACGAAGGAATCAAAAATTTCGATGACACCAAAACAATGATGAAACCTAAATTTAATGAATGACTAGAGGATGGTTTCAGTCACAAAAGAAATCAAACTGTCTATAAATCGAGTTGATGTGAACGAACAGTTTGCTTCCCACAAGGGAAAACCTTCTCAATATCAAGAGGTCAAAATATCAATCTCAAAGTAAAGGCATTTATAAATACTGGTGCCAACGTGTCAATATTAAGAGGAGATTTTAAAACCAAAAAGAATTATCAACTATGAAAGAAAAGGTGCTAAAATTACCAAGTCAAAGCCGAATCCGCGAAAGTTACTCAAACTTTATGTGCGCACCATTAGTAGTTCCAAAAATAGAACAGATAAATATCGCATGGTTATAAACTTTAAACGCGATTACAAAGATGGATAATTATCAAATTTTATAGGAATTATAAATTGGCTAAGCGTAGCAAAAGCTTTTAGTACATCGGTTTGAAGGAAGCATATCACTTGCTTAGAGTTTAGAAAGGTGATGAACATAAAACTGCCTTTAAAACTCTCACCGGAACATACGAATTACAATAATGCCGTTTGGATTAACAAATGCGCCGGCAGATTTTCAGAGATAGATTAAATAATAATATATTACAAATGGTAAACAAAAAATTAAAACGAAATACAGAAATCAAGATACAAATGGTCGGAGAATAAAGACACGTATACAGTTGATTATCTATTCATAAAATCTATTGTCAATTTGATTAACAAAGCTATATATACCCTTGTGTCTACAGTCAAAATCTTGAGATTGGAAGATTCGACTGGTGTGTGGCTAAATAAGATCATCGAGACACTTTCAATTTAGCTAACCAGATCCCTGGACATTACTAGCATATATATACGTAGTACACCAAAGTAAAAATTAACGTATACAGCCCTGTAATTGTAGTTATTACTTCCACTTGATATTTATTCTCATAACCCGTGAGAATTACTAATGTGACAATATGATACCCGGCGCACTGTGATAGAATAAAATGATTTCATATACTTAATTGTAGTTTGATTAATAAGAAAATCTACTTATGTATTCACTCTTAACAAATATTAAAGTGTACTATTGATTCTCCTGCAAACACGAATACAAAACGATTCGGTTTTGGTATCCTCTTTCTGAGATTAGATCCTAACCATCATCTTTTACTTCTTACAAACACCTACAAAATAATCCCAAGCTTTAGTTTATTTTTTAAGTTTAAATATAGCTAGCAGCACTTTATCCTACCTACTTGCGACAGTTTCAAAAACAGTATCGTTATGCAAGGATTCGTATAATTGAAAGTTCAGTTAATGTATAAAATCAGAGACACGTTATATGTTTAAAGTATCATAATACGACTGACTGTATACGGAATAGTGAAACAGAGTGTGCACTAATGAAGTATTATGACTTTACAATTGGGGTGATATGCCACGACGGAACTAAAACCATAATTAACGGAAGTAGCGAATAATTCTTACTTGAGAATTGGCAATTATCTTTAAAAGAAATTGGCAAAACACAATGGCTAGAAAGTCGCTTATTCAATTTGTCAAACATTTAACCAGTACGTTGTAGCAACGAGAAGGTTTACTAACAGAGCAGAGTCTTCTGCTGAACGACATCCCCATCCTGCTGTTCCGTTTGCTTTACCTTCTAGCTTCTTTTCTAAGGGGGTAACATCTTCTAATGGTTCCTCGGAAAGCAATTTCATTGCAAGCGATAGAAATGAACTCTCACCGCGTTTTCATCGTATGCCAGTTAGCGACCTAGAAATGAATATTATTGAATCGGGTGGTGCTTCTGTCTTTTAAATTCTATTACAATACCCCCTTTAACAGAGAATTGGTTACGTCTAATAAATTACTTTATGATCAGCAAACATCAATTGTCTATTTTGAATTCGAAACAAAATTAATAAATATATTTAGTTAAAAGAAAGACGTAGAATCCCTATTAAATTGAGGAATATTTACCGTGAATATGCCAAGATGAGGCCGAGACTTTATTAAGCTGACGTACGATTGGGAATATTGCAATAATACAAAGAAAGATAGAAAGGAATATACCGACAATAGATGTAAAATAGTAGCCATCTCTTTTATATATACAGTGACCGCCTGAATCCATACACTGATTTTTCAAGTCATCCGTAATGCATTGCAGGCTATCATCTGTGGAACAATAAGAAAACGTTACCCAGTCTGTTAGCTTTAGCATAATATATTGAGGCCATGTACCGCCTAAGTTGCTTAACGTGTTTAGAATCTATAACCGAAATTAGCTTTCGCTATCGCACTAGCTTTTCATACCGTCATATATGTACCCCCGATGGCAGGGTCAGAGATTTGACTATGGAACACTCCAATTGAAACAAATTGGACTGTCATAAAGGAAGCGTTGAGAGTGTAGCATACGAGAATGGAAAGAAACATCGAAAACTTTTCAGAAAAATGAGCGACTGCATACACGAGTGCAATGTTAAATAATATAGAAGATGTTCGGCCCCAATAACCCCATAGCCATACATAGAGAGGCCGATTGTTACTAATATGTCCAATGTATACGCCCAATATCAAACCCAACGGAAAATTGATTAAAATAATTAAGGAAAGCATTGCTTTGCTTAAACCAAACTCTGTTGCTTTTAAAAGGGTCAAAGTTTCATTAGCGACAAATCCAACTTTACCGAATAGATGAACCACCATAAGCTGTTTCATATCTAAGAAATGTTAACTGAGTTGCTTTACTAATTTTAAACTTACTCTTCAACGAAAGGATGTCTCGAATTGAACGAAAAGTATCCCTCATGCTCGCTACACGGTCAGGTTTCTGTTCTTCCCAAAACAATACGAAAATAACTGAAATTAGGGTTATTAAAGCCCAGAAACGTATATAGCCACTCAAAGTAATGAGTCCTTCATCTAAAGGGCTTAGACGTAAAAGAGAATTTGCAAACTCAGGGGAAGTCAAAACTAACAAAACGGTAAATGAAAGAAAAAATCCTGTATTCAGGCCAACCGTTTGAGCAGTTGAAGCATAATTCAATTGATGAGCGTCAAGCATATTTAATGACCAACCATCCACTGCAATATCTTGAGTCGCACAAATGAAAACAAGGAAGAAACTCCAAACCGTGAAGGATTTGATATAAGAAGATCCTCTTTCAATCCATACATCTATGTTATAAGAAAAGAATAATAATGTGCAAGCTAGAAAGAACGTGCAAGGTGCTACCCATGTCTTGCGCCGGCCAAAATTGGGAAAGTAGTATGTGTCCACTATGGGACTCCAAAGCACCTTTAAACTATATGGATAAGCCGCCAACGAGTAAATCGCAATATCGGAATAAGTACAATGTGGCTTCAAGAAGTAAGGAATACTACCCTTAACCAATCCCATAGGCACACCTTGGATTAGATCTGACGTTTTGGTTAGCACATTTGGAAATTGGGTCCTTTAAATCAATTCGTAATAACAAGTACATACATAATAATATCAAAAAAACGATATTCTTTTTCTGCTGAAAGGATAGTGTTGTATATGCATCATGGGGCGAATCCCTACCATCAGGGACATCGTCTGTCAACATCTGAAATGTGTTTGATACAGCACCATTTTCTAAATCTTTTAATTCAATGGCACTACGGCCATGAGCCCTTTGATGCGGTTTCGAGAGCATAAAATATATTAATGAAATGATAATGAAGCAGGGTACGTCACCTAGAAAAGGTGATTATTAAGGAAAAAGAAAGGTAATCTTATAACCGAAAAGAAACCTATAATTCCATTCCACAATACCTCAATGCTATAGCACAGAATGGTTCCAACTGCATCCATGCACTTGCTATTATTACGTTAGTCAATGTAACATTCAAACTGCGAAATGCAGTACACTTTTGTGCACACCACTATATGAAACCATTTTATTTAGGAGTAAAGTAGTAGAGTAGAATCTTTTTAGTTTGTATTTATTTTTTACTTTCCATCCTTAACAGATTAGCCATTGAGCACTTATATTTTTTACTTATGTTAGAAAGATACTTTTTGTTTACCTCGTTTACATTTTAACAACATATAATATAATATACCTACTTCATGACTTGACGGATGGTTTTTCATATATATATTTAACAAATATGTTTATAAGAACATATTTTTGTTATAGCAGCATTAAAAAAGTAGTTTTTTTAATAAACAAGTTTGATTAGCTGTCTTTCGTTACTGTATTCAGCTTACAAAGTCTCAGACATAGGACTATCTGTACTTTTACATTTTTTTACAGACGGCCGACTTCAAATTCTATAAAATTAAAAGGTTTATTCTTGGCGCTAACACATGGAACATATAAGTTTTCTTTTAGTTTGTATCACGTAATTACCCGAAACTGCAAACTTTGGTAAATATTATATAAGCGGACCTGATCAAGTCCACTCTGACTTTTAACTATTATACCAACTGCGATCGTATAAACTAGAAAATATGAGTTTTCCTGCAAATGCCCACGTTTATATTCCTAAAGTCGTCCTCAAAGCTGGCGAAGGAGACAAGGTAAGTAAATTACTCGTTAGTTCGGCCACAAATGAAACAAATCGAAATTCAACGAAGCTAAGCTTTTTTTCCATTTCTTATGGATTTATCCCTTCTAGCTGGCGTTAATATCCCATATTTTTACCTTAGGTTCATCAATTGAGTTCAAGTTTTACTTACCCTGTAGGTCCTTAATTTATTGAGTGATGTGAGTACACATGTCCTTAAGAATGAACCTTTTACCTCATGCTACTACTTTGCTCGCGATGCTGCGAATCCAGATAGCATTTGGGGCATTGAAATTTATGACAACAAGGACGTCTTAGAAACTGCTCACAAAACCTCTTCCCCTTTCCTGAAGTTTGCCGGTTATCTCACATCTGAACAGGCCCCCATGACCGAGCCTCTGCAACTATTAAACTTTGAAATTGTTGATGGCTTTTTGAACAAAAATGGCGCTGGTGACTCTCCTGACGATTACGTTGTTTACACTGAATACAAGGCTTCTGGTAATCCTGATGAGTTAAAGAACCAGCTTACAGTGGATCAGCAAGCTGATACGAGTCTTATCCTTCACTCTTTGGATGATTCTTTGGTCTTTGCTACAGTCACTAGATATGCCAAAGGCAGTAAGCAACCTCAACCCGCCCAAATTCCAGGTGCTACTGCTACTAGCCAGCGTGTCATTTATTCCAACGTAGGATTTTTAGCACGCAGCTAAATGATTTGTCTACATTTAGGATATTGTTACTACTTGATAGAAACGATGATCGCTATCATAATGCCCATGAAGTATGAAATGATAGTCTTATTATGTCAAATTCACTATAAGTGAATTTTTAATCAGTAAAAAATGACCCATAAATCAATACGCTAATTAAACCAACCTTATGCAAGTGTAAACACCATTGATGAATAACTTTATTATTGCTATCATAAGAAAACTTAATCTTTAAAGATTTTGCTGTGCTTCGCCCTTCATAAAACAAATTACTTAGCTTCATAAACGTTCAAGCTGCGAATATCCCAGTATGCTTCTGTAAAATTTCCTGGGTGATTCGCAACAAAATCCTCACAAGTAGAAGGACATCCAGCGGCATTATAAGAGTTAGATCCGGCCCAATCACCGCAGAATGTAAGATCAAAGATGATTTTCTGTTGAGAAAATAATTTATCGATATTACATTTTGTGTTGGGAAAGTCAGCTAGAGGCGTTGGCCAATTATGAGGCTGAGGATTGTTTGAAGTGATGTCGGAAGGAATATGTGTACGATTAAAAACCCAAGCGCGAATACCCTCACTTCGCCAGTCAACAGCGTAAATGGCACCCCCTTTTTTATTTAACGAACTTCCAAACGAACCTTCCGCAGTATCCCCTACACCACAACCAGCGTTATTTGCACCTGGTGCATTAACCCAACAGTTACTTTGCAAGACTTTTCCAGTCATCACCTGCTTAACACCTGTCATATCGCAACCTTTGTCGGTATGTAATGTAACTTGGTTACTTTGAGCCGTATTGACATTTTCCATAATATCTATCTCACCGTCTTTGGGCCAGTTATCACCAGTTGTCCAAAATGCAGGCCACGTACCACATCCAGTTGGCGCGTGCAAAACATCAACGATAATCAGAACATTCTTAAAATATTCCTTAGTTGAGATTCGAACAGATGGACGGCCATTCGTGTAGTTGGACTTGCTATCAGCAGCCATAATCACATTGCTGCTGTTGGCGTGAATTAAACCCATTTGTTCACTAGCATCGCGATTCTTGTATTGAACGAAACCGTGTGTGGGATCCGTTTCGTTAAAAAAATCGAAGCCATCAAAAAATGACTCACCCTTGTATGTCTTATACAAAGAGTAGTTCTTTTCTTTGTACGAGGGATGACGGTGTCGTTCATGGGTACGATGGCCAAGGACACCACCCAAAACGGCTATCAGAAGAATACAAATAAAAAGAATGATACCAACCAGAATCTTTCTCTCATGTTTCTGATACCAGGGCTTTTTTATGCCGTCATGATTTTCATCATCAGTATTTAACTTACGAGTTTGTGGCTCATATTCCTGAGGATAAGTTCCACCTTTCTCCAAGTTACTGGAAAGGTCATCAGTCGAAAGACTTTGCTGAGAATAATGTGTAGCGGGAAGCATGATAGAAATCAGTTAATAGGCTTTAAATAGAGTAAATCGAAATATAACAAGAGAGATATAAAGGAGACTTCAAGATGTCGCGTGTAAAGTATAATGGATTATAAAAACAAACAGCAAGCGAAGCAGAAAAAGAAAACTATGCTCGTTGCTAAAGATCAAAAAGGAAGGAAAATATAATTATGAGGTTTCAAATATAAATTGATAAAAACCAAGCGTATAGCAAAAGAGTGAGAATTGAAAAATGAAAGCGCCTTCGTAAAAGTGAAAAAGCGATTAAGAAATTTAAAAAATGCACAGATGAAATGCCCCTTAAATACCAGAATATGAGAAGTGATTACTTCGAATAGTTAAAAAGTATGTCAACAAGTAGTCTGGGTATTGGAAAAGTAAAGCAGTTAATAACCAGTAAATATTACGAGTGAACTTAAAAGAATGAACAAATGGTAAATGAAAGACAAAGGTTAGACAGTGTCCTATGCTGACCCTCAACGCAAGTAGTTATTCAATGCAAAAATGCTTTATCCATATATAGACGTTTATAATCGATGCTAGGATATCCTTTATTCTTTTCTCGAAATTTTAATTAATCATAAACCTATAAGAAGACCTATTAGCGTTGCTATTCTCTCGCCTGTCTATTGGCAAAAGAAGTTGGTTGTAGTTCAGCAAGTACGGTATCGGTAAGTTATATAAACATTGAGGTAAGGTGAGGCTGTGTACGATTCTAGACGAGGTCACATTGTTACTTTTGGAGTTTGAAACTCAAAGTAAGTAAAAGCTAGCAACCGAAGACACACTATATGGCTTTGCGGGCAATTCCGATAGGTCAATTTCAAGATGTCGTCAACGTTCATTTACGCCCCTGAATAAAATAAACAATAAATAAATAAGCAAGCTAAAAATGAAGTGATTTAATAAACACACTTACGTATGTGTATCGAAAAACATGCGGGTTTGAAATCACTGTTTATACCTTGCAATATTTACCATGGAAACGCGGGTCGCTTTCTATCTTAAAACTGATGGTAAAACGAAAGCAAAACCACACTATAAGAGATAGGACAGCGAGAAATCCAATAGTCGTTTAGGTTCACCAGTATAAAAACAAAGCCGGAAAGACTATTAAAGCGAGCATTCAGCAGAAGCCTTTTCCATTTAGTTATGGATGGATTTAAGATTGTAATTTCTACCTCTTATGTTGTATTATAGCAGTGATACGATAGTCGCGTTTGTAAGATAACTATAACCGTGTAGAGGTTTGAAGGTCCCTTTACATTATGAATGGTAAGAAAGCATCACGCGCGCGAGTTTCTCATTGTATGAACGAAACTCGCTAATATAGAAATATTTAAATGGAAATCAATTGAGGTTATAATTTCTTTCATTTTATTTATGATTTCTTTTTCGACATACCCTTAAATCAGCAATCTCCAAAGACTAGTATTTGCTACAATAGAATCCTTTGAGAGCATCCGGTTATACTTGCCGCTAGCATGAAAGAGAGCTATCATTCATTAAAAAATAATTTCATTAGAGAAACTACTTCAGATGGTATTGTTGTCCCCGTTCTACTACTCATAGTGAGTAAATTATTTATTGACTAACTATCGTCTGCGATAGGCACGTGTGTAACTGCTTTTTGGCGCTACTGGTCAAAAGCGCTTTCTAAGTTACATTACTTTGGATGTGTTTCGTTTAGTCTGGTAGTAAATTATGCTTGGCCTTATGTTTTGGTACGTTCATCCCCATATTTACATCGTCGTTACCCGTTTGCTAATGTTTTCGTCTTATTAGGAATCTTTCCAACCTAATATATGCGAAAAAGAAAGAACACTTCTTTATGATAATATTCAGTATATAATCTATACTTCAGATTTGCTTGTCGGGGATCATAAGTTGCATTGTCAAGGAAATCTGAACTTTGGATCCTCTATTCCGATCCCAACTCCTCCATCTTTCTCTTCAAAAAAGTTATGGTATATTTTTACTTATCAATCTGTCTTGCAAATTAGTTATTGCTTAGGCTTCTACTGCGTGGTTTCATTACTTTGCAAATTCATATATCTTAAGCCCCTCAAAGTGGTCTTTTTCAGTTATCTTCTTTTCTCAATTGCTATAATATTTTGCCATTTTTGGGTATATTACACTCGCATAGCCAGTTTGGACAGCATATATCGTTTAACTCATGCTTTGCAAGCTTTCGAAGATGTTTCCAATCGGGTATACACTCAGATCTGCGAGCTAGGCCATCCGGATTACTTGTTAAGTTCCTCTGGTGGCTTATATCATCATACCCAAGTTTGTCAAATCAATCGAAACCAAGAATTGTTATCCCGAAAAGTATCCGATCTATTTGGAAAGCTGTTACCGTCATACCAAGCACTATTGTCAAGGCTATATCCATTTACAGCTCCATTTTTTTTAAGGGATCTTCTACTTCTCTACAAGCTGCCGAATTGTTTCACTAATACTTCTACCCCATTTTTACCGAAGCACAATTCGAATCCCAACCTCCAGCGAAATTCACTGTATTCTCTCCGGAAAGAGGCAATTGAATACAACTCTCATTCTAATGGGTCATTGCTTTTTTTGGTGAAAAGCTACTCTGATTTAACGATTATATCTAAACAAGTTCTTTGTTGTATACTGTCGTTTTCTGTACATACGTTCCCTCAAGAATGCACTTCCTGGCCAACACTGTGTCGTAATATTGACAGTTTTACTTCTGTGATTTTTGAAAATACCCAACAACTATCTTCATTCTCTCCCTCTATATCAGAAACTGGTGCAATAACTTCAGAAAACGAGCTTATTAATCATTCTCCTCATAACCATCTTTTAGATGTGAATAATCTTAAAAAGCATTTACAGAATTTACATTTTGCCATGCTTGAAACACATGGCAACATCAGTGTATACTTACAAGAAAATGCTAATACTGATTCCCATGAAGTAGCGTTAAAAGAGTACGATCACTTTGGTTTTCAGCTAAAAGGATTACTTTCTGAGTGGGAATTTTATCGTGATATGTTGAATTATTCTCCGAGAAAAAAAGAATAATTTCAATGCTTTCAGTAAGCATTGAAGTCTTATTATGAACATTAATTTTCAGCACGAAAATTCTGATAGAAGGTTCCTCAAATCTTTATGGCAACTACTCGTCCTAATGGAGCCAATTTTCTGTACTTTTTATTTTGGATTTACATGGTTATATCAAATTTCGAAGAAGGTTGCTTCATAATTTAATTTAATTTATTTTCAATTTATATTCCAAATTTAAGTACTGCTAAGTTTAGCGTGGAACAGTCAACAAATCTACTTAGCTATCCTGCTTTGATATAGAAGCGGTCTCTTTTTCTTGTAACTTAATTAATCATGCACGTTTTATAGATCATTATATATATATATATATTATTAGTTATATTACTGATGTTCTTTTGTTGTTAACTAAGCTTCCTTTCAATAAAAACGCTCGCAGTAAGGAGTTGCTATATTGAAAACTCGCAACCCTTATTTTTCTTATTTTTTTTTCTTTTTTAAAAGAAGAATCAAGAACTCTATTAGAACGGTCAACCAATGTTTAAAAATAATTGTTAAAGTTTACCGAGATAAACTTGCAATGTGTCCTCTCCCACTCACCGCATGTCTGTCCAGTATCCACCACAGCATTCAGTTCTGCTAGTAAGTAGTGGATATGATCATACAATTCGATTCTGGGAAGCACTAAGCGGTATTTGTTCAAGAACAATCCAGCATGCCGACACACAAGTGAATCGACTTTGTATATCGCCAAACAAGCGTTTTCTAGCTGCTGCTGGAAACCCGCATGTACGCCTTTATGACATTAATTCTAATAGTCAATTGCCCCTAATGACTTTTGAAGGACATACGAATAATGTAACTGCTGTAGCTTTTCATTGCGATGGGAAATGGCTGGCAACGTCAAGCGAAGATGGTACCGTGAAGGTGTGGGACATGCGTGCACCATCTGTACAAAGAAACTACGATCATAAATCACCCGTAAATGATCTTTTGATCCATCCAAACCAAGGAGAACTAATATGTTGCGATCAAAATGGAAGGGTAAGTGCATGGGATTTGGGTGAAGATTCATGTACACACGAATTGATTCCTGAGGAAGATGTGCCGATGAGTAGTGTTACAGCCGCCTCCGACGGAAGTATGCTCATTGCAGGAAATAACAAAGGTAATTGCTATGTTTGGAGGATGCTCAATCATCAAGGAGCTTCCTTGCTCCAGCCAGTTGTGAAATTCCAAGCTCATCAGCGATATATCACAAGGTGTGTGCTTTCTCCCGATGTTAAACACTTGGCTACCTGTTCTGCTGATTCCACTGTTAATATTTGGAGCACTGACGATATGTCTTTCATGTTGGAAAGGCGCCTACAAGGGCATCAAAGATGGGTTTGGGATTGTGCGTTCTCAGCCGATTCAACGTACCTAGTTACTGCTTCATCTGATCATGTTTCTCGTCTATGGGAACTTTCAAGTGGGGAAACAATTCGCCAATACTCGGGCCATCACAAAGCAGCTGTATGCGTTGCTTTGAATGATTATCAAATATGATTTGTAAACATGTATATTTAAATTATATCTAGGATTCGCTACCTCGTTTTCTTAATGTATTATATTGAACTTCCTTAAACAGGACGATCGGGGGTTTCTATCCAAGAATAAGGATTCACTGTGAATCATTTTTGTCAATGTTTAATGTTATGAAGATGACCATCATAAAGAATAACTAGTAGTTTGAGACTATGAAAATGTAGGTGACACATACGATGAAGATTTATTAGAGTTTAAAAAAAGTTTGATGCATCTTTCACTAAGATTTTGTACACAGTTGCTTCCCTTAGAATTGTTAGACGTAAAGCGCAGAGCACTGGCTGAGCAGGAAAAGTTCTGTTTATCTTTGGATACTTGTGCATACGCCATTTTGCATTGCTTCAATAGTTTGACCTCACGGAGCTGGCTTGTTTAGACTTTACATTCTCCAATAACTTTACTTTGTACACGAATACCATCATTTTGTACCTCCATTGAAATATGCTCCTAAATTACCGTCATTTATGATTTTATGAAATTTATCAAAATATATCCTGTTGCATTATGATACATGCTTATAATAACGTAAATAGTATTATGATTGATGGTAAAAGGCTTGCTTGAAGTGGATTCTTAAGCATATGTTCAAACAAGTATGTTTTTATTGAAGGAAAAAGGCAAGTATCGGTTCCACATTTCTTGACAAAGGGGTAAAAGTAATATTATATTTCTTCTTTATTTAATTTTCGGTTTAGGTTTTCCGTATACCATACATTCTGGTCATAGTTGGTAAAATAAATAAACAATAAATTCCTAAACAACCCACCAAATAAAAGACAAATACCAAAGGATTGTACGTTCACTTCTTTGTGTTGATTATTTATTTATTATTTACAGTCTGTCGTATGGAATTTTTTGGAATTTGGTTTGTTAAATTGCTTAATCTGAGAACAAAATGCTGGTTGATACGAATTACAAAACAGTTAGCTTAGTAATAAAGAACGTCAATAATATTTGAAGAAAAGTATTCAGTTCCCAATATTTATAGAAGGGTATGATGCTGTATCGAGTATTTTAATATTGATACACCTAAATCAATAGATCTTTGGCTGATTCAACCTTTAAATTATCGCATCTCTATACGTAATAGTAAGCTATCGACTTGCTACCGCTTGGATAACTTTTTAAGGGAGCAAAAGAAAAAGAAGAATGTGTCGAAAAAGCATTACGTAAGTCACCCCTTTTTTCCCAATGAGTTTTTGTATCTGATCATTCGTAGGCGATGCTAAAAACGCTAGCGTATTTCTTTGGACGGCTTCTGTATGGTGTTTTGTAAATAAACATCAGGGTCTAAAACAAGTCAACTTTTTCCAGAAGTAATAACGTCAAAAGTAAGTAGTCCCCTGGAAAATAAGGTTCAAGAATTTTCAACGTCAGCTAGTATTTCCTAAAGAATAAACAATAAATGTTTCATGTATAGGACAGCAATGGTCATGTTTAGAAAGGAATATAGAGATCAAATTCGTGAATGAATGATAAGCGGTACAAAAGGACATAAATCATCGCCGCCGAAGAGGACCTTTTATCGAAAAAACATATAACTCTTTGCTACAGTCGTTTTTGTTGATATATGATACATCAGTAGCGTTACGACCGTACCGTCATATTTATCATCAAATCCATTCCCAACAATCTTTCTTAAGAGAAAAACTACAGTGAAGAAAATAATAATCCAAAAATGCTAAAATATATTTTTCATGAAAACTTCGTGTATCAAAGACAATACTGAAGGATGTCTTGAAAAGATAATAAAAGTATGGGTAATGATGCAAAATTTCATAAAGAGGTCTGTCGACCTGGTCGAGTTTATTTCTGATAAATACGAAATTGATGGTTGTGTGCATAACCTCCATACTAAATTCATTATTTCGAGGTTATTATTCGTTCGGCTAAACGGCCCTCCCCTAGTCCCACATGCAGTATGGTAATAAGGAAAAATTGAGATCGTAGAGTACTCACAAAACCAAAATGCTTAATGCTGAATACTAGGGATCTAAAATGCCTCCAGTACGGCGTCAAGTCATTACGAAAATAGAAAAGAAAGCACTACGTAATTACTACTTTGGGTGTGTCGAAAAACCGTCGCAACAAAAGTTGATGGCTTGGTTCAGACAACATTTTGACAAAGAATTGTCGCAACCGTCGGTTTCTCAGATATTGTCTTCAAAATATGATTTCCTTGATGAAGCGACCTCCGAAGCCGCCGAAAAAACGAATACCCTACCTGCGAAATATCCTGTCCTGGAGAGTGCTCTAGTGGAATGGATTCAGAGAACACAAAAATCAGATATTGAAGTGAATGAGGAAGTTATTCGAAAAACAGCATGTGAATTTTGGAAAAAGATTCCCGCATATTCTAATTTACCTACTCCAGAATTTAGCAGCAATTGGCTGGAAAAATTCCAAAACCATTATTTAAATCCTCAAGACAATATGAAGCTAGCTGACACAGATCTAATTTATGAATTCGTAAAGCATTACGCCTTAGAAGACGTATTTTCTTTTGACGAGGTCGGGCTTCTATGGAAACTCGTTCCAAACAACCCTCCTTCTGTCGAGTTTACAAACGGTATCCGTCGCGAAAAGGCTCGTGTCTCAATAGCAATGTGTTGCAATGCTCTTGGTACCGAAAAACAACCTCTGTGGATCATTGGTTATTCGAAAGAGCCTCGGGCTTTCCGTTCTGCGCGAGTCAATATTCATGCTCTCGACGTTGAATGGCGATCAAATGGCACTGCCCAAATTAATAATCTTATAATGCAGGAATGGCTTATTTGGTTTGATCAAAGGATGTCCGGCAGAAAGGTTTTACTTCTGTTGGACCGATTGAGCGCTCATGAATGCGCTGTAGAAAACATTCGTCGTACTCGCAGTTTCCAAAATATAGCTATCTTGTGGCTTCCAAAAAGTACCAATCCGACACAAAACCCGTATTCTATGGGTATATTTCGTAATTTTAAGGAATGCTATAGAAATTATTGGCTCCAGTACATGGCGGACCAAATAAACCATGGTCATGATCCTCTCAAAGCTGTCAACATACTAAAAGCTATTCGTTGGATGGTTGCCGCATGGAATTTTGATGTTTCCAGTTCCATGATTGCATTTAGTTTTCAGCGTTCTGGCATATTAAGCATAAAAGAAAATTCTTCTGACGTAAAACCCCCTTCTTCTGCAACCCAAGCTTCAGAACAGTTAAAGTCTTTATTTTCTCAGTTTACAAGTGGAGAAAATCACCTCCTCGATCGGTTTATAGATCCTGTTGAAGAAAGTGTCGTGGACGAAGATGTCGATGTTACTGACCAAATCGCAGCCGAATTCTTAAAAGACCGGGATTTTGAGAGCGAAGAAGAAGAGGAAGAGTATGTTGTATCCATTACAATTAAAGAGGCTATGCAGTATATCAACATCCTCCAGCAGTTCGAAGAACAACAAGAGATACCAAATCCTGAAATTGTGAAACAACTCATGTTTTACGGAAAAATTCTACAAGATCGGCAAGATTCTAAAAACTTATAAATAACAGTCTTTCATTTCTGATTCCTTCTTCCTTCTTCCTTCTTCCTTCTTCCTTCTACAAAAGCATATTTTTTTTCTATTTTATATTTTCTTTCGAACCAGCTTTCGTTTATGATACGATAAGAAGTTGCAGTGCACATCACTAAATACAAAAAGTCTTCCCCTAACTGAGGTATCTGTGTACGTTACCTTTGTCAAAACGTTTTTAAAAATCGAGTATTCATTCGGATTCCTGGTAAATTTAATAGTCGGTTACATTCATTTACAGAAAGGAAAGTTTTTTTATTTTTCCAAGCTTTACAGTGATTATAAATGTCGACTCAGCCACTTTTGCAAACTACTCCAGGAAAGAGAATTGCGCTCCCAGTTCGGGTAGAGCCTAAGGTTTTTTTTGCTAATGAACGGACATTTCTTTCTTGGCTTAGCTTTTCCGTTGTTTTAGGTGGTTTATCTGTAGGTTTGCTAAACTTTGGTGACAGAATTGGAAGAATCAGTGCCGGACTTTTTACCATTGTGGCAGTAGGAACGATGGGTTATGCTTTAGCTATTTATCATTGGAGAGCATCTGCAATTCGAAGAAGAGGAAGTGGTCCTTATGATGATCGTTTAGGACCTACAATCTTGTGTTTTGTATTATTAGCGGCGATTTTGACAAATTTTGTTTTAAGAACCTTTTTTTGAAAAGGAAATCAAGAAGATGAGCGCAAATTTTGTTTCAATTGATGCCTCACCCGTGTCGCAACTTTAATTTTGTGTATGAACGTATCTTTAATCTATAACCGAACGGATGTGCCCAATGTTCAATGAATTATTTCTGTTTATTCTTCCTAATTTCCTTTTCCTTCATCTTGTTTTCCATACAATTACGAGGATATTTCAGTAATCTATATAGATAACTGTGTTTGTTTTGCAATGAATGTTCCCATGAGTAATTCGTTCTTTCGTATTCCATTTTGTTGTAAATTTTTCTTTTGTTTGCAACTTGTTATTATTTTAAACAAAAAATATTTATTAGTGTGCCTATTTTGTTCAAATGACAACTCATTTATACTTGTAGCCAAGGAGACAAAATGAGAAGTACCAGGGATTTGTCCTGAGTATGCTTTTTCTTTTTCTTTATTTCTTTATATTGTAATAGCGGAAGGAATCTTTCACATTGTTAAGCGCAGATGATGCATGGATTCAGAAGGGGGAGTGGGAAATCTACACTTTGTAAACTCCTCTTTGAGGAAGAAACGCTTGAGAATATAAAGTCGACGAACGCTGAATCATAAGACTCCTAATCATTTAATTGGTGTCTTTTGTGTTTTGAGCATCTCTCTGCTTCTGCAGTTTAAAGTATTCCCTTCGCTTTTCATATAGATGGTTCTTCAGTAAGATGAACGAAACAGGACCACCTAAATTACTGAGTTAACAACCAATTCAGTAGATCCTCCCTATGCAATCTCATCTATAACCTATGAAATGGGAATTGCATTTCAAATGGTAGTTGTTTCATAAAAAACCAGTGAGACGCCATTCATTTGTCTTACCAAATATGAAAATTCCAAAAATAGATAACATCTGTTGTTTAAAGGTCATAGCCATTTTGAGATAAATGAAAACAGGAGGAAACCGAAGATTTAAGAATATTTCTAAAGACAGTGTCAAAGTGCCGTAAGGACTAGTTGTTTCTTTGGGCGGGAGTCTCCTAGGTAACTTATTGGTTCGAAAGGATCCATCTCTTCATGCAAGCAAAACTTTGTAACAAAACATTCTTTTCGTTGATATGACAGAGACGATAAGTAGTTTTATTAACTCAGCCAAGTACGTTCCTCTTAAGGTATTCCATGAAGACGATTTTATATTGCTTTCAAATGGCATTTCACTAGGAATGATTTAACAAACCAATAAAGTAATTAATTAATTTACCAGCACAAGAAAATGGATTACTTTATGATTACAACTTTCCCGTATATTCTCTTGACCCTGGCAAAAAAGAAAAGCGTTTCATGTATTCTACAATCGTTCTAACAAAAAATATTCTCGTTTAAATGAATGTTAACTAAAATGAATCTATTTTTTTTCATGTTTACACAATTACATGCTGTCATAATGTTGTTCTCCTATGGTGGTGAGTCAACCCCAGGGAAAGCAGAAGGATAGATAAATACAAAAATCCATTTTGAAGAATTTAATAAAGAAAATAAATTAATTAGAGTATTTTATAAAATTTGCTATTAATTCGCCTAAAGGATTTACGAAAATTTGCGGTGGGCGCCACACGTTAAACCCCAAAAGTTCTATCGTAATTGATCCAACCTTCAACTTCCAACCTCCACGGAATTCACTAATATCTCAGTCGGGTACTGGGAGGTTGCAAATTAAGAAATTGCAAGGGTATCTGAGGAGACTCAAGTAATTTTTATGGCAACCGATTCTGTCAGAATGGAACAGACCCCACAACGAAACGCCGGTCCTACGAAGACTGAAACAACAAAAAAATGGTCTGCGGTTGCTGCTAAAGGAAGCAAAGCATCCCAGTCGACAAACAGTAGTGAACGTATCTTTACTGAAACGAAAAGGACTGTGCCAGACGCGAGTGTTAAGGATAATGCTAAAGACAACAGTAACGTAAATTCGATGTCTTCAACGAACAAACGATCCACAAATGCACCCACAGGGCGTGCGAATAATGCATATAGGACTTCTTCGTCTAATAGCAAATCATGGAAAACCGATACAGCGATTTCTTCGCACAGGGGCTCCGCTGAACATCGTGAGCGTGAATTATTGCCTTGGAGGCCCGACCCGCAGGATGCGAGCGCCTCTTTGATGAGTTTGGAAGAGTCTGAGAATCAAACAGGCGGTGGAGAATGGGATCAATTCGCTGCCAATGAAAAGCTTTTTGGTGTTCAATCACATTTTGATGAGGAACAGTACACTTCTACCATCAATCGAAGTCACCCCAAGTATAAGGAACGTGCCCAAGAAGCCGATCGTATTGCCAAAGAAATTGAAACTTCTGCTACCGATAACATTCACATTGCTGAAGAACGAGGCCGCAAGGTTGATGATAGTGGACTTGACGAAGAAGACCTTTACTCAGGTGTTCAGCGTTCATCTCTTCCCGGAAAGAACAACAACCGGGGTTCATCATCGAGAGACAACTATTCCCAAGGAAAATCTCGGGATCATCGCTATCGAAACGCTGGTCCACGCAACGTTTATCTACCTAATGATCCTGCCATAGTATCTCAACGACACATGGCATTTTCCCGTGGCGGTGACTCTCGTGCTGCTGAAAAATTCTTCAATGCCCGCCGTAAGATGGGTACATTATCCAAAGGAGAAAAGGAAGGTCAGATTAAGGAATTTATGCAATTCAGTCAGTCTTTGAAGTTAGGTGGATTTGAAAATAAAGAGGACCCTGTCAAGGAAAACAAAGATGCTTCCAAGGAAAAGCAAAAGTCTTCCAAGCCAGCTGACGAGATTCCAAATGTTGATGTCTCAAAAAATGATAATAAACAAAAGGAGGAAGTTCCATTCAAAGATGGACCATCTTTAGAAAAGGGAGAAAAAGAGCCTGACCCAATAGTTGGTTCTAATAAGGAGGAAAAGACTCAAGAAAAAAAGGAAGATGAACCTAAGCCAGCTGCGTCTTTGGAGTCCGGTAAAGAGCAAGTAAAACCCGCAAATAAAGATCCTTCAAAGGCATTGAAGTTGAACGCCAAGGCTGCGTCTTTCAAGCCCAATGTTGGTGCACCCGTCTTTACGCCGGGCAAATTCGTTCTTCCAGTGAAGCCCGTTGCTTCTCAACCTATGAGTTCTCAAAAATCTTCTAGTACAGAAACAGGAAGTGTTTCGAAAGCTTCAAACATTGAAGCTTCTAGTGAAAATAAAGAACGTGCGTTTTTCCCTGATGGAGGTTCTCCAGCAGAGTCATCTGTTATGGAAAACTTTAACGTTATTAAGACTGCTGCTGAACAAGAACAAATTGGAGAAACATTGGAGAAACCATTTTCATGTCCTCCTACTTGGGCTTCTGGTCCCAACAACCTACAACATATTGTCTCCAATCAAAAAATCGAGGCTGACCCAAGTCAAGGAAAACGTAATTCGGCAACATCAGGCCCAATTCCTGGTTTAGTTTTGCCTAATACACCTGTATCACCAGCAATGACGATGTATCCCCCGCCTAACGTTCCCTACATTCCTTTTGGCTACTCAATGCCGGGATATCCTCCGTACATGCGTGCTGCAAGCCAACAAGCATCGGTTACTGCTTCTCCCAGTGGTACACCTACTTCAGGAAATTCTAGTGCCGTAGCTTCGCCTATGTTTATGGCACCTCCAGTCATGCCTCCTTACGGTGTACCTCCGTTCCAAGCACAGGGTAGTCCTAGAGGAGTGGCCCCTGCCACTTACTATGTGCCTCAGATGGGAGGAATGCCAATGATGACTTATCCTGTCAATGGTGTACCTCCTATGTATGGACAGTATGCTATGAACAATGGGATGATGAACATGCGTTATCCTATGTATACAGATTCTAGACGAAGCAATTCCCAAAGATCATTCAACCCGTCCAGGGGTAACCGTCATCAAAACAATGGACACAAAAACGAAAACTACAACAGTAACCACAATAATAGTAATGATGGTAATAATGCTACTATTCAGAATCAGGATTCAACTGTGCCTACTACTACCGATTCACGAATTCCGGAATCTTCGGAAGTAGTTGAACCTGCACCAACTGCAGATACTTCTGATGAAAAGGCTTCTTAAGGATCTGCTATTTTGAAAACTTTGAATAGCTAAATGTTATGTAGAAATAAGACATGATTTAGACATTATCAGTTATATTATCATATACAACATTTTGAATTTTAATGTTGTATGACTACAGTTTAACTCTAGAGGAATGTAAAACATCATACATTAAAGTCTAACCCAAATCAGGTATAGACTGCCATTGTTGTAAGGCCGCACCAACCGCCATTGTCCAGCTGGCTTAGAATATAGTAAATAGTTTTAACATCTGTTTCTTCGTAACTAAAAATTTGTACCGAGCCTGAGCTGCAGCAACTTTGGACAGCCTTCATGATACTGCCATATTTATTATGAGGATCGAACTCTTCTTTATCAATATTTCGGAAGTTAGAGGGAAGCTTCTCTAAATAGATGGGATGGAAGATTTCGTCGGACTCGCTGATATAATACTGTCCTTTTACCTGTTCCGACAAGGCGTTCAATGGAGCCGAATTAGGAAGGTTACCAGTGCTTTTCATCCATCGAGAAGGAACCTCACTCGGGCTCCTAGGAGGAGGAGACGGAACTGGAGCATTAGCGGCGTCCAAAAATTGCTGGTAAACTTCGTCTGACATTTTTTTAGAGGTACAAAATCGGTGACTATAACCAAAAATAGGACGTTGAGAACGCAAGTAAGACGTTACTTGCTTATTCCTTTTTACAAATAGAAGTATCGAACGAATTTTGGCAAGTATGTTCTTTATAGTGAAAACTAAAGGTGTTATATAAGATGAAGAACCTTATGGCTCGACAAATCTTTTCGTAATGTACCTCAAATAGTAATGACAGAAACAATCACTATTACTCACAATGGAAGTTTAACAACGAGTGTTCACTTGTCTAAGCAAACGAATGGTGAAAGCCTTTAGTAAATAGAAAATTAGCTGCTTATATAGAGTAGATATGAATTGAAAATCCTTGATTTTTAAACAAGTATATTTCGAATTTATAAAACGTAATTATAGTCATTTCAATTAAATAGAGAGGTACGATGTGTTTCGTTATTCCAGTTAATGCGATCAAGCAATGAGCAAGAAGAAGCATAGTCTTTGGAAAGCGACTTACACGCATGCAAATGCCAAATATATTTTACCAATTGTTGAGACATCATAAAGTTATATATGCTATAGATAATCGTTGAGAATCTTTCCTTTGTTAAGAATCGAATAAATAAAGTCAAGGTTAGAAGGTGTATTCGGCGGTATTAATAAAGGAAAAATGTCTTTAGAACAATATGTTTCAGATCAAGCAATTGCGCTTCTAGGGATGTCAGAACCATCAGTCGTAGAGTATATAATCGCTGAAGCATCCAATTCGCGTAGCTCACAAGAGCTGTTCCAAAAATTAGTGGGATTTGGAATGGAAGAAGCCGATTCTAAAGTACGTGAATTTGCTCATTCTCTATATTCTAGGATACCAAAAAATAAAGAAAGGATATCAGATGAAGCATACAACTATAGAAAAAAGCGACAGAGAGAGATTTTGCAAATGGAGAACCAGAATGCGAAATACGAACTGCTTTTGGAACCTCAACAAGAAGAGCGGTCAGCCCGTTTACCGCAGTCGGATTCACGGAAACGTAAAGAAAGACGTAAGGAACATAAGCAGGGTTTTTTAAGACGCAGGCATGATGATGATGAATGGCAAAGTGATGAATATGAAGAAGAAATCTCGAATACTGTAACTGATCACGAAGCGAAACTTCCACTGGAAGAACAAACAGCTGTGGTTGACTCAAATGTAAAAGGTAACGAAGAAGATGAACGAATGCATGACTTGAGAGAGAGAGAAGAGTTTGAGGAGCGTTTAAGAAAAAAAGACTTGATGACCTCGACTCGAGAATTGGTAGAAGATTACTCTTCAAAGCTTTCTTCTGAAGAAATTGCTTTAAGAAAGCTTGCGGATGACCCAGATTCTCGAGAACGACTAGCTGCCGAATTACGTAAAAAGTCTCGTCAGCATTATTTGAAGCCAAGAGCTCAACAACAGTTGGAGCTTTTGAGAAGGGAAATTCAAGATGAAGAGCTTTTATTTGCTGACGAACAATTAACAAAACGCGAAATCCATGAGTTGGAAAAGAAAAAGGAGCTATTAAGGATTGCTGAAGAGCGCATCAATTTAAATGCTCAAGCTGCAGAATATCAAATGCCTGAAGATTACTTCACTGAACAAGGAAAGCTAGACAGAAGACGAAAAGAAGCTGTTTTGCACCAACGATACACGGATGCCAATGACGAGCGTCAGCCTAGTGCCCCGTTTGGTGCTGCCGAACAAGCGCAGTGGGAATCCCAACAAATATCTAAAGCTCTTGTTTATGAAGATAATCTCAAGGCCCCCAACCAAGAAAAGAGATTTGATTATGTTTTTGATGATTCACAAAAAATTGACTTTCTTTTAGAGTCCAATTTACCTGGTAAATCTATCGCAGGTGCTGAACCATCTACTCCTGCACTTTCCTCAGCCGAATTAAAGGCTCTTTCCATGGAAGAAACCAGAAAATCTTTGCCCGTTTATAAGTTTAAGGATGATTTATTGAAGGCAATTGAAGCTTACCAAGTTTTGTTGGTTGTAGCAGAGACAGGTTCAGGAAAAACCACTCAGCTACCCCAGTTTCTGCATGAAGCCGGATATACAAAAAACAACAAAAAGATTTGCTGTACACAGCCACGCCGTGTCGCTGCCATGTCTGTTGCTGCACGTGTAGCTAATGAGATGGATGTTCGATTGGGCCAAGAAGTAGGATATACCATTCGTTTTGAAAACAACACTTCTGAGAAAACCGTAATTAAGTATTTAACTGATGGAATGCTTTTAAGAGAATTTTTGACTGAGCCAGACCTTGCTAGTTACTCTGTGATAATTATAGATGAAGCACATGAACGAACCCTTCATACTGATATCCTCTTTGGCCTTGTGAAGGATATTGCTCGATTCCGACCCGATTTGAAAGTTTTGGTTTCTAGTGCTACTATTGATGCAGCCAAGTTTTCCTCCTACTTTGATGAAGCACCAGTCTTTTATGTTCCGGGACGGCGGTATCCTGTTGATATTTACTATACTCCACAGCCAGAGGCAAATTATATACAGGCAGCTATAACCACTATTTTACAAATCCACACAACTCAACAAGCCGGTGATATATTAGTCTTTTTGACTGGTCAGGATGAAATAGAAGTTATGTCTGAAAATATTCAAGAGTTGTGTAAGATTTTAGGAAAGAGAATACCTGAAATCATTCTTTGTCCAATTTATGCTAACTTACCCTCGGAGTTGCAAGCAAAGATATTTGAACCCACACCGCCTGGTGCTCGGAAGGTCGTTTTGGCTACAAATATTGCAGAAACTTCTATTACTATCGATGGTGTAAATTATGTAATCGATTCTGGATTTGTTAAACAAAACATGTATAATCCGAGAACGGGGATGGAAAGCTTAGTTTCCGTCCCCTGCTCTCGTGCATCTGCTGATCAGCGTGCTGGACGTGCTGGTCGAGTTGGACCCGGTAAATGCTTTCGTCTCTATACTCGTTGGACTTACAATAATGAGCTTGATATGGTCACCTCGCCGGAGATTCAAAGAACTAATTTAACAAATATAGTCTTGCTTTTAAAATCATTGGGAATTAATAATTTACTTGATTTCGATTTTATGGATCCACCACCTCCGGAAACTTTGATGCGATCATTGGAGCTATTATATGCACTTGGAGCTTTAAATAATCGAGGTGAACTTACGAAATTGGGAAGACAGATGGCAGAATTTCCTACTGACCCTATGCTTTCTAAATCGTTGATAGCCTCCGCAAAATATGGATGTGTTGAAGAAGTTCTTTCTATAATAGCTATGCTAGGTGAATCTGCTTCGCTGTTTTATCGACCAAAAGATCGAATTATGGAGGCTGACAAAGCCAGGATGAACTTCGTACAACCTGGGGGTGATCACCTAACATTATTTCGTATATGGAATGAGTGGGTAGATACAGATTTTTCCTATCAGTGGTCACGGGAAAACTTTTTACAGTACAAAAGTTTATGTAGAGCTCGTGATGTCCGAGATCAACTTGCAAACCTCTGTGGTCGAGTTGAGATTGAATTGACAACTAATTCTGCAGACTCATTGATGCCCATTCAAAAGGCGATAACTGCAGGATATTTCTCTAATGCTGCACGCTTGGATCGCACAGGAGATTCATATAGAACCGTTAAGAGCAATCAAACAGTTTATATTCATCCAAGCTCTACCTTGGTTGAGAAGAAACCAAAAATCATTATTTATTACGAACTTGTGTTGACAAGTAAAGAATATTGTCGACAAGTTATGCAAATTCAGCCAGAGTGGTTACTGGAAATAAGTCCTCATTACTTCAAACCTGAGAATATTGAGGAAATGTACAAAAGCAAAAAGAGAAGATAATTAGATCTGCTTTCTTATATGAGATTTCATAAGCAATTCAAAAACGGGATTTTACGGTTTGGTATGTTTTATGAAAAGTTTAATTTTTCGTATTTAATAAAATCATGAGGGTTATTCATATATTTTTACCATTACAATACATTCAGAGAGCGTAGTCCCAATAAATTTTCTTCTTGACATTTGAAGAGAAATACACTACCAATTAATAATGAAGGAACTACCAAAGACAAGTATGAAAAGAAGGACACAGAATATACGAGTTTTGGAATTGTATTCTGGTATTGGTGGAATGCATTACGCATTAAAGTCTACAAACATACCATTCGAAGTAGTTTGCGCGATTGATATTAATCCCCTTGCGAATACGGTGTATAATCATAATTTAGGAAACCGAGCTAAACATGTACGATCTAAATGACTCAAACTATATTAATATTTGTAGATAGACATTACTAAGGTCAATGCATCTGAATTAGATGGATACCATTGTGATTTATGGACTATGAGTCCCAGTTGTCAACCTTATACACGCATTGGAAAACAGCAAGACGTACAAGATCCACGATCACATGCTTTCCTTCATTTATTAGAGGAACTTCCGAAAGTGGAAAGTCCACCGAAGTACATTTTGATTGAAAATGTTCAAGGTTTTGAAAATAGTATAACTGCTCAAAAATGTCGTGAAGTGTTAAAAGGAATGAATTACAACTTTATAGAGGGGAATTTAACGCCAAAACAATCAAACATTCCCAATTCTCGTTGCCGATGGTATGGTCTGGCCAGGAAAGGTTCATTAGTAAATTGGAATTTTGAGGAAATTATAGCAACTTCATTCAAAAACAGTTATAAAGGTGAAGGAATAAATACTTTGGAAAGTTTCTTAGAAACGCAAGCTAGCTTTGAGTCATACTTTCTCCCTGAAAAACTCATGTTTCGTTATGGTCATCAACTGGATATTGTAAAACCAACGAGCACTAACTGTTGCTGTTTTACTAGAGGTTATGGACAATTAGTACAAGGGTCTGGATCAGTTTTACAAACCTCAGATCACGAAAGTATAGCAGACCAATTCGAAAAAGATAGGATGTCTTTGAGACTTCGATACTTTACCGCAAGGGAAATTGCAAGGATTATGGGATTTCCTGATTCATTTCAGTGGAAAGAAATAGAGATTTCAGAAAAAACCATGTACCGTTTACTTGGAAATAGCATCAATGTGAATGTTGTTTCACGGCTTCTTTCGCACCTGCTGTATCCTAGTACTGGCGGACAGGAAGAGGAATCAATTATTAAACCTTCTTTCTATTGAATTTTTATTTGGCTATATCTTTCTTTCCTTTCAGTAGCCTTTTTTTGTACGGAACTGGGAGTTTGGGGATCAGACCTTTTTATGCCTATTTTCACTGATCTTTGTTCACTTATTAACCTAATCTTAATACCTTTTCACGAACTGCCTAACTCTTGATTCTCAATATTCCTTGATTAATATAACCTGCTTTTAATTATATTATCTTAATTAGAGGATAATGGTCTACTGTCTAGACGATGAATTTTTTACTGTTTACCACTACACCTTGTTGGCGAAAAGGGAATTCTTTTCAAAAAAACACACGGAAGGTTATTTTGGTTTTTAACATACATACATACACACAATGAACGGTGCTTTTGGTGCTTCTGCTGGCGGAGCCGCCTTCAACCCACCTAGGCCAGTAACAATGATTTATCTTTGCGCAGGTACGTGAAAGGAATCCATTTTCTTTTTGATTTTCTAATGAATATATAGATTGCGGTGCAAAAAATACCATTCAGGCGAAAGAAGTAATTCGTTGTCGTGAATGCGGACACCGTGTCATGTACAAAATGAGAACCAAGAGAATGGTACAGTTTGAAGCCCGTTAAGGAAAGACATCAGTTCTTTGGGATAAATAATGAAGAAGAATCGAACTTGTATTACTTTTTTGAGCTACAGGAAGCAAAGGACACTAAGGGAAACATAATATTGCTGTTGATTTTAGCAGTCGTCCTTGACATTAGTCAAAAAGAATAGAGAATAAAAATTAACGAACTGGCTTTGGGTAATTACATAATACAATAGAAAGTTTAGAGGACGCTGGTAAGAAAACATAGTGGCAGTCGCTTCTGCGACCTTATGAAAACTACAAACAAGTATTTGACGGCACGGATAGTTGGGCCATGCAGCACTTCTATCAAGCCAAAAGAAAAGAGGACCGCTTGAAAATCTCAAAGCCAAAGCTGTGGCTTTGTGGACAGATACGGTGGTTACATGAAGAGAACAAAAATAAAAGAATAAGAAATAATCATTAAAAGTATGTAGTAAAAAGAACTATAGATACAAAAAAGGAATAACAATAGTGAATGAGAAGGGAAATCAAAAGAAACAATATTAAGATATGTTCATACAAAAAAACCAAACCGACTTTATATGTTTTTTTTTTTTTTTTAAACGAATTTCTGGGAAAAGGTGCGGAAAGATGGATTGAATGAATAATGTAAGGTAAGAAGAGAGTTAGTCCAATTCTGAAGGGGATTCCATTTCATAAAACAGCATAAAAACAAGGCGGTGCTGATCAAGTACCTTTTCGATGGGGCATTTAGAAATGAGTGTATCATTGGCACTCCACCAACTATTGTCTTTTTTCCGGTAACAAATATAATGACCAGAATTTGCACCGCCATGATGGGTTATGAGCGACCGAAGATGGTATCGATACCGGCCTTGTAGTAGGAAAGACTTTTCATATAAAACAGCGGTATTATTCCGGGAAAGACCTAGAGGAGTGTAACAAGACCGCTCTAGCTGAATTTGAAGGAGGGTAGGAGGATGCTTCCACTGGACGGTGCGATAACAGGAGGTAGTTTTTTTGGTATTAGGATAGCATGCATCACATTTATAATCATCAATTTGTTCAAATGCATTGGAAGCGAAAAGTTGAGATAAAGAAATAGAAGAAGCACCATAGGCATAGGGTAAACTCAATTGTAAAGTGGTATTTTTAAAGTTTGTGCAAGTTTTAGCAGAACAGGACGAGCATTGTACGGTTTGAAGAATGGTTCCGATAAAAGGAAGCTGCGCAGGGAAACCCATAATACGAATAGAAGAAGAATAGGGATTAGAGGGAAAAGAAGAATATTGAGACTCGATAATTTCTAATAGAAATTGTAAAAATTCGTGGGCATCTTGTTGTAACGAGCGTAAAATGACCTTGTTTGTAATTCTTTCTAAAACATTAAGAAAAGAATTAGCAGAGATGGGTTTGGAGGAACCGGAATTTAGGCTTTCGAGAAAGTTAAGAAGGGCGGCATACAGGGTAGAGGAAGAAGAACGAAGATGGAGAAATTGAATTAAGGAAGATTGACTGGCGAGGGCTTGAAGAACACTATTCAAAAAACAATCGTTGCCCGAGGAATTGTAGAGACCTTTGATGGATGACTTTGCCTTGACGGTTGTAGAACCATTGGAAGATGTGACGATGTATAGAGCAGCAAAGGTGGTCAAGACCGCAGCACCCTTGAAGATGCGATTGTATTCTTTTGATCGACGAGAGGATAAAGGGTTTACGACGGACATTTGAAAAGCGATAAGAGGGAAAAACGAAAAGAAAAGGTAAGAAACCGAGATTAAAACAGAAACAAAAGGTATCCCAAAAAGACAAATGCCACTTTTTCAAAGAATATGAAATAAAAGAATCAAAAAAATAAAAAGTTTAAAAATTGAAAGATTTCACTACTCAATGTGATCCAGGAAAAATGCAAAAAACTTAAAATTAAGATAAATAAACCTGACCCATGCTTATAATTCTTGTTTACCAACAGACAAGAAGAGACTTTTTACAGAAGCCAAGAAACAATAATTTCTTCACAAGGAGTGTGAATGCAAAGGAAACAATGGGGAAAAAAACCAAAGAAATTTCGTCAAGAATGCAATCCAAATCAAAACAAACTGTTTGAGAGATTGATTAAGCCTATGATAGAATTTTTTGAATGGATATCCGTGCAATCTCTTTCAATGGCGACGATGACGACAAACAACAGAGAAAAAAACAAAACCAAAAAAGGCTCAAGAGCAATTCAATTGCGAGAGTTCAATGGGGTGCGCAATGATAAAGAAAAGGGAGTTTAGGAAAGAAACACATTTATGCATATTTCAATGGCCGAGAAAGTACAAGGACGTAGGAAAAAAAAAGGTAAAAAAGAGGGGGTGCAACGGAATGAAGGCATCTTAAAGGTGGAAGACGGATGCCATGAAAGGATTCGGTTGGTCTCTTTGGGTTTCACTGATACGAATTAAGGAATATTACGGAAGTGGATTGGAGGAAGTCGAAGTCCGTTCCTTTAGGGTTCTGAGTAAAGACGAATCGAATGGTGTAAAAAAAGAACAAGAGATTGAAAGAATGATACTCATTGGCATGGGGGAGTTTTCTCTGGGTAACAATAAAAGAACATGTAAACAAAAGAAAAAGTAAACAAATCAAGCAAAGATGGATAGGAATACTCCATGGATGAAATGAAAGCAGAGTTACGTCTTGTTTCGAATCCTTTGTTTGGTTTTGGGTTCTTGTTTATGGGCACTGTTGTCCGTGGGACAATGGTTCGAGGTGCAATGGGAGTTGCTTTATGAGAGCAAGGAAGGATGATCGAGTCGTTGGAAGAGTATGCATAATGGAGATGTGTTGAAGCCAATGCTGGATGAGATGATGGTAGAGTGTTGAAAGAGAGGACACGGTACGGTGGATATGGAAAAAGGCGGTTCGATTCAATCGGCGGTTGAGGTGGAAAGCTTGAAAATGACAACAAACAAACGTAAACAAAGAAAGGAAAGAAAAGAAAAGAGTCTTGTGTCTACGAATACTAACAAAAAGTGGGTTTAAAGAGAAGCAAGGTTATCGTTAAAAAAGAGAATAGAGAGAAGAAACGAATTTCTGTTTTCTTTGTTTAGAGAATTTCTTTGTTCATGGTGTTCTTTGTTCTCAGAGCGGAATTTGCAACACCACACATTCCTTCCATTCATCCCTCTAGCACTTGTTGAAATTGAAAGTGAGAGAGAACAAAAAAAAAAGGCATCCGTTTGAAAAGACATTCATTGTGGATTTTCCTTTCAGTTTCCATTCGTTCGACATATCATTTTAACTACGATTCATTCAAAGCATAATTATTCTATACGCGCGTGTAGTGTACTTGAGCTGGACTGACCTTAAGGACTTGACTAGTTGGTCCCATCATTCGTTTATTGCATTGGCTTTTTTTAGGAACGCGTGTTTCCTGTGGTTCATTATAGAATTTCTTGTTTTTCATCATTGTATTTTTTAAGAAATTTTCTTGTTTCTTACAAACGAATTTTTGCTACGCGTTTTTTTAGTCAAATCTCCAATTGACGTTTCCAAGGCTCCAGACTTGACTAGGATCCAACGGATTACATAAAACCCAACGTACTCAAAAAAATTTTTTTCTTTTTTTTTTCTTTTCTTTCTACTATTTTATTTTAGTATTCTTTTATTTTCCTTGTTGGTTGTATTTTGCTTTTTCTTGATCTCTTGATTTATTTTCGTTTTTTTTTTTTCTTTTCATTGATTTTCAACTTTGGGGTTTTTCCCTTTTTCCATGCTTTAGGTGTTTTTGTTCGTTTCATTCTACTTATTATTTTGACCGACTTTGACTTCCTGAGAAAAGGATCCTATACTCTTCTTTTTCATTTTTGCTCTACAAACCATTCTTGATTGACAGCGAGTTTGAACTCTACGTTAGTTTTCTATTCCTCTTGGTTGCTTCGTCATACTTTTTTTTTCATTTTACTGAAGGATTTCCTTTTGATTATCCATTCGTAGTCTACTTTTGTGATTGAAGGCTTCTCTTTTTCGTGAAATCGCTCGCTTATCGACAAGTAATTCGGCAGGAATACTGACAAGAATTCTTTGCCTCTCTTCCTAAAACTGTCATTGCGTATATTTCGCCCCTTTATTGTCCTTCTCATTCCTTCCTTTTTCTTTTTCAAACTGATTCTTGTTTTGTTCTGCTGGTCTTTATGAACATCCTATATCCTAATTCAATCTAATCCCGTCTCTATTTTATTATCGGCCGATATCTAGCTAATTCTTTCATTTTAGAGTAAATCTCAATAATCAGTCGTGCTCATCTACGTTCGTTCACGAAATTCCTCCTAACCTCTATTCTTTTTCTATCTAACAACCGATTCAACCCGGTTCTTACCGCCTAAACATGCGTTTAGCTCCTGAAGATCGTATAGGTGAAACGTTGGATGATTCCTTGCGGTTTATTTCTGTAATTGGCGTTGGCGCGTATGGAGTTGTTTATAAAGCAGAAGATCTGTACGACGGCACGTTATATGCAGTCAAGGCACTGTGCAAAGACGGACTGGATGCGAAGCAAAAACTGCTACAGTCCAGAGAACTTTATTTGCATGCACGTGTGCAGTCTCACCCCAATATATTGTCTTTATACCGTGTCTTGGACACTGAAGATACGATTTATGTTATTTTGCAATACTGCCCTGACGGCGACTTATTTACCTGCATTACTGAAAAAAATTTATACCGAGGCAATGATTCCTTGATAAAACACGTCTTTAGTCAACTTATCAGTGCTGTTCAGCATTGCCACTCTGTTGGCATCTACCATCGTGATTTAAAGCCCGAAAATATACTCGTAGACGATGAGGGGCGCACAGTTTACTTGGCTGATTTTGGCCTTGCAACTACAGATGACTACTCAAGTGACTTTGGTTGCGGCAGCTTGTTTTACATGTCTCCAGAATGTCAGCGTGAGGCATCCAACTCAAGCACACTTCCGTCTTCAGGTTATAAAGTTCATACACCAATGACGAATGAATCATCCGATAATTCTTCCACAGTATTTGCTACAGCATCAAACGATGTTTGGGCGTTAGGCATCATATTAATCAACTTGTGTTGCCAAAGAAATCCATGGAAGCGTGCATGTTCGCAAACAGACGGCACTTATCGTTCCTACGTACAAAATCCGTCAACCCTATTATCCATTCTCCCCATAAGCCGAGAATTAAACTCCTTGCTAAATCGCATATTTGACCGAAATCCGAAAACTAGAATAGGATTATTGGAGCTCTCAACCATTGTCAGTAATTGTAAAACGTTTACGCGAAGAATGCGCCCAGCTCCTTTAGTCTCGTCAAAATACCTTGCTTACCAACGTCAACAGCAGCAGGAATTAAGAAAGCTGCAAGAAGCAAATGGTTATATGAACTCGGCATATGCACCTAATGCACATATTGGCCTTCCTTGGCCTCCGACTCCTCATCTCCCAAATCAATGGAAGTCCCCTTATACTCCTACGCTTCCTGTTCCCTTTCCGGTTTTAACGCCAAACTCTGCCACCTCTCCTGAGTATAATGTGCCGATTACTGCGCCATTATTTGCAACCGACACGAATTGGCCTTGCCATAACTCACAAGCTGTAAATTACCTTCCTCCTACACCTATCCCCTCTCAAAATGACTCTGAAGTTTCAGGATACCCTGCACAGAGAGCGCCCGTAGCTGCTGCTTCTCCGTATGCCTCTGGATTTGTGTTATGTCCAGCACCACCCGGTCGAAGCCCTAATATGATAGATGCACCTCGAAAGTCACTATAGGTTTATATGGTTCCCTTATACTTTTTCTCTACGTTGTTTAGTTTCCTCTATTTTAATATGCTTCTTGCTTATACCAAGTAGCTTTTATTCGCTAATGTATTTGTATTATTTATATATTTTTGCAAGTGTTACATTTGCTTTTAATTTCCCTTTTTTATGATTTACTTGTTCTAATGAATTGCATTCTCTTAAACTTCTTATAACGTAAGGAATATGCGACCTTATTATTTATAGGGTGTTCTATAAGAAATTGAAAAATTCCAAGTGGCTAGAAACGTGTCTTTAAGTAAAAGAAAGTTAAGATTCAATCAATCAATAAATAAAACCACTTGAAAATGGTTGGCGAGAATCGAAGTTAACGTAAAGCGATGGATGAGAGTTTATTAAACAGAGTATGAAGTCATGTTCTCACCGTGATGAAACGCAAACGGTCAGAGTCGAAACAAACGTTATATCATAGGAAAACAAACATGGGAAGGATTTTAGAAGGTTAACGATGAAATCAACAAAGCAAAGCCACGAATAAAGTCAAAATTGAAGTCCCAAAAATCTCTACATTGAAGGTGATGCATGGAGGCAAACCAGGAACCAGGGTTTAAAGTTTACGTAAGGACATTTTGAAAAGGACTCATGGTGTTTTTTTTTTATGCGAGGGTCGTCTACGCAAGAAAACTTTGTTTACGTTTTAACCTTGCGTCGTAAAACAAAAAATGATGAACTAGCTCTAGTAATCGTTTGCATACTAATAAGGTTATCATAAGCGAAAGTAAATCAATCTTTAGACGATATTATTCCGCTGAGTGGAAAAGGCTGGAAAAAATCCACAGAAGATGATAAGAAGAACTCGTTTATGAGTCACCGATTTTTTACAGGAATGTCTAGAAAAGAGCGAACCGAAAGGAAAACAAAGAAGACGTGTGCGTATTGGCGGGGCAGTACAAAATGTGGGACGAGATTTCGTACTAAGATGAAACATGCTACAAATTAGAAAACCAAAGAACAAAGAAAAGAACCATTACAAAATGCCGGACGAGTTGTAAAGAGCAATGGAAAAATTTTTCCTTGCCGCCTGTCCGCTGGAAGAAGCGAAGAGATTTCGGAAGCGGACAACAAAGATTGAACTGGTACCGAGAAGCGGTAGTAACCGTCTACGCTACATAGATGAAAAGTAAACAAAGAACAAGGAAAAACAAGAGGTGCTAACGTGCGAGTAAAGCATAGAATGAAAATGGGACATTCCTTAGAATTCAGAAAACCGAGTTAAGGACAAGAGACTTGTAACAAGCAAGACCTGTAATGAATTAAAAGTGAATTTTATTAAACAAATACAAACTTGCAGTCCAAAAAGGTTTCAGTTTACAAATTTGGAAGGTAACATTTGTCTTGTTTATCCCTGGAGGGGTCGGATAAACAAATGGATCAATTCAAACAGGGATGGTTGATCGAGAGATACGGTGACGAGACGACCGGGAATTTTTCCGACGTAAAAAAAGGACATTTTCGTCATACTCTAAATGCTTCCATCGTGCTGCTTGCGGTGCATTAGTAAATAAACAATAGAGAATTCAGCTACTTTTTAGTAGCGAATTGAAAAAGGACGTAGACATAGTATGGAAAAATGCGGAAGGAAGTTGGATGTGAAGGATGAAACATGAATTGTCAAACGTATGTAAGCTTAAAGAGAGAAAGGAACCATTAAAAATTTGGAATGAAAGTTTAATGATTCGCTGTCCCTTGTTTCATCCTTACAAAAACAGTATTGTACATCAGCGATGGAGTTCAAAGCAAGTCTATTACTTTGGTAGTACGCAAACCTTGCGTTTACAAAAACAATATTCTTTCTGAAGGCAATTGTTGCATAATCTGTTGCGACGCACTTTAGGCATTGTTTATGGCTTAACAGTCATTGTTTATAAATCGTAGCCGTTGGATTTCAGACGCTTTTCTCCGCTTTTCTACTGTCTTCAAATTCGCGTCTTTCAAAACCATTTCGATCAATTCATTGTGTTGTAATACCCAGCATTTCATTGACAGCTTTGTGTACACGATTTTCGTAAGTCTTACTCTTTGAGAACAATTTTTTTTCCATTGACGTCAGGGATTAAAGATGTTGATGAGGCTGATTGGGCAACTACAACGGTTCGGTCACCATCGATACGTTCATCAGGTGACGAGTTTTTCCGAATGCGGTAGCTGGGCAGAATATATAAGAGCTTGGCCCTTCACCAGGACATATCATAACACGATTAACAAACAAAATATAAATATGGGTGTCCTTGATATTGTTCCTACTGGTGTTATTACCGGTGACAACGTTTTGAAGTTGTTCACTTACGCTCGTGAGCACGGATTCGCTATCCCTGCCATCAACGTTACCTCCTCTTCCACCGTCATTGCTTCCCTCGAAGCTGCTCGTCAAGTTCGCTCCCCCATCATCTTGCAATGCTCTAACGGTGGTTCCGTTTTCTTCGCCGGTAAGGGTTCCTCCAACGAAGGCCAAAAAGCCTCCGTTGCCGGTGCTGTTGCTGCCGCTCACTACATCCGTTCCATCGCTCCCTTCTTCGGTGTCCCCGTTGTCTTGCACTCTGACCACTGCGCCGAGAAGCTTCTCCCCTGGATGGAAGGTATGTTCGCTGCTGACGAAGCCTACTTCAAGCTCCACGGTGAACCCCTTTTCTCTTCCCACATGCTTGACTTGTCTGAAGAGCCCAAGGAACAAAACATTGCTTCCGTCAAGAAGTACTGTGAACGTGCCGTCCAAATGAAGATCTGGATCGAAATGGAAATCGGTATCACTGGTGGTGAGGAAGATGGTGTCGACAACTCCGGTGCCGAACAAAACTCCCTCTACACTCAACCCGAAGACATCTGGGATGTCTACCGTGAGCTTTCCAGCGTCTCCCCCTACTTCTCCATCGCTGCCGCTTTCGGTAACGTCCACGGTGTCTACAAGCCCGGTAACGTCAAGCTTCGCCCTGAAATCTTGGGTGACCACCAAAAGTATGTCAAGGAGCAACTTAAGACCACCAACGACAAGCCCGTTTTCTTCGTCTTCCATGGTGGTTCCGGTTCTTCCGTCAACGAATTCCGTACCGGTATCAAGAGCGGTGTTGTCAAGGTCAACATTGACACTGACACCCAATACGCTTACCTCGAAGGTATCCGTGACTACATCTTGAAGTACCAAGACTACCTCAAGACCCCCGTTGGTAACCCCGAGGGCCCTGATAAGCCTAACAAGAAGAAGTTCGATCCCCGTGTCTGGATCCACGAAGGTGAGAAGACCATGACTAAGCGCATTGTCACCGCCCTTGAGGACTTCTATGCCAACAACACCCTCTAAATTTTTGGTCATTAGAAGGTCCTGCAGTTGAATTGGTGATACATTGATATAGACGGTAAGCTTCATTAAAATTACCCGTATGCGTTATTACTTTTTTCTAATGAGATTTGCTGTTTCATGATGTTTTTTCCTTGATCGTAGACGATTGTAGAATTTCCTTTTTACTATAAGACATGCATGTGTAAAAAGGTAAACCGATACTATTTGTAATAGGTAGTGCTAGTTTTTTTAATCAGAGAGAATTGACAAACTATAGGTTTTTGTCTTGTAATTTGGCGAAAGAACACTGGTGAAGAACCGGATTTTAGGGCAATATGAGTAAATTGAATTTTGTCTTTACCCATTACATTGGATTTACTCAAATTAAATCCCGCATTTGGACGTTATTGTAGTTCATTTATACTCTGTACTTTTCTTTCCAAAGCATTAGTCATCAATTGATTGTTTGAGGAATTACACCGAAACACTGAAGAAACCTTTAGCTCATAAGCATTGTGCCTCATCATGGCGGATTTTATCGCAAGGGACTACCAGTCGCAGGGAGATGTAGTGCATCAGATGCTGCCAACATTTTTGGTGGGCAAGATTCTGCGAGAACGAATTGTGGAATCCTTTTACTGGAAGGAACAATGTTTTGGCTTAAATGGTAAGAAGTCTCGACAAGCGATGAATGTAGTTTCACATTCCCTTCTTTTCATCGTTTGTTGTATTTTTTTTTTTTTTTTTTCGCCTTTACAAAACTAACGCGTTTTTTAGCTGCTTCGTTGATCGATCGCGCAGTGCGTCTTGAGTATATTGGTGGGCAATTTGGTAATCAGCGTCCTACCGAGTTTATTTGTTTGTTATACAAGCTGCTGCAAGTAGCTCCAGAAAAAGAAATAGTACTTGAATACCTTTCCATTCCCGAATTCAAATATATACGAGCATTAGCAGCATTTTACATTCGTTTAACATGGCCTGATCCAGATGTCTATCAAGCTTTGGAACCGCTTTTAAATGACTATCGAAAGTTGAGAGTAAGAGATCATAATGGGTTTTACGTTTCACATATGGATGAATTTATCGATGATTTATTAAACGAAGAGACGGTCTGCGACGTCACTCTACCACCATTAATGAGCCGGTATCAACTTGAAGAGCTTGATCAGCTTGATCCCTTGCCGTCATCTTCAGAGAGTGAATCTGAAAATGATGAAACGAAAAAGATTCCTTCCTAAGATACATCTTACTCGCTTAGGAAAAGAAGAAAACGAAATGGATGAACATCTGCTATTTAATTATCATACAGAAGCAATCAGTTACTACTTTTTTTTCTCATAATGGCAGATTTTATTATACACTTTTTTCTGCAATATTCTTGGGTTACTAGGTTACATTTCATATGTGTATTATTACACATTCTAGCATGAAAGAATGAAAGGTTTATGATATTATTATAGAGTACGAATATTCTTTTAAAGAAGGATAGGGTGTTGATTCGTTTATCGTAATATGCTTAAGGTAGTGGAATGAATCGAACCATTTTCGTCAGTATTTCTGAATTCTCGTTACACTTAAAGTCAGTCCACTTTGATCACACATTTATTAAAAGCATTGTCTGCGGCGTTTTACCTTTTGTCGTAATCAAACAACTTTAAGCAAATCGCTTCTTTGGAAAGGGAATAGTAACGTAGCTTAACAGAAAATTACGAGGAAAAATAGAAACAAATTCAATTGGAATTGAATTGATTCTGTTTGCAAGTTTGCGCTGAGTTGTCCATTTCGCTCGGCGAGTGAAGAACTCGTGTTTAATTACCTGGCTCATTGAATTTGCTATTGAGTACTTTAGAAACGTTGCTCTGTTGCTTTGGTTGCTGAAAAGACCCTTTTGCTTTATTTGTTTATAGGGAAAGAACCAGCACGTTATAAAAAAACACTAGTCTTAAAGAAAAGGCAGTGTATTCAGTTATATTGTCAATTTCTTTTCTGTAATTTTTTTCCTTCTATTTAGAATTTTTTGAGTATACCTCTGAGGTTTCGTTCCTTTTCTGTTTATTTGCAACATGCTTGCTCCACCCTCTGTTCCGTCTGTCTCGGTCTCTTCAGCTTCCCCTTCCCAGTCTTGTAACAAGAAAGATGGTATGAAGATGTCGGAAAGCTCGAATTGTACTACAACGATCCCTGAACCCACCGATACGAACTCTTCGTCTCCTTTGGTAGATAACTGCAATAATCTTTTGTATGATCTTGCAAACTTTGTGGAAGATTCTCCTCCGACCCTTACCAATACTTCCTTCTCCCCTAACTCATTTGCACTTTCTGATATGGAATCGTCAATGAATGGATGGCTTCAATCGTTTGCCTTTGACGATAATTTCAGCACGAACTCTACGCAGTTTCCTTCGAATGGCGTGAACTCTCCCAACTCACTCGGTAACTCTTCGAATCCATTACGCTCCAACTGCGAATCGCCCAATTCCTATTATAATGAGAATTTCAATTTTGCAAAAGCGAATGATTTGGATATAGATTTTAAGTTTCAGTCTTCTGCGGATCCTGACCACCATACCGTTGATACAATTGATCCGTCAACTGTAGGAACTCATCCTCCTCAAATGTCTTATGATAACCAACCTGGAAATCTTAAGCGTGAAGACCTTTTAGATGCCGATACTACGCACATAAAACAAGAACCTAGCGCGAAAAAGGTCAAAGTTTCTCCTCAATCTACTGAGACTGGTGTGAACTCTTCTGTGTCTTCTGGAAGTCCACCTTTTCCTGTCCTTGATCCAATGGAAAACTTTCAAAAGGAGTCATCATCACCCGAAACTATAGATCCTACCACCGGGAAACCAAAGAAAACATCTCACAACATGATTGAAAAGCGTTATCGTACAAATCTGAATGATCGCATTTGTGAACTTCGTGATGCAGTTCCTTCTTTACGCGCTGCTGCTGCTCTTCGCTGCGGTGTAACTTTAGAAGAAGAAGAATTACATGGGCTTGCTCCTGCAAGAAAATTAAATAAAGGTACTATTTTAGCAAAAGCAACTGAATATATCCGACATTTGGAATCCAAAAGCAAGCAGCTTACCAAAGAAAATAAGCGCCTTTCTGATCGATTAGCATTTTATGAAGATCCATCCATGGCTCCCGTGTCAGCTGATAACAATAAAGCTTCCGAGCCGGTCAATGTCGTTTCATCGGAATTTTCTGTTCAAAATTCTGCCCGACGCCATACGCCACAGCATGCACGTACATCACCAACTCTTAATTCTATGGGTCGCACTGCTTTGAATGGAATGGTCGGTTTGGGTCTCTTCAATTATCTCGGGGGTGGTGGTAATGATTCACAATCGATCTACGGGTTGTTCGCTCTCCCTTCCTTCCTCACTTCAATTCCGTTTACGACAATTGCTTGGCATTTATTGAAAATCGGTGTTGTATTGTTAGGGTTGTTTTACATCTTGAATGATAACCGGCTTTTTAAGGGTTTCAAATCAAAAGGAAAGCCCAAAGTTTCAGCGATGTCTTCTACATCGCCTTCATCTATTTTGTTCCGGAAAACAATGTTTGAAAAATATTGTTTATTGGATCATTCTTCTTCCTCAATATCACTTTTCTTTGGTTTGTTGATTTTCATTGTCAAATCATCTATCAACTATATAAATCATCGAATTAGTGGATTGTATGCGTCGTCTGAGACTTGGGTTTACAGTGAACAGCAGCTTGCAGATATCAGAAATTTAGAAAAACTGCTTGATGCACAGTTAATGGGCGGAGATGAAAAGGTCAACCGCCTTCGTTTATTTATGGTTTTTGCTTCATCCTTCTTTTTGCCTACAACCAGCCATACGTCTGCTCTCCAGGCAATGTACTCTGAACTTATATTCTCGAACTCTCCTATGCCATCTGCATTTGTATCGAAATGTGCTTCATTTTTTTGGAATCGTGCCAAACGCCTACAAAGTAGTGCATCTATGCAGTCAGATCTTCAAGAGCTTCCTGAATGCGTCGTAAAGTTAATTGAGACATGTGATGCAGAAGATATTTTCTCTTCTTGGATGGTTAAACGTTTGTGGACACTGGCTAGATGTACTCGTGATTCTGCAAAGTTGCCTAATAGCATAATTAGCAAGCTTTCAGATGTTGTGGTCATGTCTCCTTTAGAAACAACTGCTTCTTGGTATGCGGTTGATTTGCTAGAGGCCTTGTTAATGGAAAGTTTAGACCACCGTATTGAAAAGTCTGAAATTGATAAAGTCCTTTCTCTTTCTCCGAAGAACTCTCCAGTGTATCGTCATGCCTTAGTCGCCAAATTGGTTTTGTTCGAGGACAATACGTCAGAATCTCTTACAGAAGTTTTGGCTGCATATAACACCACATTGCAACTTCGGAGCCAAGATAAGCGCAGCTTTTCTAGCGTACTGAATTTAAGCAGCAGCAAACTGTTCACGATACACGCTTCTTTAGCTCTTGGATTGTTACGTCTTGGTTATACTGACGTCGCCAAGCGCATGTATAGAGAAATCTGCGTTCCAGAGGATAATTCCGATATCAGTATGTTGTCTTTTGTTATTGGTTGGAAAGCATTGAAGGCGTTTTCTCCCATATGCACTTCGCAGAAGGAAAACGACGTCGTGGAAACTATGGCCATGTACGTTCGCATTGGGATTGGTTCATTAGGATTAGAGGATCCCAAGGTTTGTCATCATCTTATATCGTCCTGTATTGAGATTGGATCACGGGTTCAAGAAGATTTGGGTTATGCTTCTGGCTCTGAAAACTCAGCCTGAGACATTCATTCTTTAATTTATTATAAACGTAAACGTACGAAACATTGTCCCAATTTCTATGATTATATTTTCTTTTTGTTTTCTTTTTAAGTTGTTAAGCTTTAATAATATTATCTTTTATTCACTATGTTGCCAGAACATATCATTAGCAGACGCAGAATAAACACTGTAATGAGCAACTATACTGCTAAGTTTGGATATCCTTAGACTTTGGTGTGCTCAGTATTTAGCAGCACTTCCATCACATCTGGCTGACTAGTTCAAGTATTCTTAAGGAACAAGTTAGCTGACTTCATCACGAGAAGTATTTCTAAGTGAAGCTCCGCTTAGAATCGATCTTATTTTTACTATTTCGATTTTTTTTTAAAATAAAAAAGAAAAAGAATGTTTGCGATCATTGAATTTGTATTCCCATTTGTTGGTTTTGTTTGGATTCAAGTAACTCGTAAAATAATATACTCCTTATTGTTATGAGTGTTCGGCAGTGTTTGGTAGATTTAAGTCCGCCTTTAGTAAGCAATACCTCTTTTTACGAATATTGCGCAAATTTATAGAATACCGTTACACTTACTCGTTTAACGTATTTTAGCAACGATTCCTTCATAAACAATGTTTTTCTCTTCCGTTAATTACGCAAATGTATTAAAAGTCTAAACTTTTAAACTGTAAGCTTCTTGGAGGAATTTGAACAACTTCTACTATGAATAAACACTTTGCAAGGTTTTCTCAATGGACTGGAGAGCGTTTTGGGTTTGATCGACAGAAAACGACTCTTTCAGATGATTTCTGTGAGTTACGGCGAGAAATGGAACTTCGATTTAATGGAATTGAAAAGCTCCATCGGGACTTTAGACAATGGATACAATCCATGGAACGAAAGAAGTCAACTCTGGAAGAAAAAGAAAAACCGCTGCCGATTGTCGGTCTAGGTGATTCTTTCCTTAATCTAGGATACATTTTGTCTGATTATTCTGTTCATTCTGACACCTATAATATGTATGGAAAGACTCTTATTCAGATTGGAACGCTACAGGAAAACTTTGTTCGCTTCGTCACTGAATCATACATGAGAGAATTGGAGCGATGGCTTTCACAAAGAAGAGTGTTGGAGGCTAAAGAGAAAAAACTTGAAAACAGGAGGTTGGTATTTGACGCACTCTCAACGAAAATCCAGAAAGCTAAAAAAGAGGATTCTAAAATTGAAGAGGATTTGCGGATGGCCAGAGGAAAATACGAAAATACTTTAGAAGATTTTGAGGAAACAATGATTGAGCTAAGGGAATTTGAGGTGAGTAGTCACTTTCATTTACTTCTGCTAACAGTATTCCAATATATAGTCCAGTCAGATCAACAAGCTTGTTCTTTTATTACACAAACATATTCAATTCCATGAACAGTGTCTGAATATTCTACGACCTTTGGAATCTCAACGCTTTGGAGCGATGCAACAACCTACGAATCGTTCAAGACGATCGTATTCTACAAAGTCATTAGCTTCTTCGCCTTCTGTCATTTGTAAGAACCATAATCAAGCAGTGGATTCTCGTCCTTCTTCTCCTTCTCTTAGGTTAGAACCAACATCATGGACGACTCCAACTCCTATCAATGCTGGGGAAGAAGCTTTACTTCCAGCTAAATTTTTGCAAGGACTAGGAGATTTGCAGCTAGATAATACATCTTCACCTTCACTATCCCTTAGAAAGTCTCCGTCACCGGAAATACCTATTTCATCGAAGCCGCGATCTATAGGACGCATGTCTTCAAATCATTCTACTTCTTATGAAAAATCTAAAAATTCGTCCGATGATAATGAAAAAGATCATATGCTTGAAACAAAAACCGAATCTGGCCATAGTCCTTCATTATCGGCAATACCTATGCCAACATATTCCCTGGAGAAAGAAACGATATCTGTGAGTCAACCACACAAAAGTTTATCAAGTCCTTTACTTGCTCATAAAGGCTTAGAAGCTGTAAGGATGAAATATGACTTTGAGCCCCAGATGGAAAATGAGTTAGCTTTGAAGAAAGACGACATTTTACTTGTCCTGAAGAAAGTTAATGTTGGATGGTGGGTTGGGGAGCAATTGGACGGTGATGGAAATTTAACAGGAAATACTGGCCTGTTCCCATCAAATTTCTGTTTTCCTGAACATGGTTCTGTACAATCAGACAAAACTTCGAGAACGCAGAGCAACTATGAAACGTCCCTTCCTTCTGTAAGATGATTTTTAATTATTAACCAGCTTCGGTTCCATAGACAATATGAGCCTTTTAGTTTAGCTGGTTTCTTTGATTATTTTTTGTACATGACTTATACTCTTACTGCATAGCCCGTTTACGTTTACATTGCGCATTTTAAACAATGTTTTTTATAGTTTTGTCAGTTGGATTTTGTTGGCTTTTCCTATTCTTTTTACTGTTATTTCAACCTGTTGTTAGGACTGTATCTCATGTTTTATTATTGGTCCTACAGAAAACTAAACAGTGTTACATTCCTTTTTTTATTTAAATTTAAAGAACTGCAAAATACTAGTCTAACATTTGAAAAATATACCAAGCCGTACGAAAAAATTAAGAACTTTTATTCGATTCAACTATCGAAATTAGCAACAAAAGGGTAAAACATTAACGGATTATAAATAAGAGAAAATTAAGCTTCTCTCGTATACCAGTAATATACAAAAGGCTAAAAGAAAATATACGCAATGACATGAGAAAGCTTGATTCTAGCAAAAAGGCATCAAGCAAGCGTAAAAGTTTTAAATCGCTCTTTTCACACATTGGTCGATAGTTTCACAGCGCGAAAGGATAACACAAAAAAGAAAGAATCAAAAAGAGCGATTAGCATTCAATAAACGCTGCAGAGCAAGTAGCTTAATGGTATTATATTGTGAGTTGGGAAATTTGTTAGAATTTGATTCCATTTGTAGCTTTCGTTGTAATTCGTCTGCTCGCCAATGAGGGATAGGACTGCTTAGGGGAGATTTTTCAGTTCGATCTTTTACATTGGAATCGTAAAGGATTACTTTCTCTGGCTTTCCTTCGGAAGAATCTGCCATTATTGACTTTTCATTTTTCGAAAACAAAATAGGTTCGCAGACAAAAGGGTCCGAATTATGACTGGCAGGAATTGTATTTGACGGCGAGGATTGCGTGTTTTTTAAAGATTGTAAACGTATAACGTGTCGTTTCTTCACTTGCTCACGACGACGATGAGGATGAGCATTCTTCATTCTGCCAAATATAGAAGGCCGCGTCGATATAGTCCCTGTAGAAGAGACATTATGCTGTGTAAAGAAATAATCTGAAGAAGGAGAAGGGGAAAGTGTAGAAAGAGGAGTACAAGAGGACTCCTCAGATTGAGCAGAAAGCCGATGGATGGTATCAAACGGAGTGGACCTAAAAATGCACATGGGAATGTTGTTGGAGGATTTCGGATATAGGGAGTTCCTTGACAATGCTAACTTCGTCAACGATTGAAGATTTGGATGAGCATGAACGTCCAACGGACCCATTTTCATCGGATACTGAGTATCAACCTTAGTGGATTCGATGTAATCTGGGGGACCGTCTAAAAATTCGGGATTTGTGGAGGATTGTTTTACGGCTTCCCTGGAGGCTCCAAAAACAGTAGGGCCAGGCTTAGGGACGGAAAAGGGAAGGGACGGATCTGCTTTGGCAAACCACAAACGAGACATTTTGTAAATGATAGAAGGAAGTTCTTCTCGAAACAAAGCTGCAAGTTGCACCTCTATTTCTCTCTGCAGAAAACGAGCAATCGCAGGTATTGAGTCAAATGAAGAAGAAACCCGCAAAGATTCCAAAGGGTCGTTGCGAAACACCATGGTAATTCCCTTTTGCTTTGAAAACACCAAAACAACAATACCATTGAGTTTAAGATTCGATAAGCGCAAGAACATGGGAACCGTCAAAGGGGCACAAGATGCAAGCATGGTGTTTCTAGCTCCAAAGCTGGGTACTTTACGTTTTTCGACGGACAAGGGATTCGCCCGAATTTTTGTCTGTAAAACCAATGATGCATTTCCTGAATAATGAAAGTTAAATAAACCCTGAAACCGATCAGGAGCCAGATCCCCAATTTCTAGTATTTCCAATTCCGGTGGTTGTTCGCCCATATCCAATTCCTTAACAGTAATGCGATCAGCAATTAGTGAGTGCTTCGCACCCTTGTTAAGGGCGGCAGTTAGCAATGTCGTCGCTCGCTCATAGAAGGCATCTGAAAACTGTTCACCCCAACCGCTAATTCGAAACGACATTTTCACTGTTTCACTGTCAAACGAAGACTTTGGACAACTCAATGCTCTCCAAGCCTTATTCGTTGCAAATTCTCATATATTCTTGTTTCTTATTTTGTTTTTTTCTCGATCTCACTCAGAATTGTTCCTTTCGATGTTTGTAGATGGCAGGCTGGAATCGATCTGTGGCGGTCCGCTTAGACGCAATACGCTGTTACATGGAAGAGCGGGGTTTAACAAACCATTGCGCGATGCGAAAAGTGGAATATGGAGAAATCGTTGTCATACCGTATTTTCAAACAAAGTAAACAAATAAAAGTACTTTTTTATTTAACAAGGAAAGCATAAATAATCAGTACGGTGGAAAGAGCTGTTGAGGAGGTATTGTCTCATTAACAGAAGATTTTATCAAAGAAAATGCAAATTTTTCTTCTTTTCTTTCCAAGCGAGCAACAGTCTTTCTTACGAAGGAAGCATATGAAAGTGTAGTCCATAGTGGAGTCGCTTCTTTTATTCTTCCTTCTTATAGGTTTTTCTCTCCATAGAGGCTCTTGGAAACACTGATTTAATAAGATTCTTGCTTATTCTTTCTTTGGCAAGTCATTCATATAGGATTCAACGAGAATGTATTAATACCAGATATGTAGGAGTAGTGTTTCCAAAGGAAAAACACCTAAAAGAAAAACCATAGTGTAAAGTAAATGTAGCCTAAAATGTACCAATTCTTTCGGGAGGTACGAGCGTTCGTTTTTGGAAAATGGTTTCAGAAATGGATCCATACAAACAAAATAGAAATTAAAAGAACATCCTTTTTATACGACTTTGTTCGTTGTCCGTCACTACTCAACTTATGCTCATACCTATACCTAGGCTCTCGCATCTTCTTCCACTAGTCCTTTCCTACGCACCCACCTTATTCATTCGTAGCAAATTTTGTAAAGTAGGCGTCCTCCGAAGCGTTCGCTGTATTTTGAATTCCGGTTTGTTCTCTTAACGTTTGTATTTTTTTGTTTTTCCCTTTTTTCGTTCCATTGAATCAGGAAATCCAACCATTGTCTAAATGATTGAAATCGTCCAGAAAACGGCCATACCCAAAAATGGACTAGGATCATTTATCCGTCCTGTATGTATACAGCATTGAAAGAAAAAAGAAAGGTTGGGTTACTAACGATATTTAATTAGTGCCAAAGGATCGAGCTCTCATATTGCAATTGGGGCGGAAGTTCAAAATCGATGAAAGAGTTTTTATCGAAAAAGTTAGCTGCTATTGCTAAAACTTCTCAGGATATCGAATTTCATGTCTACAATCAACAAGGAAAACATCCTTTAATACGTGCATTTTACAGTAAGTATCCTCGGCTGAACAACAAGTACAACGGTTTGCGGCATGCAAGTCTTTTACTATCTCAACTGTAATTGCATTCTGACTAAATTTCTAGATACTGGACGAGAAAAAACAATTTGTACTAGAAAGATGGATGCCAACCAGATTACGGATAAAATCATGTTGTGTCGTGATAGTGATGGTTTAAAACCAAGATTCATCAAACAACCCGTCGAATCTACGAATCCATCTGTGCGTGGTGTTTGGAGTCCTTTTTCTGAAACAGCAGAGTCATACCGGGTTTATGGAAAAAATTGATGGACAGCTATCTGATTCTAGTTCAGCATAAACAAAACACTTTAATATTATTAATTAATCAATCCTTTACTCTTTTTCTTTCCTTATCACTCCCATAAATAAGTATTCACCCAAAAATTTACGAAATCCGAACGAAATTATATAATGTACAGTACAATCCTCGTTTATTCTTCCTTGTTGACGGCAGGAATCCGTAAAGGCTGTTTCATGTTTTTAAGGGAAACAGAACATGCATAACAGATATCAGGGTTGGCAACGGCATCTTCTTGTCCTTCGCTAGGATGTTGCACAGTAGTCTTCTGTAACCAAGCTCCTGCGTTTTCTTGCATCGGCAACTTACAAAGAGAGCAGGTTTTATTTGCTTCCGGCACATTAAGCTTTGAAGACATTCTTACAACAGTGTTTACTAAACTAGGGAAAGGGTCGTTTAAGTTTTTGAAGTAATTCTCTGCTACACCAGAGATTGTAGCAGGGCGTTCTTCCACTACCGTTGGTATGTAATCAAGTTCTTTGATTTTCATATAAGATTTTAACTCGGAAGACAATACCTCACGGAGAGGACGCAACAAGGAAACTGGAAAATCAGGAAGCTTGGAATAAACGGACGTGCACCAAGGAATAGCAAATCCTCTTCCTTCAGCTACAAGCTCCAAGACTCGAGCGGCAATCGTTGTACCACAATCACCAAAAACGATTGTGTCACAGCCTTCCTTTTCGGCAATCGAGATAAGGACTTGTTCGCGAACACGATATAATAAATCTTGTCTGGAAGCCAATGATGGAATAGCTTCCAGGTTAAAGCTATTGCAATTAGATGAATCATCGTGAGATAATTTGCCGTTTGCATCAATGCAATATGCATTCTTCAGTAAATCATCTTCTTGGATAACCTGAAATTCACATTGGGTGTAATAAGACTCTATGGCTTTTTGTATTATAACTTTTGTTTTTGCGCGCCCTTCTTCGTCTTGTAAAGATCCACTTTGTAAATGAACGACTAAGAGTTCATCGAACATGGGTCGATAATTATCTTTCCTGTATCGCGAAAGATAATATGCAGTTTCTAACATGGCCATTGAAGAGATTCCTCCAGAAACAGCGAGCAAAGCTTTTCGAGAGCGTCGATGTTCCAAATTTGGACGCAAAAGCTCAAATTGACGACGTATCTTATTTTCTGTCGATCGAACAAAGCATCCATCACAACTGTATTCGGATCTAGACATTACCGTTGCCTGCTTCTTGCATTTTCTACAAAGAAATACTTTGTCGTTGTCATTTCCATCCATGTTCTGCATTTTCCCTATACTAATAGCGACCCCAATTCTTTAGATTTATATTCTTTTTTTTTATAATGAAAAGTCCAATTTAACCAAGTAATTCTTATAATAACAATATTGACTGGCTTACACAACGTTTGTAGTGGGCAAACTTTTTACAGGCATAGCATAGCACCTACTGTATACTACCACACAAGGCAATTAAACGGAATCATGTCTTTGTGCTTAAAGCTGCTCCATGAGTCCCAAGGTATTTATTTTTTTTTTTCTTTTGCTTTTCTTTCAGATTGAGGAAAACTAACGTTGAATGCTAGGGCACATAGTTACTGTGGAATTAGAAAATGGCTCTACTTACAGAGGCAAGCTAATTGAAGGTAAAGCAACCATTTCCTAAACTTAGACTAATAAAACATATAGCGGAGGATAATATGAATTGCCAAATGAAAGACATAAGTGTTACCGCTAGAGATGGACGTGTTTCTCAACTTGACCAAGTTTACATTCGGGGATCTCATATTCGATTTTTGATCGTTCCAGACATGCTAAAGTAAGCTTTTTTTATATATCCAGAGTATGTTTTACTAACTGAGACAGAAATGCACCTATGTTTAAAGTAGGACCTGCTCGTGGTACGCCATTACCAACCCGTGGACGACGTTAACACGGTGAAAAAATATGAGTCATAAAACTATTTTATTATAACAGATACTGTGCGATTAAGTTTCATACAATGCCTTTTTGAATACGATACAACTGAGGTTTCTGTTGTTTACTGAATAAATTAATTTAATTAAAGGTTAAGAAGACATTGCAATATTGATCCCTATTAGCAGTTGCATTTCTGGCCGTTGAGCCTTCGATTGATTTAGAAACGTCTTCTTGCACAAGCTTCATGAGAATTGGTATCTCATGGATTGTATAACCCTTAAAAAATCAAAGTCAATGACGAAAAGAGTGAGGATATAGGTACTTTTAAGCAACCGATACAAGTTGGTTGATTGAAAATCATGTAGTGAAGCATTGCATTCGTATTAAGCCTTACCACCCTTCTTTGTAAGTTTAAGAACTTTACGACGTTGAGACATCATGTGCGTGTACAACATATAGAATCCTAAAGTTTGTCAGTATATAGCAATGTGTTTGGTCAAGATAAACAAAGACAACTGTAAAGTTGACTAGAGCAAGATGAAAAAGAAGAACAGTACATACCGAATGGATAGATTACTGTTGCAGCGGTCCACACAATTTTACTTAAGAAGAAGGCGTTCCAGGCAGTGCGAAAAGTTTTGAGGACAAGTAAGAACTCACTTCCAGCGCCAATAGGGTAGAGAACGATAAAGGTATTGTAACGAAGCCATATAAGGAATTTAGGGACGGCACCGGTCAAGTTACAAGCGTAAAATGCATAACGGACAACCTCAGTAATCGACCAAGCTAAAATCATAAAAAGATAGATGGAAGATTTGTTGATAATATGCGGAAAAAGATAGCATACTCCCCAAACGAGTATAAGACGAGAAATTACTTGCATAGCAGTCGTGAAGGGAGATGACTTTACGAATCCAAAGATACTATGGAAGATTTCTGCCAAAGCCAATGTCTGAACCCAGCGAACCAAGACATTGGTTTCATTAAAGACGACACGCTGGTCGCCGGAAAGTTGCCAAAGCAAACCAGCTCTAATCAAGACACTTAACCATAAAAAGCACGATAAAACATTGTATAACTTAAGATACTGGATTTTGACTATAATATTAGCAAATGAATCTCAACTACGGTATGTTTTTTCTTACAAGGCTTTGCCATACTGCAATGTTTGTGGTGGAACTCAAGTTGTGAACACAAGGAACAAAACAAGCTTAACTTAGCTTAGGTTTGACTCTAGAAGTAGAGAGCGAGTTTTTAGCGTTGACTGAAGTCTTAAGAACAACAGAGAAAAGAAAAAAAGAAAAAAAACCCCACATCAAAAACAGATTTAAAACGGCAGAAAGAAACAATTGCTTTCTAATTCAAAAACAGACTTTTCCACTGCAGGAAAAGCATCCATTTTAATGGGTAGGAAAGCTACGAAATTGTAAAAAAACCGTCTAATCGGTAGTATAAGATTCCATTTCGTCTATAGCGTAAATATAGAAATATTAATGAATATAACAACAAAACAAACAAACAAAGAATGTACGAAAGAAGCATCTTTTCCTAATCCTGTTCCCAAGGCACCATAGCTTCAATGCATCGATACTACAAATCAAGCTACGATAATCAATTTGGAGGAATAGAAACGTTAGTTTAGATAGGATAGCCAGCCTGTGAAAATATATATATATAGAGCGAGCGATTTTGCAACGAAAGAACACCAAAATTGATAATCAAAGATTGTATATTCATTTGCTCATTGAATGATCACTACCATCATTATTTGTTAATCGAGGCAGAATCGGTCAACTGTGTTTGAATTGGAGAAACTGTGGTTCTAAGTTTTCCTAGGTGAAGATAATTTTCTTTCATGTGGACCCTTCTTCCAATTGCTACCTGTTTGAGCATTGTATTTCATTCTTATTTTCAACCTGAACATCGCTATTCTTCTAAAAGAACGATCGGAACTAGATATAATAATTTTCTATATCTAAAGACCGTAATTCTCAAGTACCGGTCACTACTCTTTCTCTCATCTTTTCTTAAAACATTTCGCTCTATGTTCCATCAAACAATTGGAAAACGAAATTTTTTTTAGCGTTTTGTGGAGTAGTGGTAACTCTCCTTCGTTTATGAATAGTTTATTAATTTAGCGAACCCGTCAAAATCGTGTGCTTGGGGCGCTGCATATAATTTTTTTATTGCTCACTATGGCTTGTCTTTCCCAAACACCTCGCCCTGCAATATTGGGCAAATATCCATATTCCATCATTCCTTTCAAGCCAATCCGAATCTAAAGAGGCCTTCTCTTGTATTTTTGGATTCAGAGTCCAGAAAAAAAGTTTTTCATCGAACACGGTTTTTGTAAAAAATCTTTTCATAGACATTCATCGCTGACGAATTTTTGTTTGTTGGCTCCTTATTGTTTTTTTTTATCTTTTTGTTATTATTATTTCTCTTTTATATTGTTTGGAAAGTACCGTCTCTTTTTTTTTTATAATTTATAATCATGGGCAAGTTGGGAAAAATTACGGAAAATAAGGTTTATCAAAAACTGAAAGACATTGTTTTGTTAGACCAAAAGCCGGGTTTGACGTTAGGCCAACGGCTGTTGACCAACGAGGACTTATACCCTGTCCCAACTAGCAGACGTCTTTGGGGTTATTGGAACTTTGTCTCTTTCTGGCTTGCTGAGTCCGTTAATATCAATACTTGGATGATTTCAGCTACTGCTATTGAAGCTGGCCTTAACTGGTGGGAAGCTTGGATTTGTGTCTGGGTAGGTTACATGATCTGTGGTTTTTTGATTGCTGCAACTGGTCGTGCTGGTGCTGTCTATCATCTTTCTTTTCCTGTAATTTCCCGTTGTTCGTTTGGTATTTGGGGCTCTTTATGGCCAGTTTTGAACCGCAGTGTCATGGCTTGTGTCTGGTTCGGTGTCCATACCTGGATTGGAGGTGAATGTGTTGTATTAATGTTACGATCTATCTGGCCCTCCTTTTCTCATATACACAATACCATGGCGAACAGTGGTACCGAGACTTATCAGTGGGTTGGCTTCTTTATCTTTTGGATCATTTGCAATGTCTCCATCTGGTTTCCGGTTCACCAACTTCGCCATCTTTTCTCCTTCAAGGCTTTCGTCGCTCCTCCTGCCGCAGTCGCCTTTTTAATTTGGGCCCTTGTCAAAGCTAAGGGTGCTGGTCCTGTCATTCACGAACCTACGAAACTTAATAGATGGGATCATGGCTGGACTGTTGTAAATGGCATCGTAACCGTTTTAGATGGCTTTGCTACATTAGCCGTTAATAGTCCTGACTTTGCTCGGTTTGCTACTACTCCCAATGCCAACCTTTGGCCTCAGATTATTACTGTACCCCTCTCCTTCGGTATTACCTCCTTAATTGGTATCCTTGTCACTTCTGCTTCCAAGGCCATTTACGGCACCGCTTATTGGGATCCAACTCAACTCCTTTCAGCATTTTTGGATCACTCAAACGCTCATGGTGTTCGTGCTGGTGTTTTTTTCATCGCTTTTGGTCTCTGCGTTGCTCAACTTGGCACGAACGTAGCTGCAAACTCTGTTTCCGCCGGTAACGATATTTCTGCCTTGCTTCCTGCTGTTTTTAATGTCCGACGTGGTGCTTACCTCGCTTCTATCATTGCATTGTGCATGTGCCCTTGGCATTTGCTCAGCTCCAGCAGCAACTTTACTACTTATCTTTCTTCTTATTCTGTTTTCATGTCGGCTTTTGCTGGCATCTTTCTTGCCGACTACTTTGTTATCCGTAAAGGTTATATTAGAACCTCGCATCTTTACACGGCCGATGATACCAGCTGCTATTACTTCTACAAGGGATTTAATATTCGTGGCTTTGTATCTTATATATGTGGTATGCTGATTAACATTGTTGGTATGGCTGGTTCAGTTGGTAACAAAGTCCCAGCTGCCGCTACCACTATGTTTAATCTCAATTATTTTTTGGGAATTTTAGTAAGTGGCTTGACCCATATTTTCCTCTGCTATGTTTTCCCCGTTACTGAGGTAGGTGAAAAGTTCTTGAGCGAAACACCTGAAGAAACTGAAGAATATTTGATCAGTCTTGAAGACACAAGTGATGGTTCTTCTGATTTCTTCATAGATGGTTTACCAAGCAAGGAGGAAGATAAAAGCGACATTCACAGTCTTAAATCCAAAGAAGTTGGTTGCTTGCCATAAGTTATGTTTTACTTTTTTTCTTTTATGTATCTCTAATCGTTAGTCATTTCGTTAAGATTTTTTGGTTTTTGGATTAGTTATTTTCTGCCTTGATTCCTTGATTTATTATGTATTTTAATTAAAATCACCTACTGACGAAATAATAGCTATAGCACTTTCATTTGAATCAATGCAAGGTATCAAGGCTTCATTTTATTTATTTTTAGTTATTTATTATCCATGTTTTGTATGATCAAGATTTTATGTCTATGTTAATAACATTTTCTATTTATTATGTGCGTTTTTTTTGCGTAAACAGGGTAAGTTATTTCATTTCATTTTCTTCAGATATTAGTCATAATAAGTCTATTTCTGTCAAGGATAATACTAAGAAATATCAATGTAATTGAGCATGAAATAAGGAATGGCTGTCTCTGTATTGTATAGTTGCGATTGAATTGCAAATTTCTGTCAATAAGTCATTATAGGAATGTTCCAATACGTCTGGTTGACGAACTCCGATATATTCAATAGCAAGTTCTTTAGCTCGATTAGCCAAATCTTCCCAACTGACGATTTTGCCGAGAAATATTCTTTCATGATTCTTCTATTTAGTAAGTAAACAAGCGTTTTTAGTTCATTAATCATTGCAATTCTCTTGTTCTTTGAATTTATATTTCCACTTGGGTTACATAAATGATACAATACATAGTTTATTAAATAATATATTTATGTATACAATTAAAAAATGCATAGCACCGATGACTGCAAGCAAAAAGAAAGTGTGTACTTTTGCGTATAATTAAAACGGATTTAATAGGTGCCAAAATAACGGTCGCCAAAGTCTCCACAACCAGGTACAACATAGCTGAAAGGGTTAGCATAGATCAAAAAAATAATATATGATTTACCGTTGATCATTCAACTCTGGATCGATAGCAGCAGTAATCAATCTAAGTCTAGGAAATTGCTTTCGAATGTTTTCGACGCCTTGAGAACAAGATATGAGATTGAGAAAAACGATATTTTCCTCAGGAACACCTTTTTCTAATAGAACTTGGATAGCAAGAATAGAAGAATTCCCTGTTGCCAATAAAGGATCCATAAGAAAGACCAAAAAGGTTTCAATGCCTTTGGGCAATTTGCAAAAGAGAAGTTTTGATTCGAAAGTAGATTCATTTCTCTGCACAAGCATTTTTCCAATGGGCACGGAATGAAAAGCAGAATTCAAGCCATGTTCCATGCTTTCACCAGCTCTCAAAATACTTACACCGCAAATTTCTTGGGCAGGCTTTAGCCCAAGATACGTACCACCCGAACCACTGGCAATAAGGCATCTCTTCATAGAAACATGATTCATTGCTTCTTGAACAAGCATGGTGATAATAATATTAGATGTTCTGACAAATGCAGAATGGTCGGTATTTTTATCACGGATTATTGTCATTAAAGAAATTAAGTACAGGGTCTGACGAAGAACTAGTACATTTTCCATCCCAAGAGCAGAATGAGGCATGAAAATATTTATTTTAAGGAATCAATGATATCTTGACAAAGATATGACACAAAAGGATGGGAGAGAATGAGATACAAAAACGATAAATTTAAATAGAAAATGACATTTTCTGAGAGACTTTTGGTTTCATATATATATGAACAAAATCCGGGACTTTCAGCTCTACAATTCCATGCAGATTCCGGGGGCCTCCCGCGGTACCCTTCAGCAACGAGTGCTGATATTTCTCTGCGTTTTTGACAATCATTTTGCAATGAAAATAAACCAATTATAAGCAAAGAAATTTAGTCATTTTAATGAAAAGTTAACAAGCTGGATTAGCCATGTTCCACGGTAGCCACTCCTAAATTATAGGGTTTTAGACCTTGTAGGGTTGCATCAGATACCGGTCGAGGAGGGCCTTTATACCAAGTGGACGCAGTCGACATCGGATCAGAAGGTGAATGGACGACAGAAGAGCTTGATTTTGTGGTAGGAAGAAAAGCTTCAGGGCCTGCCTCATTGACAGTAACCTGGTATTCTTTTAGGTAGGTAGCAAACTTGGTAGCCAGATGGTACTGATCAACACTAATCAATAAAAGCCATTTCCATGTCTTTGTAACAACTTCATTCAAAAGATCTGTTTGAATGGCTAGAGAACCAATATCTTTGGTTTTCGCAGCATAGATTAGTCGTAGCATGCTGGTACAAGCAAAGGCAGCATGAAATAAAACGTGGTCAGAACAACGAGACATATCGTAAGCAGAGAGTTCAAAAATGGCGTTGACAGTCTTTAACGCATATGCTTCAAGCATACTGACATATTTCGCAATATTAGTAAAATGCTTCGTATCGGTGGCCATTTGGATGCAAGCTTCATAAACTACGTTGTAAGCGTAATAATAAGCAACTTGAGAATATACTGGTTCGGGTTGCTCCCATAAATGGCACCATTCTTTTCGCCATTCTTCAAGCTGAAAGATGGCATATTCCAAGTCAAATGACGAACGAAGTAGACGATATAACATTGAGTAAAGGGACAGCATACCAAGGATGTTTCCATCAAATTCACTGGCTTTACAGTTGGTCAAAATATTTCTACATTCATCGAAAGTGGTCTCTTCAAGCATCGCGTGTCGACGATACCCTATGCATATGACTAGATGAGCGTGACATAGATGATTCCAAGTGCGAGCAGGAACAATGTCGAGGTAAGTAAGGGTAGATCGAGAACCTAAAAAACCGTTGAACCAACCTTGAGTACTCGAGAGGATGCGATGCCGCAAGGAAAACCCACTTAGGAGCCAAAGGTCTTGTTTTTGAACATAGCGAAGAGGTTGATAAAGAGACAAGATAGAGACAGCCTCAAAAAATTGGAGAGAGGGTGATGCAGTGAGTAACTCTTCGGAAACAAGGCGATCAACTATATCGAGTAGTTGTGGATACACACGAGCCCTGAGGGAAGGATTGTGTCGTAAAGCCGTTACGCAGGCAGTTGCGAGCAAAAGATGAGACTTGTGGTAAAGAAACTCGAGGTATTCAGCCCCACCGCAGTTAACTGAGAGCCAACGCCTACCGTAGCGCTCAATAAAGATATCGAGTAAAAGCTCGATTTCCTCAAGGGAAAGAATACCGTTAACAAAAATGTCTTCCCGGGGGTAGGAGGGTCGTGCATGAAGGGCTGACGTTGAAAGAGAGCTTACGGCCTTTTCCAAAACTTTAAGTCTATAGAATTTTGTTAATAAAAAACACGTTAAAATTGGAAGAAATTAAGACCATTACGATCTTCATAGAGTTTCTGTAAAGAAGAAGCTCCATATTATGGTAAAGGCCTTACCGTTTTTCGAGATTTACATTAACGATGGCCGCTGCGGAAGATTCTAACGCATCACCATCAGGTTTACGAAGAGTTTGGCTAGATTTGGCCAAGCTGCATTCGAGCTGTAGAGACCGGCACCGCAAACAAGTGCGATCTTCATCATCCGGTGGGCCAGCAAGACAACGCGTTTTTTGTTTTCTGCAAGAGTCGCAAGCTTCTAGTGCTCTCTTCCGTTTAAGCATAAGAATGCTGGATGGATGTTGGGCTTTCATTCCATTCATTACGGACTCCTCAATTGATGTTTTATAGACAAGCTATGCATACAGAAAGGAAAGGGTCATTGGTAGCAGGGAGTCCAAATACCTAACAAAAGTACTCTTATTAACAGTATGAACACAGAGAGGTTAAAGTCGAATACTTTCTCGGAGACTGTGGTTGTTTACCCAAAAAAATTCGCAGAATTTGTTTAGAGCTTTGACTTCTAGGAACAGAATACAACTGAACACTCTCAGGTTTATGTTGTGAAGCAAAATTTTGTTGGAAAAAGCGGGTTTGTTCAAGTATGAGAACAGATTAGACAATAAAACAGGAGTAGCCTTCGCTAAGGGAAATGAAAGTATATATCCAGAATGCAGCGATCTTAGATGCTTACTTAGCTATTTAAAGGAAGAAAATAATAGAAAAGAGCCTGGAGTAAACGAAGATCTTTAAGCAAAGAAATTTACTTTTTAGGTACTAGACAACTATAGTAATATTTCTTTTTTATTGCTATAGTTATCAAACAAACGAATAGTGTATAGTAATTCTATGTACTTTTAAATCCTTAGTGTAGAAAATATACTTAACATGATACGATAAGATAATATTACAAAAAAATTAGGTTTATGAATCGTTTCTTTAAACAGTCCATACTACTTTTACCTCAATTGGTTTCCATTTAGTAAATAAACTTAAAAAATGAATAATTTAAGGTCATCCTTATATTTTCTTGAAGTTTGCGCTGTAAAAACCTGATTTCATTCGTTTCGAGAGAGTTGCTTGATTTCCCCATAAGGCACATATCGTCGCAAAAAAGGAAAATTTGGACGATGTCGATCATCCTTCGAAAAATACGTATCTTCTTACCTTACAAGACGTAGGGAATATAATTTAATATAGAAAGTAACGAATATAAAAGTAGAAGAAGAGTACTTTACATTCTAGGAGGAATACGAAAGACAAACCCGCCTGAGTCAACCTAAGTTCAAATCTCTTTAAAAGCACATCCTATGTCATGTTTCAATAAGAGACGAATAGAAAAAATATAATTATCATTTAACATGGAAGTAAAAGAAATGGACTTGACTAAAAAATGGCGAGTATTCATGCTAAGTTATTAACAATTAAAGAAAGTAAACAAAATTTCAAAAGACGTTCTACATATGGATGTTACAGAAAATAAACCTTATGTTTACCAGGTACGACCGTGAACGCAGGCCAAGTCCTCTTCCGTTACTTTCTTATGGTTAGAAAAGTATCCGGATTGTATTTTAGCGTCAATTTCCACTTGTGAGTCGGCAGGAATGAGATCTTCTGGAATAGTAACACGTTCAAGGATGCGGATTCCAGAGTTGACTATTGCATCATACTTCATGTTGGACATACTAAGCATACGGTCAATCTTGGTAATTCCAAACCAGTGGAGGATATCCGGCATTAGAGCTTGGAAACGCATATCACGAACGCCTGCTAATTCTTCCGTTCGGCGGAAATAGTTATCGGCCGTATCTCCTGTACGCTTGCGCTTATTGTAAACAAGGTATTTAACAACTTCACCCAGGGCACGACCTTCCTTGCGATAGTAAACAACTAAGCCAGCTCCACCATTCTGTGCTTCCTTGGCTGCTTCCTCAATACCAAATACCAGATAAGGCCTACAGGTGCAGATATCACTCTGAAATACATCGGAGCCGTTGCACTCATCATGAACACGGACGGCCAATTTCTTCGTAGGGTCGCTGAGATATTCGGGAGGACCAAAGATGTAAGCTGTGGCACCTCCGATGGGTGGAAGGAAGATCTTAATATCAGGGCGGGTTATTAGTTCGGGATAAGCACCACCCATTTGTTCAAACAATGCACGGCGAAGAGTCACCTCATCAACGCCAAAGCGCTCAGCGACTCCGGGAAGATACCAGACAGGTTCAACCGCAACTTTGGTGACGGCAATATCTCCCTCCTTGTTCAGTACAACTTTGCCATCAACAGCTAGAGATCCATTATCAACGGATCGTTGTACTTCACTTACTCGGAGATTAGCACGCGTAATGGCAATAGTTGGACGGACATCATATCCCTTGTCCAAGTACTCCTTAAAGCATCGAGGAATATCATGGCCGTAGGGGTCCATAGCGACAATTTTATTCTTATCGTGCCAAGAAGCAAGTTCAGGAAATTCAAAGGTAGGCTCTGTGAGTGTAAAATCCGGATGGTGATCAGCAGGCAAAAAGCCACCGGCAACTGCCAGCGAGTTGTAAACACAATAGCTGCCGCCATGAGCGCCAATGGCGTTTCGATGGGGAAGTGTCTCAATGGAGCGAGCGACTGTTACAGGACCACGCTTTTGTGGTGATGAAGCTCCCCAATTCATCGGAAAAGGGTCGGACTTGTTTTGAGTTGGGTAAGTAGTCAAAACGACAGGACGGGAATAGAGAGGCTTCTTCACTTCTAAAGTATGATGTTCCTGTTCATGAGTACCAGGTTTTGCTTGTTCAGTAACCAACATTGTGATTTCTAGGAAGAAGACGTAAGAAAAGAAATGGATTCTATGTAAACAAACGAATTGAGGACGACAATTTCGGAGTAAGAGAAACAAACTGTTCTTTAGATATGAAAATAAGTAAAGCAATTGTGTTGCAATATTGTTTTTTTTGGGTTGTTGTTGCCTTATTTATACCTTTTGTGGCTCTATCTATTGTTTATCAAGCTATTGTTTTAGTAGTGCACGCGGTGAACCCGCGGTACCGCCGCCGCCGTCGTCGAAAGGAAGACGTAATTGAAGATGCAGCTTAAAGTTTTATAACTGCCTACCGATAAAAAAGGTGCTTTATACATTCGGGACATCCGCGGGAAAATACCGAAGACTAAATTTGAATTGTGCTTAAGCGACGAGGCAAGGGCGCCTTATTGGAAAATGTAAATAAACAAAAAGGAGAATGGTAAACAAACAGTTGATTGCACTATCTTTGTTTTTGGCTGAAATAAGAGAATAACTAAGGAGAACGTGAATTCCTTTTTATGAGAAATAGTCTAAAAGTCGAAGGTTACTCGTAGTTGAAACGTAGTACATAATTGTGAAATAAATAAACAAAAAGCAAAAAGAAACTAACAAAATTTTCTTTTAGATTTTGGTAACAATATCTTTCTATTCAATAAATACAAGTGTCTACTTTTATATTTCAATACAAGGATGATCACTAATCATATGAACCGATGGAAAATACTAATAAGCCATTCTTGATAGTCTAGAAAATTCATTACAAAAACAAACGAACAAGTAAAAATACAAGCTAAAACAATGTACCATCACTTTTAATCAGAATAGGGCTGCCTGCATTTGCGGGTCGTAACTTGCGAGCAATTATTCTTCCTGATTTCCAGCTTCCAGCTTCCAACATTTGTGCCAACGATAATGGAGCTGATAATTCATTTTTCATGCGTTCGTTTATCATATTTAAAAGTTTGTCAAGTAGTACAACGGTCATGGCTCTCCACTCAACAATGACAATACTCTCTGGCTCGTATTCGTCAGTAAGGGAATATTCGGGTCGAAGCTTGAGTACTCCAAAATCCACAAAGAGACCACCATTTCTATATTCCGGTAGTCCGGTCAGAAGGGTTTCGTTAACAACTTGTATGTGCAGCAATCGCTTCAAAGGAATCAAGAGGGAATAGGTTAGCCATTGAGTTAATTTATGGAAAGGTTGTATAGAATTAATCGTAGGTAGGAACCAAGCATCACCGACGTTTTCTCCCGCATATTTTGTACGCTCGGGCCAAATGGGAATTAACACCGTTTGCAATTCCGACCATAGCCTTTCAACATTGAGGCTTTCAGAAGTAAAGTCCCCTGTAGGAAAGACGCTGTCCACAAAGAAGCTGGGGCGAGAACTCTTTAACTGATTTCCCAAAGCACGAAGAATGGAGGCTCGTCCCTCTATACCAGCAATTGGGTTCTGTTTGGAAACTTGAAAGCCATCCGCCAAAGCTTCCGTTTTCAAGTGGCTCAAAGCAACACCGTCCACCTGGTATGGGTTCTCTGGATTGCTCGAGAATAAACCCTTTTGAAAGCAACGAAGACTGGCGACTGCCAAACCTTCACTACGAGCATATCGTTCAACACCATCCAAGTATGACCACTTATCCCCGGCACCGGCATCAAGTAAAACACTAAGAAATGTTATGTCCAACACGCGCTTGCAGACTTCAACAGAAGTTACCCCCTGCTGGTTCCAGGTGCTAATCAGCTGGGTGAGACGAGCAACGTTTCCAACCTCAAAGTGCTGCCATCGCCCATGAGGAGGAATTGTTTCGTATTTTCCTTTAAAGTCTGCTTGAATCACTGATACCACAAAGTCTGCTACGGTGTCAAGCTTGCAAGGATCGTACTCGAAAGCGCGCAACCGGTTTTGTTCGGCAACGGCAAAAACTCTTTGAGCCTTGATGCGAATATTCTGTAAAGACAAAACATCAGCGATTGTATCTGTAGTCATTTTGGGGGAAACCGTGAATCAATTCACAATTACAAACAAATAACAAGAAGCAAAGAAGGAGTTAGCCTGAGAGGAATAGAGACAAGACAAAAAGCGAAAAAAGAATGTATGCTTGAATTCTTTTGTGCAATTGGGTGTTCTCCTGATCGACAAGGATGTTAAGATTTCTTGCTAGTACTATGATTACACTAGAAAAACAAAACTAAAAGGGTACCTGAAAGGAAAAAGGATGGTCATTTATAGGTGAGTAATTTTCATGTAAACAGATACCAAACCACCCAATGGCTTCCATTCAAGATACGCTTTCCCCGTATGTCACAACTTCATGGAGTTTATTTATACCACGGCCAAACCGCGGCTGGAATCCCGTCAAAAATATGGATGGACAATCGCTGATGGCGATAGTTATCCCAAAGTATAAGCATATGCTTCAAAAATGAAAGCATATGCTATAGTAAGTAATACCACGGAAGCCCTCTCCGTCCATATCAGCTACAAGCCGATACTGATAGACCTGTCTGAACCGCGGGAGTACCGAGGAAACCATAAAAACAATGAGAAGGAAATAATATAAATTCAAAGGATTTCAGTCAAAAAAAAAACCACATCCATTCACTCATACTTCTTCCTTTAGAGACAGGTTTCCGTTTCTCTCCATTTTTGTTTAGGCTTCTTCTCTCATCGTTGCAACCAGCCCTTTGTTTACAACTGCCCTCATAACAGGTTTCCCAACCATTCTGATAGATACGCACTACTATATATTTGTTTATATCCGCAGGAACGATTCTTCTACAATGACGAATACCACCACTTCGATTTCTCTCTCATCCTCTGTAGATACCATGAAAAACATTACCATTTCTGATCACCCTGTTGTCAATAAATTAATTTCTGTCCTTCGTGATCTGTCTTTGAAACCTTCTCAAGTTCGCGGCATAATTGATGAAATTTCTCGTTTTCTGGCTTACGAGTCCACCAAGTCCTTGGACAATTCCTCTGTCTCGGTTATCCCGGTTCTTCGCTCCGGTATGTCTATGATGGGCGCTTTCTCAAAGGTACTGCCAGATGTGCCAATTTATCATATTGGAATTTTCCGTGAAAAAAGCACTTTGCAACCTATTGAATATTACAACAAGCTTCCTAAAAACTCTACGGAAACGGCCATTGTCTTGGACCCCGTTATGGCCACAGGTGGTACTGCTCAAGCCGTCATTACTACTCTCCAAGAGTGGGGTTGTAAGCGCATTGTTTTTGTCAGCGTTTTAGCAAGCGCGCAAGCTTTTGTCCGGTTTTCCAATACTCCTGGTGTGGAATTTGTCTTTGGTGCCATCGACAAGAGCCTTGATGACAAAGGTTACCTCGTCCCTGGTATTGGCGACATCGGTGACCGACTCTATGGTGCGGCTGCCTAAGCTATAGAACAAGCGAGAGTTAAAGAAATATTCGATGAAAACCAAATTTCGTACGGGATGATTTCTTATATTTTCCATGCCCCAAGGCTCTCATTTTTCTCCTGGTGTACCCGATTACGTATGGATTCCTATTGCCGTAGGAACATTTAAATTATCATGAATTGGATATTGTTTGTTTTTGAAGTCAAGATGCATTTCATTGAAATGATACTGTCTTTTATTGAAAAAGGGTGTCTCAATTGTTATGATATAATTTGCCTTAATTTTGTTTACTGATCTTTATATTCTTTCCCAACTCTCAATTAAAAAGACAGTCAGTCCCTTTTTCATTGAAGCATTTGTTCCAATGGATTTATAAAGGTTATAGTTAGCTTAGGAGGCTTTAGTTTTATTATACTTATTATACTTAATTTCTTTAAGCCCTTTATTATCTTCTTCATACCCAAGGCAAATCATAAAATTATACGATTGAAACCAACAAGTATTTTATTAAGCACCTCGTTAATATGGCAATTATTTACAAATGTCGTATTGCCGAATTTCCGATTGAGATGTCTAACCGGGATCCCGAAATTTCATAATTATCAACAGTTCAACACTTCGAACCGATTCATGAAAAAAAAAAGAATCAAGTTGTAGTTTGGATCTTTTAAAAATTTACTATCCAAAAGAACATAATTTATTACAAACTATATAAATAATAATTTTCATCCTTATTTTGGTTACTTCATTTGTAATATAAGTTTCGCTAATTTAGCACTTAAATTTTTGTCCAATCAGGGGTTTTCCTATCCAAATTTCCGATGGACTGCTTCTTCCAGCTATCCGGTATAAACATCTACGCGTGCCTTTTTTTCATTTACAATTTTCAATTTATAAGAAAAAGTTACAAAGGCAACGGTGGAGTATAACAAAATTTCTTGTAGAAAGGCCCCTTCTTTGTCTTTTGATCCTGCCGACTTTTCGCCATCATTCTTCATTTCTGGTTTTGGAACAAACTCTTCTTTTGTATTTACTAAAAGACAGGTCATCTATACTTTTTCTTGTCGTTTACTTTAAGAACTTTGTAACCCCACAATTCAGAGTCAATACTCACTTTTGTCATTGTTTTCTGGAGAAACGACTTTTAACCCATTATGCGCGCGGCTTCGGGAGAGTCAGAAGAAGCCCCAAAAGTATTCCACGTTATCGTAGACGAGAAAGAGGGCGAGTCTACAAAATCATCATCGAGTGACCTTGCCGAAAAGGAGCTTTCAGTAGGCGAACGAAGACGTTTGTTAAGGCGCTTAGATTTGGTATTAGCTCCTACGATTATGATATTCTATTTAATTGCCTTTTTGGATCGCACTAATATTGGCAATGCAAAAATCGCAGGCTTGACTGAAGATATACACCTTAAAGGAAACCAATTCAATATTGTAACAAGTTTATTTTATGTTACTTTTATTTTGTTTGAAATACCCACGACTTTATTGATCAAAAAGTTTCAACCAAAGCAAATGCTAACTCTCATTGTGATAACCTTTTCTCTTACAACCATATTCACTGGATTTGTGCAAAACTATGCCGGGTTTCTTGCTACTCGACTTGTTCTAGGTGTCTGTGAGGCAGGTCTGTTTCCTTGTCTCACGGTTTATTTGACAATGATTTATTCTAGAGACGAGCTGGCACCACGCATTGCATATCTGTTTGCTGCATCAGCTCTATCTGGTGCCTTTAGCGGTCTCTTTGCCTACGCCATTTTACACATGCACAGTGTCGGAGGCTACGCTGGATGGCGTTGGCTGTTTATCATTGAAGGTATGATTGGATTCGTGGCTGGAGTCCTTGGATACTTTGTTATTCCAAATGATCCAGCAAAGGCTTGGTTTTTGTCTGAGCCCTATCGAGAAATGGTTCGTCGTCGTCAAGCGCAGCGACGCTTTGATTTGGAGGCGGACCATTTCGATTGGAAGAGCGTCAAAGAAGCTTTAAAAGATTTTAAAATTTACCTTTCTTCTCTTGCAGAATTTGGACAAGATACCTGTTTATATGGCTTCAGTACCTTTCTTCCTGCCATTATTCGAGGAATGGGTCACCAATCTCTTTCTGTTCAATATCTCACCATCCCAGTCTATATACTAGGTGCTGCTGTCTATATTATAGCTTCGTTCCTTTCGGATCGCTTTCGATCAAGAGGTCTCATTTTGATTACTAGCAACATCTTCCCCATTATTGGTTATATCTTGCTGCTCACTTGTCAAGGAAAAAACAACGTCCTATACTTTGCTTGTTATTTATGTTCATTGGGCATTTACACCGGCGCTGGCCTGAACGTAACCTGGTTGAGTGCCAATGTCGCACCCCATTACAAGCGTGCGACAGCAATTAGCATGCAAATGGCAATTGCAAATTCTGCTGGTATTCTCTCTGGCCAAGTGTATCAGTTCCCGCCCAAGTATGTCGCTGGTCATGCTACCTCTTTAGTTGCGATTGGCATCGCAACCGTTTTGCACATCCTGACCATTTTCTATTATTCAGCTAAGAATACTACAAAGAGGCGGTCTATGGATCAGTTGACTCCTGATGAATTATTGAAGCAGCCCCATAACGACGATGATCCTCAATTTCTATATATGCTTTGAGACGATTGCATACTTTGTATACTAAAAAAGAGCCCAACGTGAATTTGAATTTAAGCACCTTTCGCTGATTCGTTTTTTCGTGTTATCCATTATGGCTTTCCATTCATACAAACACTGTTATGAATCATTACCCTACCGATCGTTTTTTTTGTATATTTGTATATTTCAACAATTTTGGACGACAAGACGATTAATAGGACTCTTAGTCTTCCCTATTGCTTAATTTGTATATTAGTTCTATATAATGTTTTACCTATGATTTTGCGTTGCTTTTTTTGTTATTAACAAGTTAATATGAATGAAACTAGATATCAAAATGAAATGTTATTATATAAATAAGTATTTATTCATATTAGTATGATACAACGTTCAGACGAAACCGACTTTCAAATTGCTTTTTCTAGTTGCAGGTCTATGGGTACTACCTGCTACCGCTATCATAAACTGTTTTTCCTAGCCAAAACTGATATATTTCTATCTTCTACCTTTTTTTCTCTAGAACAAATACAAAAATTTACCTATAAAATAACGAGTTACGAATCTCTTTCGCAGGCCTCAATTTATCTGCGTTGAAAGACTTTCATTATTTATTATTCCTAGGAATTCTAATTGAATCGTTCTTTTCGTAGTAATACTCTTTACTATATCAACAAAAATTATGACAACTACACCTTCTCCTTTTGATCTCAGCAATATACAATGGCGAATGCCTGAATGGGTACAATCCGTAGGAGGTCTGCGGACCGAAAATGGTATGTTTACAAGAAGTATGGCTGAACTGTATCTACTTTCTCTCCTGTTTTAACTGCAAATGCTTCTGCTACTGGGCCCACACGACCAGTGGAGCCCGACCCTGTTCCTATACTATGCTTCCATTCAGCTTATATTAACAGTCCTAGTTCTTGATTACTTTTCATTTTCTCCCTTCTACGATCATAAATCCAATAATCAGATGCTAAAAATGCAATCGCAATTCAACGCTCTCGATTTGGGTGACTTAAATAATCATCTAAGAAGATTGACTGGAACACAATTTGTCGTTACTCATGAAAGGCCTCCGTTTTTATGGATTATTCAAAAACAACACCGACTCAACGAGCAAGAAGGTATGCATGTTATAACAGTCTTCTTCCAATATCTTCAATATACACTAACACTGCGAAGTAAAACCTTTAAGTACTTATTTCGTTTGTAATGAAAATATTTACATGGCTCCTAATGCATATACTTTGTTAGCAACTAGAATGGTACGTCAAGCCTACTTCGGAATTAAGGTTAATCGACTAACAATTTTTTTTTTGTTTTAGTTGAATGCGACTCATAGTCTTCAAACAGCTTTAAAAAAGATTGAAAATATCCCTCAATATCATCCTCAAGAAGGATATACATATCCTCAGAAGATTTCTGATAATCCGAGTTCCCAAGGCAAAGACTTACAGGAAACAAATAAAAACGAAAACACCAATGCAGAAAACAATGTTGATTATACCTTTTCCGCTGAAGACTTTTCAGTTGTGCGAGCCTTCATGATGAGTCTACAATCTCTCCATAATCCTGCTCAAACTCCCTCTAATCCTTGAAATCCACAACTCCGCCCAAAAAAGGTGACATAAATAGATGATCAAAAAGGTATTATTAATAGATAAATAAATAATTTAATAAGCGTTTATTTTTAAAAAACAGTTTTTTTTTCCTTCCAAATTCCCATAGCACTTCTAATGGAATCAGTAGGTATCATAACCAATTTTCGGAAAAGCGTTGCTTTTCTTCTGGAGAAGCAAACAGCATAGCATAACATGTACTCATAGGGTCATTGAAGTGTATATAAGGATTGGCTTCCATGAGATAAGCACCACAAAGAAAACAAAAATGAGTTCCACAAAGACAAATCATATGACAGCATCCATCTATTCTTTCAACTACCCGGTCACAAGTAGGACAACGCTGACCGTTCAAAAGAGCCCAACGTTCAGCCTCCTCATCGTTTTTAACTTGCTCAACGAGTTTGTCCAAAATCCGTTTACCATAGCGTTTTTCGAGTTCCTCGGCCTTGTCCGCGTCTGACTCTTGATAGTCCAGATACATCTTCACTAATTTTTTAGAATCACCCTGAAGCTTGCAAGCAGATAAGTCACCATGCCATGATGCTTGACAAAATGAACAAAATGCAAAATCACACTTGAGACAAATTGCAAGCTTCTGACCAGGATCTCGCCTTGCCGGGCCTTGACATGATTTCCGAGGACAAAATACAATGTTCGCATCATTTTCATACCTCCGCTTTTCGTCTAATTCCTGGAATCTCTTCCTCAATTCCGGGCCGACTATCATTTCCATTTCCTCCAGTGTCAAGATAGAAGCAGTTTTAGCACACTCTAAATCAACACACTTTAACTGAGTAAACATTCCTTCTTCAATGCAGACGGAATAATAATCGGTAAGGCATTGCTTACAGCATACATGACCACAGCGGGCTAGCCGAAAGCAGTCTTTGCCGCTAAAATTGTCAAAGCAAATTAAGCACGTGAATGTGCGATTCTCGAAATCCATCAAACTTGCATGCTTATCAGTTGTAAGGAACTCTTGTTTCAAACTCTCTGAATCCGAAGGGAAAACCATCTCCTTAGGAGATTGAAACGCAGATGATGCACTGGAGCGCAAAAGTTCGATTGCATCAAATAAAACACAGTCATGAATTTCGTTCCATAATCTCACCATAGAGGACGTTAAAGTACGCCGTTGTCTCATGGGAAGCCACGATGACTTTAGGAAGAATACTGGAGGAGACTTTTGAGGATATCCTTCCCGAAGAAAAAACTCTAGTTCTATAGCAGGGAAATGTTTAGTTGCTATCGTGTCTATATTATTTGTCCTTTTCAGATCTGGAAAGGACAAATAAAACGTGTCTTCTGTTGACACGGGGATGGAAACGCGACCACAATTGTTGCCATCTAATTCAAGTTCAGGATAAATGGATTGTAAGGCAACCAATTCATCATTAATCAATTCCCTATTTTCATCAATTAATGTTTTCCTAGTCATTATTTCACATGGAACCAACATAAACTCTTCCTTTGGCTTGACTAATCAAAAACTTGACGCGAAAACTAACAAATGCCATAAACAATCCACTTCCACCTGTTTCTGTCAAAAAACTCTTGTCTTCTACTACACTAGTTTAGCCAGGAGACTCAAAAGTCGTCAAAAAATACTAGGAACATGCAAACTTATTCATATGGCAATGAATTGGTATTTGGAGACTCTTGTTTATGTACTTTTTCATTTGGCAAATAATGAGGCATAATATTTCGGTATAAACCAGTAGCGGACTACACCGTAATACCCAAAACTTATCGAGCTAGAGCGAAATGAATAGTTCTAGTAGGGCGTATATGAATTTGTCCTAAACCACATTGGGGTTTTGTTTCATGATACTATGAGTAAAGCGATTACTCATCTCGTTTTGGATACTGGTGGGATTATATGTTCGAGCTCTCTGTTAAGGAATTCTGCTGAGAAGTTTTATACCACACCTCGAGTTGTTCAAGAAATTCGAGATGAAGCTTCACGTAGAAATTTTGAGCTTTGGGGCGGTCAAGTCATCCAGCGTGTTCCTAAGCAAGAGTTCATAAAGAAAGGTAAGTATAGGTTCTAGATTAAGCTATATTGGAGTGAAGAGGAAGACTCTATTCGCTGATAATGATTCCTTTAAAAACGAAAATACTTGCTAGAATGGAATGGATTTCAGCATGTATGCGTAAGATGAAACAAAAAAGTCTATCGAGTAATGTTTTTGCCCTTGCTTTGGCTTTATAGCCTGTTTTATTATTCTCCGACGTATCATAGCTTTCATTTTACATGCATGATTGACAATGTATTAACTTTTTGAAATAGTTTCTGATTTTGCAAAGCAAACTGGTGACTTTGCTTCTTTATCTATTACGGATATCCACATTCTTGCCCTTACGTACGAGCTTGAATATGAATTCAATGGGGGAGACTGGAGACTTCGTCAATATCCTGGTCAGAAACGAATAAATGGCAAGCCTCCAGCTCATCTTAACAAAGATGAATTATCGGTGAAAGAAACCTCATCGTCTCCCGAGGAAAATAAAGAAGACGAGCAAAAGGATAAGCAAAAACAAGATCCGTTGATGGAACAGAAAACGAAGGATGAAAGCGAAAACATTAAGGATGCTTCTTATTCCAATCAAAAGCCTAAATTGACGGAGGACGAGCAAGAAGACCGAGAAGAGGAAGATGACGGCTGGATTACACCTTCCAATATTCGCAAGAAAAAAACTCAGGATGGCGTTGGTGAAAGTGTCGTTCAACCCTCCCATTTAAAGGTCGCATGCGCCACGACTGATTTTGCAATGCAAAATGTTATGTTGCAAATAGGCCTAAATTTGGTTTCTTCCGATGGTTTGAAAATTCAAAACGTTAAACGTTTCGTTCTTCGCTGTCATGGTTGCTATGCTATTGTTAATGATATGTCGAAAAAGTTTTGTACCTCTTGCGGAGGTGATACGCTGATAAAGACGACTTGCAGCATCAACTCCAAGGGTGAGTTCCAAGTACACTTGAAGAAGAATTTTGAGTGGAAGACCCGAGGTACGAAATACGCTATTCCGAAACCAGTTCATGGTACACCAAGTGGTAAAGGCAAGAAGAATCCTATCTTGCGTGAGGATCAGCCAGAATACCAAAAGGCTGTCCGTTATATGCAACGAAAGAAGGAAGTTGATCTGATGGATCAAGATTTCCTCCCTTCTTTGTTAACGGGTGCCCCTAAGGAACATTTGCGTATTAGCGTAGGCGCCGGCCGGAGAAATCCAAATGAAGTTCGCAAAACAAGAAGGCGCTAGACGAAAAGTGTTTGTTATCTTTCATTTATGGTTACGGATGTTTGAAGAAAATTTTGGGTACTGCTATGTTATATTCTGTTAATTGGTGTTTATATTGGGTATTTTTAATTTGAGTCTAGTCGAACAAATAGATTTTATTTTGTTTTTGTCTTGAGAAACAGTATATCGTCTTTCTCTACGTAGTATTAATCATTAATAAGTAACCGTATAACGATTTGTCCATTGCGGACAATTTTTCCATAATAGTATTTATTTTTTACGAATTCTTTGAGGTGCTCTATAAATTTCGACCGGTCCTTCTACTTGAATAAAAAGCCCCATGTATAATCTCCTTTGTTTTCAAGAAAACTGACACTATTCCGACATAACATACTCTCCCTAAGCTATTTTCAGTTTCGCTTGTAATCTTCAGCAAACTAAAATTTACAAGAGACATCAATGATTCTACGAGAGCATAAATCATATTATCTTAATTCAGAAAACTACGCTATTTAGCATACTAACATACATAGTTGTACTATAAGAGCATAGATTAAATGAGTAAGCATATGTTAATAATAAAAAATAAAGATTCATATTTAAGAAAATATCCTACTTCCTTCAAACATATCTCAAAATACGGTATAAACGCATATGCTTAAGTAGGCTTCCTCCTTTGTATTATATTACTGATGATAGAACTTAGCATCATTCCAGTGAATTTGATTCATTACGACCACTGAGAAAGAGCAATTATCAAAAGAAGGCGGCTTGTTTAGTTTGGTTTGTATGATTTAAATATTCGTAAAGATTGCGATGGATTCGGGACTGATTTGATATGAATGAGAATTTGGGATTTATTAAGACTCAATTATACGCAGATGTCAAGGCATTTGAGAAAAAAAAAAAGCGACGCGTACCGCCTGAACAACGAAGAAGAGTCTTTCGCGCTTGTAAACATTGCAGAGAGAAAAAGATTAAGTGTGATGGTAATGACTCTTGCGAGAACTGTCGCTTACTTGGCGTGGAGTGTATATATACTCAAAAAAATCAAAGTAAGCTGCCGTCTCGGGAATATTTAAACGAATTGTCTGAGCGCCAATTGTGCTTTGAATACATTTTTTCTAGGATATGCCCTGAATTTAACTTGGATACGAAAAATTTAGTTACAGTATCTAAGAAATTATCTGAGCATGAACATCTAACTCCCGATCAACTCTCCTCTATCCTTAATGATTTAGATCCTATTCTTAGTATAAACAATGAGCTAAAGAGAAATCATATTAGCAACCATGATGATAACTACGTTTCTGAGCCGAATAGCATTGATCCTAATTATTCTCATGAATCCCTCGAAAATGAACCATCTATCACTTTTGTTGAATCATTGCTAGTTGGGAAAATGGAAGATACGATGTATCTTGGTCCTACCTCGCTAGACCTCTTCTTGAAAAATATACAGAATGATATGCGCCTAAACGACTTTTCCTCCGCTAATTCTTTACTACAAAATCAACCTACCTCTTCTTTCTTTAATCCAGAATTAGACGAGTATTTGCTCTCTCATGCCCGTGGCCTAATCCCTTCTCTCACTGTAACAGAGTTTCTTGTGAATACGTTTTTTACGAACATACAAACAAATTTATTTTTCTATCATGCATCCTTTTTTAAAATACGTTTGGAAATATTTTTATCTATGAAAAATCAAACTGATCCTGGATTTCTTTGCATATTATTAATGGTTCTTGCATTTGGGAATCAATATATGATTGAACAACAAAGCGATCCAGTAGCAGCAAGTCCTCAAGTTTGCATAATAGGGAATCGTCTCTTCTCTGCCGCTGTCAGCATTTTCCCAATGGTTTTGCTTCAGGGTAACACCAATACAGTTCAGTCTGCTATTTTAATAGCACTTTATCTTCAGCCTACCGTATATCAAAAGGCTAGTTATTCTTACTTTGGTCTGGCTGTTAAAACCGCTATCTCCTTAGGTTTACATAAAAACTGTGAGGACTTGACCCTTAGTCAAAGCTCTAGAGAACTTCGAAATCGCCTTTGGTGGTCAGTGTTTTGCATCGACCGGTTCATTAGCATTGCAATGGGTCGACCTTTTAGTATTGCTCTAGAAAATGTGACTACCCCTTATCCGAACGTCTTATTTGAATTAGAAGTACCTGGTATCCCCTCGATGGTAACCAACATGCGCGCAGTTATCGAGTTAACAAAGATCACGAGTGAAGTATGTGATTGCCTGTATTGGAAAAATTCTTCCGACCTTAATACGCAGCTATCTCATGTTCGCAGGCTATGTGCTCGACTTGAACTTTGGAAACGGAATCTGCACCATTCTCTTCTATTCGATGAGTCTTCGCCACAAAATCCTTATTTTCGCGTGAACGCTCAATTACAAATGATTTATGACAATGCAGTTATCCTTGCTACCCGATTTGTATTGCTAAATAAACTTAAAGGAAAAGATTTAAGTGCAGAAAACCTAAAGTATGCCAGTATGTGCGTCGACAGTTCTTGTCGTATGATTAATATCGCATACCAGTTGTTTCAAAATACGCGCCTGTCTAGTTATTCATTTTTTGACGCGTATCTCCCCATTTGTAGCGGGATTATCTTGTTATTGTGCTCTCACAATGAACCTTCTGTAGAAGTTGACGATGCAGTATCTAAGCTATGGAAAGTCATGGAGTTTTTATCTCAAAGAAATGAAATAACTCGTCTAAAATTACAAAGCTTGAGGGAGCTTTCAGATCAACTAACAAACAAGAAGACGTTTTCTTTTGTTCCTGAGTCGAGTGACTTTCAATTCAGCTTTCGAAAGTGGCAGTCTTGGGTTGGTGATATGTCTCAAAATGACTATTTGCAACAGCAAACGGCTTCGGCTTCGGATGCCATTTCAGTTGATGAAGGTACTTTAGCTGATCATAAAAGTGTTGACCTGCCACAACCAGATCATCTTTCATTATCTGTCCCAAATACTGATTTCTTGTCTGATCCATCGTCGTTGCTGGTCCGTAATGATTTTTCTTCTGGTGATGATCTAGGCTTAAACATAGATATAGACAAACAGTGGCCCGCTCCACCTTTTTTAAGTTGGACAGAGCTATTGCATCCTTCAAATGAGTCAAATCCTCCCTCTAATACGGATTCTTCGATTTAATAATGTTTTGGAATTTAATTATGCAGTACTTGTACCTTAGAATGTTCATAATCAGATTTAGTAATAAGAAAATTAATTTTGGTCTCATAGAATACTTTAATACTCACCTTCTTTTTCTTATGTATGAACTACAATTGAACTAACCCTTATACCCATAATATTTAAACTAACAAGGAAAGTAATCTGTCTATATAAATTTATAATTCAACTGTTGGAACGATTCGTCAGAGCAGTTTGCGTATGTTATCGCCTTTTGATAATCGTCCTCTAATTGTTTAATCCTATTGGCATAATAAATATCAGATGCCGATCGCAGTTGCTCATCATTTTCATTTTGGCTGTCATCAACAACTTTGACAGTCTGACTGAAATCATTGGAAAGTGCATTCGGGGTATCAATGATCCGCTTTTTTTGGTCCTCTAGTCCTAAATTTAAAAGATGAATTGTATCTTGTTGGCGTGACATGGTTATTTGTCCTGCTGATATCAAATTATTGTAGCTTCTCTGATAATTCTTAAACAAAGTATCATTTGCATTTATTTCATCATTTTTTGATAATGCATCTTCCTTCTCCTGAGACTTTTCATTTGAATTCAAATCATTTTGGTGCAGAAGGTGCTCATAAGAATTATTTTTCGTAGACCTTGAATCATAATCATTATGACTTAGCTTTGAGTCAGCTAACGCTCTTTGAGTTTCGAAGAGCTTGCTCTGTTCGCCTTTACTTTTTTCAGTAAAGCCACTCATTTGACTGAGCAATTCACCTTTTTCGATGAGTGCCACTGAATAAGCATGTTTCATTTCGGCATACTTTCTTTGTACAGAAACCATTTCTAGCATGGTAGTCTCAAGTCTGTTCTGCTGTTTCTCAAACAACTTTTGCATACCAACTAGTCGCGATTCAAGATACTTGATTTTTTGATTAGTTCTTGGGGAATCCTGGTGGCTTTCTTTTGTTTCAATTTCTGAGGATAGTAATTTTGACAACCCATTTTGAACAATTGATTTCAAATATGCTGCATCTGAACGAACTTGGTCTGTTGTTTTCTGTAGTTCCGAATTTTCAATCTGAAGTCGTTCTACTTCAGCGTTCAGACGGGAACTCTGATATGTCAAGCTTAAGTACTTTTCTTGCTTTATCTTGTTCTCTTCCTTTTCCCTACGAAGAGAATCTTCAAAAGATAGTATAGCGGTATTTGAGACATCTAAAGCACTGGCAGATGCTTCAATTACGTTCGTTTGCATTTCCATCCGATCACACAACTCAATCAGTTTTGTTTCCAATTCGTAGTTAGTGTACTCTAAAGTTTGACACTTAGAATGAAATTCCAACGATTCTTGAGAGAGCCTGCTGACATCTAGTTTGAGTATCTTATTTTCCGTCTGTAGCGATACAGCTTTGCTACTATCCTCTTCAATTATGGACTGAAGCTTTGCGTAGTTCTCTGTAAGCTCCGCTTGATGATTTCTCATCATAGCATTGTTAAATTGCATTTCCTCAACTTTCTGCTTTAGCTCATTATATCTTTGGTAGTAAGACGTCGCCTCAGCTAAAGAATGTTGTACATCAACTTCTAGCGTATGCACCCGTTCACTCAACATCTGAGTGAGACTATCTATGTTACTTTCTTGAAGAAGTTTCATATGAAACTTGGCAGAGCTTTGCGCAGCATCCTTTTCCGCTAACAATTGAGCATTTTCAGAAATTAAAAGGGAAGCGTTTTGTTTAAACTCATATTCTGTTTTGCTTAATTCCTCTTCCATAGCATGTAAAGACTCAAGCATTTTTAAAGGTTGAGATTGATAAAGTATCCCTTTAGGATACTTTTCTTTCAAATGTCCAGGAGGCTTCAACGCGTAGCCTTGAGTCATACAATAAAGTAACTGCTCTTCTAACCATGCGATTCGATCATCTGTACTATTGAAGTGAAAGGCTTGCAAATTCGCCGAACGATTTGATACATGATCAGGTATACTTAAAAGCGATTGATTATCCTTTTTGTCTTCTTCACCGTTATAAGCAATGGGAAGTGAAGTAATTGTATTATCAACGTCATATGCGAAAGGACTACTGTGACCGAATTCACGAAGAGAAAGATTATCGGAATTTCGATGGTGATGTAGAGAATTCCTCTTAAGTTCTTTCAAAGATTTCAGTCCCTGCTCGTCCAAACTTCCATAGTGTCTATGCCTCGTGGACTGTACCGCCTTATGAGTTGGTTCCAAGTAATCGTAGAAGTTGAATGATGCGTTCGAGCGATTTTTTGTATGATTCGATTTAAAATTTCCAAGGGAAATTGTATTGCTAGATGCATTTGAGGGATACATACTTACATGATTAAAGACAGGTAATCCATAAGCACCCATGTCATCCCAAGAAAGACTCGCTGGATCACATTCATAACTATGGAATCGGCGTGAGCTATGTGTCTCATGAGAGAAGATTAGGAAAAGGCGTTCATTATAACAAGCCATGTTGAGGAAAATTGGATTATTTTCAGCAATGGAAGGGCCCTTTGTCCGCGACCAACATTGTTTATCCAAATTAAAACACCATAAATCTTTACAAATGGCTCCGCTTTCGTCAAATCCACCATACATGTAAAGTTTATTTCCAAAAGAAACGACTTTATGGCCTTCTCTTGGGCATGGAAAATTGCCTACAGGCCGAATTTCAGTCCAACTCACAGTCTCTAAATCAAAAAGCCATAGATCTCCTAAAAGCCCTGTTTGATTTTTTCCTCCATGAATAATTAGCTTATATCCTACGACCGTTGTAGCGTGATTGCAGCGGCCAGGAGGGGAAGCTGATTGAAGAGGTATTTGAGACCACTTGACTATATTTTTTTTTTCGTCGGAGGATTCATTAGGAGCAACAGGGAGCCCTTGAAGATTTATGAAAAGTAAATCGCTTGAGTATTCTTCGTTAACAATTCCACCAAATAAAAAAATATTGGTATCTAAAGTATCCAAAGAGTAACCGTATCGTGAAGAAAACGAAGAGTCTTCATAGTTCATAATGTCGCATCTTTCAAAACTATTACCAAAAATAAAAAGCAAATAGTCATTCTGTTGATCCTTCGCTACACCATCTGTTTTTTGTCTGCCAAATAAAATAAGATTATTGTCATGCGCAACTAGTGCTTGACTGTAACTGAACCGTTCAAAGTCTTTATCAAGCTCAATAAACTTTGCTTGAAAAGTTTCAAGATTCAATGTGAGAAACGTTCTCGTTGGCAGACTTTTATGACTGCAGTGAAAGTACAAATATCTCTCGTTGATTAAGGCTGTAGCACAAAAGAAATCCCATTTTCCATCTATATAACTGTTACGTTCTTCATTTTCCTCTCCCTGCTCAAAAAATTTGGGAACACTCCATGAATGATGGTATGGAGAAGCCGATTCTGGAGTGGGTAATTTCGCGTCTAAGTCAGGATCAGAGCTCATGAGAGATTATAAAATAAATAAAAAACAGAAATTCCAAAAAAAAATCTATCGGGCGTATCTTTCTAAAAACACTTAGTCAAAAACGATGCCAAATTTTCTAAACTCTATATAACTTGTGAAGATATCCAAAAATATATAAAAGAAAAAAATAAGAAATAAATAACAACTACAAATTCTCTACAAATACAGACTATATAGCATTGCAGGAATCATTTGCTATTGGCGTGTTCATGGCAGACCTATGGAAGCAGTTTCAACTGCCAACCCTTCTCTCGTTCGAGCAACCATGAGACCATTAGTTTATTCGCCATAAACATAATGCCTTTTTATAAATATCTTTTTTTTTTCGCTTTAATCCAAAAACAGCAACTTTTTTGAGGATTTCTAGTTCGGGTTTTACCAAAACGAAAACACTAAAATTATATATTTTATATTTCAATAAATTAAAGCAATAGTTACATAAAACCAAATAATTAACAATCGACAATGCAGGGAATCTCAAGGATGAGTGACTGACACACAATAAGCTTAACCTCAAATATTCACAGCAATTGTAGGCATCAAGGAAATTAAATTCGTACATAAAGATTGATTGGGAAACGATGATCATCAAAAATTATTAACAGTAAGGTAAATAACAAAGAAACTATAAGGAATAAATAATGAGCAAAACCAGAAAGGAGGAGGCAAGGCCGGGCCGACTGATTTGATTCTTCAGTTTTCTTAAAGAATTTCTTCCAAAACCAACGCGTTAAATTCTTTCGGATTATCTAAATAGCAGTGATGACCAGCGTTTGTGATATAATGATGTTCAGCCTCAACGTTAAATTGTGATAAAACCTCAACGGCCTTCAAACCAGCTATGTCGTCCATCCAGTCTTTGTCACCATACATAAAAATTGTTCGGCATTTAATTCTATGCAATCGATTATGGATGCTCTTTCTTGCAAAAGCGCCTGGTGCTAGTAGACTTCCAAGAGCATACTCACTAGAGCCTTTCAAACGAAATATGGAATAGCAATATGCATGAAGCGCCTGAAAGACATTCTCTGGTAAAGTCGAAAAGCGTCTGGATGTCCAAAAGCTGGTTAGCTTTGGTCCAAGCGGCCCACTAAATCTCAAAAGAGCGAAAGGAGTCACGTTCTGTTCCCATAAAAAGGTGATCCATCTTGGAAGGGGATTCTTCGGCTTTATAGAACGAGGAGAGGTTTTGCCGGAAATTTCATCTTGCGTTTGTAATAATTCATTCGCTACGTTCGTCTTAGGGGTATCATCCGTCATAGCATGAAGCGCAGAAGTAGCGAAATTCGGATATTCTTCAGCGTCGTCATCTGTCGCGTACGGACATTCTGGAACACCAACCGGACTTACCAACATTAACTTTTCAACACGTTCAGGATAACGCATCGCATAAACCGCGCTCAAATATCCTCCAAGGCTATGGCCCACAAGAACCATGCTCTCAATTCTATGTTTAATACGCCAGCATTCCAACGATTCTACAAAGAAATTTTCAGCTTCGTGTACTCGTTCAGCTGAAGTCTTTCCCTTGACTTTAAAGGGCGGACGAGAGGAGTTCCCCATACCCAACCAATCGACAAAGTAACTGTTATGCCTTTTTGTCGTTCCTTTCGTTAATTCATCGATGTTCTGAAAGAAAAATCCAAGTCCAGCTCCATATCCATGCAAATAAACCACATTCTTCTTATTCTGCTTCCCTGTTTCCTTGTCACTAACACACAATTCGTGAATTACGCCATCGTTCTCATAAATAGGGAAATCACAAATTTCAACCAATCTATCCGGCTCCTTTTCGTTTTCACGAATAAAATCAACACAATTCAACACATCTATCTCACATCTTTTAGCATATGTCGAGCTGCTCTCTGTACGCCACTGTCTCCATGACATTCTAAGCGTCTGAGACATAGAGGAAGTAGATACAGCACTCATACTAGCGACTTTAGCTTGAGACATTCTGAGTGAATCTTTAAGTAAAAATGAATCTTCGTTCCTCTAACAAAAATTTATGGAAATTGACAAACTTTTAAACTTCTCGTATTACAGAGACGTTGTCCTTAATCTCCTGATTTTTTGTTGATATAGTGGAGCAATTGAGCTTAAAATGGGTTGATCTGAGCAGAAATTTGAAGCTTTCTTGAACAATGATTCCTTATTGAATTTGGCGAAGGGATACTACGTAAGTAAGGAAGTAGTGTTTCCCCATCATATATTACGCTACATGTTTCCTATAATTATATATTTTCAACATTACTATATCATTTAATTATAGAAGTATGAAAAGCAAGTTCTCGAAAATGTAAACAGGAAAGAATCTTGGTACATGGAAATTAATATTTACCAGTTCTATTTTTAGATTTTAAATATTGTATACATTCAACTGAATTCATAAATGAAAAGACTGTAATGGATTCATAGTTTCTTTTAAAAAAGTATAACCTGTACCTAGTGAATCAAGGACATATTTTTCTTAGGTCAAACTTCAAAAGGTAGGCTCAGAATTAAAAGTAGTATCATCTTCAATGGTAACAAAACTCTATATGACTTGATGAATGATATTTGTCATAGCTCAAACTGCTCTTAATCTCTACTCATACACAATATAATCATGTCGTTTACTCAGTTTCCATGGCATCAGCAGAGTCAAGGATGGCTTCCGCAGTAGGAGCGGAAGGTTCCTCGGCTGTTGTTCTAGAGGCACGAGCAGCTGCTGGTCCTCTTTCACCCAATTTTTCAAGCCATTCCTTAGTGTTGGCTTGGTCATAAAGTGTATACTTTTCATCCTTGCCTACAACGGAAATGGAAACATTGTCTTCCGTCAACTCTTGTTCTTTGGTAAGTGTATCGCGAAGAGCTCTTAATGCAGATAAAATAAGCTCCTCTCTAGAAGCAGTAGGGAAGGTATTAAAATTGCGCTCCAAATAGGTACGAGCGGATTGGGAACGAGAACCCATGCTGGTACCCAAATACTCTAACACCAAACCAGAAGGTTGGAATTCCAACAAATGAGGGCCAGTTTCGTCATATCCTATAACCAAAAAGCCAACACCGTAAGGCCTTTTACCATATTCTTGAGTGTTTAATTGAGCTTTTTCCGCAACACGATTCAATAAACGTCGGACGGGAATAGGACGACTGAAGAGCGTTTTTGAGGACGTAGCTTCCTGTTTCATGTAATTGCTAAATCGTTAGTTACCGCAAACTTTTGTTCCTATTCGATTCCGTTTTAATTTAAGCCGACCATACCTTAATATACGTGCATCTGGGGCTAAACCAGCGATAGCAATACCTAAATGATCATCGATGCGAATTAACTTCTTTTGGTAGCTGCTAAGTTCTTCAGCATTTCTCTATATAGAGTTAGCAAATATTAATATTACTTCATTACATACCTTTAAAGCAACCAGGACAGCATGTGTACTTGAAACAATTCCTACAGTTGCTGATCCTTGCTTTATTGCTTCAAGAGCATACTCGACTTGATGAAGTCTTCCTTGAGGACTCCAGGTAGTTGCATCTCCATCTAAAACAGTTAATTAAAGACTTTTTTTACCATATTCCTTACCATATTGATTTCTAAACATATTGGTTCTGGTTAGGTCGTACTCCAAATGATACTTGCTCTTTCGTTACTTATAGAAAACACCCACAGCTATTACCTATTATATCTGAACATTGTTATTTCATATACTTGTTTTAAATGGCTTATAAATAAATTAATAAAATGAACATTATTTATGTGGTGAACAAGGAAAAATAAAAAAAAAAAAAATAATTACTCGTAAAAAACAAAAATGTCATTATAGTCTAGCAGAAGGTCCATAAGAAATTTTTAGAAGTATTAAGCATAACTAACTGGTTTCGATATGAAGCACGATTGGTTCACTTACATCGCAATTGGAAAACGGGGAATCATCGCTCTCTGGCTTCGCTGATATATAAATTTGATAAATACCGGGGGTAAGCGCAAAGAAATTTCTTTCAATAACAAGATAATTATCTCTTTTCTCTGAAGCTGATACTTTTGCTTCATTAGGTCCATCCATAATTAAACCCATATGTCTATCCACTGTAGTCGGTGAATCGCGAGACAGTAATACCCATGATAATTTATAGCGTAAGTTTTCTTCAGAGCTGTCAAACGATAATACTAAAGTAAACGGTTTACGCGGTAAAACACGAGAAGTTGTTTCTCCGTTTTGTTTAGAATGCGCTGATATTTGAATGGAAGGTAGCAATAGCTGCTGGGTCATGTCGTCCGTTAATGAATGATACTTCATATACACCTGACCATGGCGATTTTGTTCATCGCTTTCCCAGAAAGCCTGAATTTCTTCCATCAGATGCTGCTTCACCCAAAATCGTCTTTTCAGTGCTGTAATATTTTCAAGACTTCTTTTCATTCCACTGGAAAGAACAAATTGCTTAAAAGAAAGGTTTGGAATATCTCTATTTAATTGCGCCTCTGACATACGGAATCGTTTCAGTCTTAAAAAGAAGACGTGATCGGCTTTGGGTTTCACAAATCGGCTTTCAATTACGTCTTTTTCCCTTTTCTTTAAGGAAACTCTCAAAGCATCGGAATGATGGTTATAAAAATTCAACAACAGCATACAGTAATTAGGATTTTTTTCTATATCAGGAAGCACAGACCAACCGCTTAAAGTCACTCTTTTACTCAGATTTAAAGCAATAGGTAGCTTTAAGTGCCTAGCGTAGAAATCAGATTCATCGTCATTTCGGCAACTGCTTTCGAAAATAATGGCACCCATCCCAGATATCGGTTTTGCAAAGACATTGACATGAATTTGTCTTTTTTCACCTGGTTGAAGAGCAAAGGTTTGTTCATTTAAAACATTGAAGGTTGGCAGTTCGTACTCTTCATGCTGAAGCTCATATAACAAATCTGCTGTGACATTTTTGTCAGATTTAAGTTGCTCATACACTTTAGATGCATTGTCATCAAACGATACACGAACATGTGTAGCCTTTGTATTAGAAACGTTCTCAATAGTGTAAAGCAGTTCGCCAGTTTCATATTCAGCGAAATTGAGATTGCTTATTGAAAACTTCTTAGAAGAAACTATCAGTGTTGGCTGCTTTTCAATGATATGAAAATTTAAGGATTCTAAGTTAATAGAAAGCTTGGGTATATTGCTCCATTGATGCTTTGCGACATTAGGAGGACGCATTTCATCAAAATCATGCTTTATTTTTTCCAGTGAAATATGCAAAGCATCCTTTTCTTTTTCCTTATCGTAAAAATATTGTACAGAAGGTTCGCATCCAAACACTTTGACATTACAACCACGTACGTTCAGCGTGCCTGCTTCCAGAGGAATTATTGATAAACTAACCATTTCCGTAGATAATGGTCGTAAAGTACTCATACATGTTGAATGTTTAACTTCAACCCCTTCTGTATCGAGGTAAATTTCCTGAATGTCTACAGAAAAATGAAAAGGATTTCGTAAGTATACGTTAAAAAAAACAGGCTCATCAACTACTAAAATATTCTAGTAAAAGAAGTTAGTTTCAAAACTGTTAGCGGATTTCACACATACTCTCTTTTTATGGTCGGTATCCTTTTTTAAAAAAGGATTATAGATGAAAGGGCTTCTACCTTGAGATGAGTTTGCTTTTGATGCTTTCACATGAACAAGTCTTGGCTCTGCAAAATCAGGATTTCCGTTATACTGCATATCTGTAATCATAAATGGATCCCAATAAGGTGTTTGGATAGTTATTCCTAGATTGCTAGCAAATGAACAAGTTTTTCTGAAAATTTTGTAAAGAAAATTTTGCTGAGCAGAAGTAGAATAAGACGGTGAAATTGTGAAAAACAAAGAAATTAATTTGAGTATTGTCTGGTAATCTGCCAATGCTTCACAAAAAGAAATAAGCTCATTTATAACATCAAATTGAAGAGATGTCCAGCCCCATTTTGTTGTCTCAGGATTTAGGACTGTGCCATCTAGCCGTAAGAGACCAAATTCCTCACATACTTCAAGAATCAAAGGAAGGATATTGAAGCCAATTTTGGACCTATCTAGAGAAGAAGCGGTATGCATGGTCACAACCTCAGGGTGTATACCAATTTTAAATGCAATTTGTTTTCTCAGTTCAACAATGGATGGAGTTAAGTTAAATAACATATCACGTAACATTTTAGATCGTTGACGGTGGAAGCCAATTGTACCAAGCATATTTGCCATAGCACCATAGATACGACAATTCTCACGGATGGAAAGATAATTTAAATGCTGTCCACGGGCTCGAATAACCCATTGATAAATAGTTGCTTTGCTAGGGACGTAAGAAGCAGAAATCTTTGAAGAGCGCAAGGGAGACTGAGAGATTATATGATTCAAAGCGACATCGGTAAGGCCATTACATACGTAAACAATAGTCAAAAGATGAGAAAATCGAAGGATGCTTTCAGAAAAACAAAGACCAGGTATTGAATCATTTGGTTGCAAAGTGGATTTATGATAAAGTTGGTCAATAGCGTTTCGAGTCTCAGCTATGAAACTGAACAAAAAATCAAGCTTTAAAGGGCCATGTTCATTAAAACGATCGGTATAGGAAGGAAACATGGCAGTTATGTTATGAGGAATTTGAACATCGATATGTAATTGAGCCATTAATACTAAACATACAGTAAACAGCTCGAGAGACAGTCCCTGCCAAAGATAATCACTTGTAGATTTTGTTGTTGCAATGGCATTTGCAAAGTGCTTTAAAGCATTGGGAAGCCTCCCAGCCAAGAGATATAGTTGCCCTAATTGATTTTCGATACGACCTTTGGAAAGACTTTTGGAGCGATCTGTAACTGCTGTAACGGAGCGAACAGAAGGAATGGAGGTTGTTCTGCTTACCGGAGTGGTGGTTGAGGAACGAGGACTACGCATTGAGGAGAAAGAGTTTGTTCGTTGTAAGGGAGCTAAATGAGGCATTTCTGTCATGGGAGATAGGATTACAGACCTAGCATGAAGAGAAAATTCTAGAGAGCTAAATTCTTCTAACAATTCAGCTGTAATATCACAAAGTATCGACCTCATAACTGAGTTTACCGATGAATTGCTTCGTGGACCAAGTACAAATCGAGGATCCTGATATATTCCCTCCGATTCTGAAGAGCAATCAAAGACAAGACATTTTGCAACTGAAGCATGAGGAACTCGACGCTGCCAAGCATCTAAGGAAGACTGTAATTGCGCAAAGTCTTGTTGCTCAGAACCATCAATTACGCCGATGAAGACGAATATTCTTCGAAAATACTCATATTCTTCTAATAAAGATTGCTGATCATCCAGAGTTGTGGTGAAGTTGTAAATAATGCGCCCTAAGGGGAACGCCAAAGGATTAAAAGAGCTTGCTACAAAGTTAGAAATAAGTAGTTTTAAGTCAAAATCGCATACATTTTTTCGTCGCTCGGCCCACAGGAATATCACTTAACTGAATATGACTGACGCGGCGCAACAATTCAAGGAAAGAATGAAAGCGATGTCGTCTAATTCTGCCAAATGGGCAGGCTAACGCTTGTATTCTCGACGGAGCTACAAAAGAGAAAAAGTCAAATTCCATAGCATCGCCAGATAATATTGACGAAAAACACTGTTTGTAAATGGTGTTCCTTACCATTTGAAATACAGCACTGGTAGAGAAACATATCGTATTTCCTTAGGTATCCTTAAATTGGCGAACATTTCTGGGATTGGAGTTCGCTGATAAATAAATGGAAGAAATGGATTCTCTCCTGGTTCACTAAATAACTTAAAAGTTTTCACAAAAAAAAGGCCTGCTTGGAGAGTTCCTGGTCATCCTACAGTATTGAATTGAAACGAATTATTTGAGTGAATTGATGTATGTTTGACGGTGTTGCAATAGTGAATGAGTGCCGTCGTCATGTTTAGACAATCTTGATCGAATGAATTTACAAGGAATAGTTCTCAGCATTATTATTGTATGAAGAGAAGGTAAGAACAATGATTAAAATAGGACAAGAAGGAGAGAATTTTTTTGGGTAGTTTACCAATACTAAATATTTATTTTCTGACAATTGATGATTATCAATACCAGGGAAAGTGGAGAACAGCTTTGAAAAATATGGGAGAGAACGGAAAGCTAAGATGCATTATAGTTGGATGTATGTGTGCTTTCTTTATTGGATAGGATGAACTTTATTTACCATATGAGTCTATAGGTGGCATTATTGGAATTTGCACAAGCTTTTACTTGACAGAACATGAGTTATACAAACAAGGAAAGGTGGAAATCATAATTTTGGAGTCAAGTGGCATTGCATCTGGATCCTCTTCAGTTCAATCTGCTTTAATTACTTCTCAATGGCAAAACGAAGCAGTGCAACCCTTGACGAAAATCTCTGTAAAGTTACACCAACGGTTGAGTAGTTTATATGATGGAAAAAACCAATGGGGATTCCGTTCCGTACAGCCTTGGCTAATGAATTTTATAAAGTTGAATGACGGTGTCGCAAAATTACCGGAAGAGTTCGATTATTTTAGTGATGAACACCTTCAAAAATGCAAGTAAACTGTTTTTAGTTTTTTCAATAAAAAACTCTAACTAACATTGTGAACTAGGCTCTAAGCTTGGAGAAAAAGATGAATTTATGGTCATCAATGCCGGGAAATTTTGTCAAAAGCTTTTTGAGAAAATTCACGAACGTGGAGTACAACTGGTGTATGGAAAAGCAATTCTTGTAAAAAACAATTGCGTACATTATGTGCCAAAAGGGAAAGAGGATACCATAATATTGGACGCTGACAAAGTTTGTGTGAGCGCAGGTGCTTGGACTGGCTATATTCTTCCTTACTCTGGAATAGGAAGTCTGTTTGCTCAATCTCTTTTGTTTGATTTGGAAGGCTCTGAATCAAAATCAAAAGAATATGTAGCCATCTGCAATGTGAATCCACAGAATCCAGAATACCCGGAAAGAAGCATAGAAGTACACTTTCTGCCAGATAATAAAATGTATTTGACCGGAGCTACTCTATTCACTCCATTACCGAAAGACAATGAAGCTATTCGAGTCAATCCCCAGCATTTAATGGACCTAAAAGAAACCTTAGATCTGCTACTAGCAGAGCAGATGACGTCCAAATTGATTTCTTCCAAAAGTTGTTTTCTCCCAACAAACAGATTAACAGGAATTCCTATTCTAACAGTCTCATGCTCTGGAATATATATTGCTGCAGGTCATGCGAACTGGGGTATTACTCAAGGACCAGCTACTGGTCTTTGGATGGCTGAATTGATTCTAGAAGGAAAAATTAAAAGTTTCGAGATTTGAGTAGCAGGAAATATTCTGTTTCTCTTTATTTTATCCTTCTGATTTTTCTGGCAATCCCAGCCTTTGTTTATGATACTTGGGTTGCTTCATTGTTACCTGCTACGATTAAGCTTGGATCTTTGATTACTTGTCTACGAAACCCACAAACGCGATCGAAACGTGCAAAATGTCTTCATTTCACACACCTATACGATCAAGAAAGCGCGGTAGAGAGGAATCTGACTCTGGGTTTCGCCCTAATCGTGCAAATCCTCAAGAACTTCTTGGTTTTCGCATAAAAAAAGATATCACCTTTCTAGCAGACCCTCGTGTTAACCCTGTCGTTACAGAAGATATTAATTATGTTGCTATGTCTGTGAGCCGTGAGTCTCATGAAGAAGAGAGTGTGTCTGCCATTTTGAACTGCATTCTTGAAACGTATGTTGTTTTCTTAACCTTTTTTTTTTGAGGTAAATTGCTTTACTCTAACCATGCATACAGTGCTCTTTCTATTCCTGTCAAAGTAGCGCATTTGGCAACGCTAATGATGCGGGCAGCATTAAAAGCACCTCTTTTAGTTGAGCGTGGTGTAGATATTCTACAATCAAAACTGACTGTTTCTTTAGAGCAGTTCGATTATTACCAAGCTAAGATTGTTTTCCGTTTACTTATATGTCTTAGTCGTATCTACGAGTCAGAAGGTGTAGAGCCCGTCTTTTCCAAATTTTTAGACAAACTGAGTGAGCAAACGACACCTTCCATTTTTGGAGATCAAATACTGAAAATAATTCTCATAAACATTCCCTATTACTGTACCGCTTCTAAACATCCTGACAGAAACACCTTAGTTGGAGACTGGATTCAACGATGTGCATCCTACGTTGAATCAAGAAAACCATTATTACAACAAGTTAAAAACCCTTTTTCTAACTCTGAGGAGTATGTTGAGGAAGAATTAGATCTTTTATTTCGTCAAACCATTCTTGAAAAAGAAAATGGACTTCAGTTCTCTTATTTACCTCGCCCTTGGGAAGCATTTGAGTCAGATTTAGCCCAGGTTTCACCTGTCTCTTTGAAAACTTTTGAATGGAATCCTTCTATTACAGAAGAACAGCTCAAGCCACCATATTTTCGCCCTTTTGTCGAACTCTTTCATACTTCTGAAATCCGTACTACTCCGGAAACTCTTAACATCGCTTCCAGTATTTTTCGGGATGTTACTGCTGACATCATCAACCATCTCGAGTATAACCGTATGGAAGCCGCTCAAATTTTGACGGACCTTGATGTTTACTTTACTTATAAGACATTTGCTTTACGTGGTACTCCGGTTGGTGAGCTTCCCAAACTGGATCCAGAGGAGTCTCGATGGAAGGTAGAAGATATAGTAACAGAAGCTATATTTTCAGAGCTACTGACGACGGCCAAGCCCGCTTTCAAGCCTATCTATTACCACTCGTTACTCACAGAGTGTTGTCGGGTTGCTCCCAAAATTTTAGCACCAACTTTTGGTAGAATTATTCGTTTTGTGTTTAATATTTCTGAGAATCTTCCATTGGAAACTTTTGAAAAATTTATTGACTGGTTTTCTCACCACTTAAGTAATTTCAACTTTTTCTGGAAGTGGCAGGAATGGATAGGTAACATGGAGTTAGAAGACTTTCACCCAAAAAAAGTGTTTATGAGAGAAACAATTTCCAAGGAGTTGGAATTGAGCTATTGGTCACGTATCCATGATTCTCTACCGGAACCCTTGCGCCAATTAATGACCGCTGAACCACCGAAGCCTGAAATCCCGTATGAAAACGAGTCCCATCCGTTGCACGCAAGCTTTAAAGAGATAACCGATCATTTAAGGATACATAAACCTATTGAAGTAATTTCGTCAGCACTCTCGTCTGTTGAGGAAAATAAAGCATCTGAAACTTCTGGAGTAAGGTTCTTAATGGCGTGTAATTATAGTCTTGGTTCGAAATCACTCTCCCATGCATTGAATGCTTTCGAAAAACATTTAGATGTTATAAAGCATTTTTCTAGAAAATCATTATCAACCGAGATGGAAACAATTGATGAACTATTTTTATGCTGGAGATTACAGCCAAGTATTGCAGTTATATGGTTGGGTAAGATGCTTAACTATTCAATTGTGAGTCTTACGTCTGTGTTTCGGTGGTTACTAGATCAGAAGGATCCATCAATATGGGCCAAGAGTTGGACATGGTCCTTAATGCACATGTCCTTGAAGAAGATGGATGCTCGGCTAGAAAACGTAAACAGTGATGATGAAAACTTAAAAGAACTTATCAGGGAATCCAAAGAAGAAAAAGAAGCAGTCCTGAATCTTTTATTCACAGAGTTACCCAAACGGAAATCCGAAAACGAAAGTATTCCTTGGTTATCTCACTGGATTCAACTAATCCAGAATGATTTGGAGTCTGTATATGGTCAAACCAGTGATTAGACATAGAAATAATAGTGAAAATGACTACTGTCTAAATTAGCTGATTCTCGAATATAAAGAGCAATATTTTGTACCGAAAGAATCTATTTTTTATTTAAGGATTTTTTTTTTTTTTTTGGAAGCAGCGTATATGATTTAGTTCTAAAATAAAAATGGGTTTTTAGCCCTCGTGTGCTTGCCTATAGGAATAAATATCAATAAAGGCCTGAACAATTATTTTTATAATGAGCATCAAACAGATTCTTGATCAGTTAGTTCTACCCAACCTAAGTATTCGAGAATATGCAAGATTACAATAGTACCACGATGTCTATTCAATCCACATGAAATCATGATTAAGGTGAATACTCCTTTCACTCATATATAATATACATAGATCCTTTAAAAATGTTCTATAATATTTACCTCTTTTGTTTACAACCTTGATCTGATTAGATTAATCTCCTTATCTTAAAATCAATCTTACACTTACCCATTAACCGAAGACTTGTTTAACGAGTGAACAAAGCAACTTGTAAACTACCAACTATCTAAGACGCTGTACAACTGGAAGTTTGTTTGTCTGTATTTGATTAGTTACATAGTTGGTTTTTGTTTATTACAGGATGCTTGCCATACGTCCAAATATGCCTTTCAAACAGGCTAGAAAGGCAGTGAGCCTTTATCGCAATATTCGCTTCTCATCTTCTAAGCCATTTCAAAAGATTCATGTGAAAAACCCAATGGTAGAGATGGATGGCGACGAAATGACTCGGGTTATCTGGCAAATTATTCGTGAGAAGCTCATTCTTCCTTATATGAACATTAAATTGGATTATTATGACCTTGGTATTGAGGCTCGTGACAAAACAAGAGACCAAATGACTGTAGATGCAGCCAATGCTATTATCAAGCACGACGTGGGTGTGAAGTGCGCTACTATTACTCCTGATGAAGCTCGTGTTCAGGAATACAACTTGAAGAAGATGTGGAAGTCCCCTAACGGTACTATTCGAAACATTTTGAATGGTACCGTATTCCGTGAACCTATTCTTATCAACAACATCCCCAAGTACATCCCAGGATGGACAAAGCCCATCTGCATTGGTCGTCATGCCTTTGGTGATCAATACAAATCGACAGACATGATTGCCTCCGGACCCGGCCTGTTGGAATTGTCCTTTACCCCCAAAAACAACGAGGCTGCTAAGCAGACCCATAATGTTTACGAGTTTTCTGGTCCTGGTGTCGCCATGGCTATGTACAACACTGATGATTCTATCCGCGGATTTGCTCATAGTTCTTTCCAAATGGCTCTCCAAAAGAAGATGCCTTTGTACCTTTCTACAAAAAACACTATTTTGAAGAAATATGATGGTAAATTCAAGGATACTTTCCAAGAAATCTACGACTCTGACTACAAGGCTGAGTTTGAAAAACTTGGTTTATGGTATCAACACCGCTTGATCGATGATATGGTTGCTCAGGCTATCAAGTCTAATGGTGGATTTGTTTGGGCTTGCAAGAACTATGATGGTGATGTTATGTCCGACGTTGTTGCTCAAGCTTATGGTTCTTTGGGTCTTATGACCTCTGTTTTGATCCATCCCAATGGCCGAACTTTTGAAAGTGAGGCTGCTCATGGTACTGTTCAACGTCACTTTATGCAGCACTTACAAGGCAAGAAGACTTCTACGAACAGTATTGCTTCCATCTTCGCCTGGACTCGTGGTCTTGCTCAACGTGGTCGCTTAGATAACAATGAACCCTTGATCAACTTTGCTAATGCCCTTGAGCGTGCCTGTGTTAATTGCGTTGAGAAGGGTATTATGACAAAGGATCTTTGCATATTGAGTCCTGATGTCAAGGAATGGGTTGATACTTTTGAATTTTTGGATGCAGTAAAGTCTGAGCTTAACTCTGAACTTGCTAAGAGTTCTTAAACGGGAAATCTTTCTAGTAATAGAAACTTGTGATTCTGGACTTTGACTTTGCTAAGGTGAATATACTGTTAAACGTAAATGTAAGCCAACCTCTTTATCTGAACTGTAAATTAAAGAGAAATATGTAAGTTATGTGTCCATAAGCTTTTATTTTATTTGTTTTTTCTTTTTTAACAAAAAAGTTCCACTTTGCTGCGTGTTCACATTCGCATATTTCGTTTACTAGCGTATTGTAACACAGGAAATAAAATAACATTATAAGTGTAGCAAGGAAGCATTCTACACCAAACACAAATCTATCGTCGATACTTCTAGTGAGAGTACGCGATGGTATATAGTAGTACCTGTCGAGTAATTTCATGGTTCCTATTGGGAACTGTGTTTTTACTCTGGAATGCGCTCCTTTGTCACGCAAACGTAAACGCAATTGAAAATGTAGTGAATGACTCTTTGTTATGGGGACCTTACCGCCCAAATCTATACGTAGGCATACGTCCAAAGGTCCCAAATTCTCTAATGAGTGGATTAATGTGGGCAAACGTCGATGATTATGCCAGATTTTCGAGTATGTTGGCACAGAACTTTATCCTTCCAAAACATTAACAGTTGTCTTTAGAACTTCGTCACCGTGCAGAACATGGCGATGATATTGGCGCTTTTGGTTGGACTTCGTATGATGTTCGCCGAGGTGGTCAACAAGTGATTGAAGATCTTCTTATGGGTATAAAAATGGAAACCGAATTCATTAAATTACCTGACCGAAATTGGGCCTTACGTGTTCATGGAACTCCTCTGCCTGGAGCACCTGAGGACCTGACCACAGCTCTATTTTTCTACGCCTATGTGAATGGAGAAGGCAACTTGGAATTGAAATCAACATCTCCTAAGAAAGTTTTCATGGAAGGTCAGACACCTGACTTAGGTAAATTCCGTGTTCATACTTATAATCGCATGGGCGAGCATCCTAGTACTAGTGGAGTGGAAGACTTGGAAAGTACTACAATGGACAAGGATTACTTTGCTGGCTTTAAAATCAATTCAAAAGAAGTTTGGCAAACTTCTGAAATCCTTCTATATTTGCTAGACACAAAAATGCAAGTCTTAAGCGAAAAGGAAAATATGAAAACCTTGGATGATTTACCTCCTGCCTATGAAACCTTGCTTTTACCAAATGTTCCAGGTGGTGATGGTCTCCAGTTCATCCAAAAGGTATTCAAGGGAGAGTTTATTTTCGACATTATTTTCAATTCCGCTAAAACCGCAGTGGCCTCTGAGGAAACAATCACCAAGACGATTGAAGAAAATCATAAAGCTTTCTCAAAAAGATTTCAAGAAGTATTTCCACTCAAGTACCCTTATGATGAAAATCCAGAATATCAACGTTTTGCTGAGTTTGCTTTTGCCAATTTATTTGGTAACGTTGGATTTTTTGAAGGTGACTCAATCGTAAGCAAAACTCCTATCGAACCTGATGATGAAGATTATGAATTTATGCAAGGCTTCGAAAGTGCAAAGGGAAAGTTGGCTGAAAATTCTGCTTTCTTTGATAAGGAGCGTCATTTGCTCACTGCTATCCCCAGTCGATCTCATTTCCCACGAGGATTTTATTGGGATGAAGGCTTCCATCTTTTGCCAATTGGCCTCTGGGACAACGATTTTAGGTATGTAACATATTTTACGAATTCAAGCTAATAAACACAGTCTGGAAATTTTAAAGAGTTGGTTTTCTCTTGTTAATGAAGATGGTTGGGTTGGCCGTGAACAAATACTTGGGTCTGAAGCTCGCAGCAAGGTTCCTGATGAGTTTCAGACTCAATATCCCGATATTGCGAATCCCCCCACTCTCATCTTGGCTTTGAAAGCTTACATAGAAAGACTTAAAGAACAAGATTATAAAAAATCATTCGACGACGTTGGCTCCGATTATTCTTTAGAAGACTTGGAATACCTTCGCTCTGTTTCTGTTTCAAATCCTGAAATGTCTATACAATTTCTTCGAGAACTGTTTCCGTTGATGTTGCGCCACTATGAATGGTTTAGAAGGACTCAGCAAGGCGACTTTGACACATGGGATCGTGAATCATTTTCTAATGTGGAAGGCTATCGCTGGCGTGGTCGTACATATCGACATTGTCTCGCCAGTGGATTAGATGATTATCCCAGAGCCCAACCTCCTAGTATTGCTGAGCTGCATGTTGATTTGCTTAGTTGGATGACTTCTTTCACAAAGAGTCTACGTTTTGTTGCTGAATTCTTAGGTGAAACTGAGGAAGCCGAAAGATTAACCAACAATGAATATGCTATGCTTCGAAACTTGGATGATCTTCACTGGGATGAGGAAATGCAGACTTACTGTGATGCTAGCGTTGATGAATACGATGATCCTAAATATGTTTGTCACAAGGGATATGTTTCGTTGTTACCATTGATGTTAGGCCTTTTGCCTCCTGATTCTGAAAAGCTAACAACTATGTTACATATGATTAGAGATGAAAGTGAGTTGTGGTCTCCTTATGGTATTCGAAGCTTGAGTTTGAATGACCCTTATTTTGGAACGGACGAGAACTACTGGCGTGGCCCTGTCTGGATGAATATGAATTACTTGATTTTGAGCAGTCTGTACCAAAATTATATCCATGTCCCTGGACCTAACCAGGGATTGGCTAAATCTATCTATGAGGAACTTCGTATCAACGTTGTAAACACTGTTTTCAACAACTGGAAGCGTACAGGCATATTCTGGGAGCAGTACGACTCTGTAACCGGCGTGGGCCAACGAACTAAAGATTTTACTGGTTGGACTACACTGATTGTGAATATTATGTCAGAAAAGTATTAAGTAAATAGATAAATGATGCCTGTTTATGTCTATAATAAATAAATTACAAGAATGGAAGTACTAGTATAAGATTTTTCACCAAAACTCAGAGAGATGTATATATATATATTTATATACTTCCATTTTAATATTTCCTACGTCTAGGAGGGGGAGATGAACGATCATTGTAAGCCTTTTCATAATCCCGTTCAGGTAAATCATCTACATGTCGGCGATGATGGGGGGAGTGTCTATATGGAGCAAATATTTCTTCTTTATTAGGAAGATCGGAAGGTGGAGAATAACGTCGGGGTCTACGATCTCTATGTCGACCGTGATGATAATCATCTCCTTTAAGTCTTTCTCGCCGATGATATCGAATACCGTGGGAAGGAGATTGAGATCTATGTCTCCTGGGCGGATAATCTTCTCGTCTACCGGATTTTCGGCGATGATGAGGAGTAGGAAGCTGCTCTTTGATTTCTTTTGTTGTCAGGGTATTTTGAGAGTTATTTTCAACTTCTAGGGGAGGCGGAGGAGGAAGGCCCAGCGTTTCAGCTAGCATAACTTGCTCTTTATATTTAACTTCTAAAATCTCTTTTTTGTAAGCCTCTTCGTTATTCGAATTGGGCTCTGCTTGAGTGGTTCTGCCTTTTGACCACCACTCTAGGTCGCGTCCTTGCGCCCATCGACCACTTGCAGCATAGATTGATTGCCCCAAATAATTTCCTTTTTGTTTATCGCTTTTTACCTGATCCCACTGAAATTCACCTTGACCACCACGGGTGCCTCCGCGAGTTGCATTACTACGACCCATTAGCAAAACGCTTAAATTAAGTCAATGAGAAGGATGTCTAAATAAAAGAACAATTTGTATATGTACTTATATAAGGCAAGTATTAGCCTACCTATCTGAACCCAACCTGACAAAACTTAGTTGGATGCGAAGCAAAGCTGCGATAACCTTTTAGAAGTAATTCTTTTTCAATGAAATTAGCTTTCAAAATGGGTTTATTCAAAAATGATAAGAAACAGTTCACTACTTTTTGCCTTTACTACATGGTAGACGAAAAAGCAAAAATAGCCCCTATATCTATCACATCGTATGTGTTACCTTACACTGTGTTACTCAAATCCGGTAACAGCCGAGTTACAATATATGAACCAATCAACAGATCGGTTTCTACTAAGTTTCAGTTATAATAGAACTATAATACGAGATCAATTTATAGTGAGAATTCCTTATTTTATTACAACACTTAAGCTTCCAACTTGAGGGTCAAGTGGCATCTACCGCAGTAGAGACGGTCTCCATGGTTGGCCATGAAGACAGAGGCACCGCAAGTAGGGCACTCACGACGGAGACGCTTAACGCTTCCATCATCTTCGACCTTGTAATACTTAAGGACAGCAAGCTCAACCTTCTTATGCTTGTGCTTGATTTTCTTGGGAGTAGTGTAAGTTTTCTTCTTACGCTTCTTACCACCACCACGAAGACGGAGGACCAAGTGAAGGGTGGATTCCTTTTGGATGTTGTAGTCGGACAAAGTACGGCCATCCTCCAACTGCTTACCAGCGAAAATTAAACGCTGTTGGTCAGGGGGGATGCCCTCCTTGTCTTGGATTTTACCCTTGACATTGTCAATACTGTCGGAGGACTCTACCTCAAGGGTAATAGTCTTACCCGTGAGGGTTTTAACAAAGATCTGCATAGTCAGCAAAGTTTTGCCTCTTCCTTGCGGATGGTAGAATCAGAAAGTTGTGGTTGTCGACATATAATTGTGTGACTGTCTTTACTTAGGGTAGGGTGTAGTGAACTCGTTAAATATGTGCTTTATTTTCCCTTACTGATGTTCAACGATATTATAAGTGAATTTCCGAGGATGCTAGCTCTTGCAAATTTCGCGCTAATTGAGAATGTTAGCATTCGTAAAACAGTAAACAAATAATGAAAGAGCATGAATAGAAGAGGCAGCAAAAAGCATCATCTAGCGGGTCTCGGTAATCGTTCAGTGTGATAGCAATAACATTAAAGATTCAGTTTTCTACAGTTCCTATCAGAACACTCACGCAGCAGCAAAAATGAAAGCCTTTATTGTTTACCATCAGTCTTTTCTTAAGGAACGCTCATGTCTGTTTTGAACAATTACGAATTAATTATGCATGCAATTTAAAAATTTAATATGTGTAAGTTCTTTCAAACTTTTGTCCTTTTACTTTTGTATTCACTTAAACCTGGTTTGTCAAAACCCTTGTGAGATGCTCAAATATGATAGAAAAAATTACAGAAATTCAAAATAAATCGCTGCAGAAACACTTTTTAATGACTGTAGCTAAGAATCTAGAAAATTGGTACTATCAAAGTCAGAATTCCCAACTCAGTATCTACAAACAACAAAACCAAAAACAAAAACGAATAGTTATATAAATAAGCGTAGAAAAAGAAAAGACAAAGTAGCAAATAATCATTAAATTACAAAAGTAAAAACCAAATTCCAAAACATTAATCATCATAAATTAAAAAAAAAACAACACACACACACACACATTATACAGATTACAAAGGCCTAACGTTTCATCTCCGGTTTAAGCCTCCGATACAAATATTTCTTTGCTTATGGCGATTCAGAGCGTCCAGACGGTTGAATCTTTTGCTGCATTCACAGACATATGGACGTCCATTCTCATGGATACGCAGATGTCGTTTCAAATCGTGATGTCTGACAAAGCCCGCTTTGCAGACTTCACAACGATAGGGCCGGTCACTTAGATGGGTTTGAATATGAGACTCAATATTATACTTTCGGCGAACTCGTTTGCAGCAACCATTGAATAAACAAATAAATTTACCGTCTTCTTCAGGTCCACGATACAGACTGGCCATAGTTTCCGGAGGAATACGACAAATTCGTGAGGATTGCTTTCGAGACGTTTTGCAGCCATTATTTTCAGTGATTTTCATGTGAGGTTTGGGTGTCAATAATGGTCGTACAAAATGCATATCTTGGGTATCCAAAGGCTCCTGCTTTACGGGAAGCAATGCTTCAGAAGCGCCCACGAGGGGTTGTTGAACGGCATGGAAAGCTTCTTTGTGATTGTTTTCAGAAGAGATAAAACAATTCAGCTCCTGGTTCTGTTCATCTTGACGATTATAAATAGTCGAAATCTCTTTGTTTTCAGAAGAACAGTTACGGCTATTGTCCTTGGAAAAGGGAATAGAAGAATCTTTCTTTTGGAAGATGTCGGGAAAATCATTTTGTTGATTATCCAGTTGTAGAGTTCTAATGGATGACAAAGTTTGATTTTCAGGTTGCAAGACCTCGCCGGCGAGGGATACCTGAGGCTCAAGGGATCTCGTATTTATACTTAAATTAGGTAAATTTTGAAATGCAAAAGAAGGTTTCACAGGTGAGACCGGCTCTACCTTGGTCAACGGGGCAAACGGAGAGACAGGTGAGACATTAGCGGGTGTGTCTGGTGTGGATATATCTGTGAGAGAGGGCTCACAAATTGCGATTTGCAACGTCAACTTATCAGGGGAAATAGGAGCATATGGTCCTTCAGGATGAGGGGGAGAAGAAGGCAATGTGACAAACTCATTTGACATGGCCTCCTGAATTGGTTCAATAGCATCTGAGCTAGGAAACGCAGTAGAAGAATAAAGATCTTCCTCACGGTACAGCTGACTTGAAGGACAGTAATCTTCATTATCGTAATAGGCTAAAGGTTCACTTTCTTCTTTGATAGGTACTTCAGGAAAAGAAGGGTTACTGCTCTCACCTGCCAAGTCATTTTTCCAAGCGGATGTCAAATTTTCTTCATACGACAAACCATTGGGTTGTCTGATGTGTAAGGAACCAAGTTCATCTTCTTCAATAATCGTTGATGGGGGGTCCATAGAGGTTTGGATACCTGTATTAAAGGGTGAAGAAGGAGGAGACAGAGAAGGACCATAAGAAGAACTGTAAGATTGAGAGTCTGAAATACCACCCGTATGAACATTCAAATAGGACGAAGAGGATTCAAGTGAGGAAGCAATCGGAAGATGCAAGAAAGGAGAATAGTCCATATGATCTGTGATTCTAGTAGGAAATGAAGTAGATAAGGAAGAAGTAGCTAGAGGATGAATTTGCTTTTGATGAGAGTACTCAGGCTGCTCCATTACGGTCGAAAGAGGACACGAGTAGGTCGCTTCCATTTCTGGAAGATACTCCTGGTAATCAAGAGATTCATTATGGTCATGGAAATTAGATAGACCATCCAAAGCAAAGAATTGGGCAGGATTCTTCGCGACAGATGCAGCTCCTTCGTAAGACATTGTTGTTTACCAGCGCGAACGAACGTTCAGACTACTATTGTAATATAAGGAGAGTTAAGGAGGCAATGCCCTCTTGGAGAGAGGAAGGAATGTCTGAGGCCAGGTATCTAAACCAAAAGAAAAACAAACTTCAATTTGTTTGAAATGCTCTTTTCTGATATTGTGAATGTCTTTTCTGGTTACCGTATTGAAAATAAAGGCGCTCCAGGCATTTGTTTATATGATTTTTGGATGTTTTCCGTTGCCAGGACAACATACTAAACATAAACAATAAAGGAATACAAAAACCGTCACTGTTTATTTACTGTTTACGAGATCATAAGGTATCCACGTTGAATGGATGATAACATCATGTAAATAAACAAACCTACGTCTGCAAATTTTATCGCAACAATGAAAATTTAGACTACCAAGGATTTCATCCTATGGACACTGTTCTATCCCTTCAACAGCGTTGATTAAAGAAAAATGACCCAAACAATCTTCCATAGTTTTAATAACCTATAGAAAGTTAGTATAATGAAGGACACAAGAAACCTTAAGAATTTCCTTACAGCATTCACAATCAAAAGGGCAAAGCGGTGTGGTTCCTCCTTTACCCATTTTTAGCTCATCTTCATCGTACACCAAAAAGCCTTCTTCAGTTCGTTTTCCTATATTTTTGTTAGTAAACAAACCATTTAACAACAAGAGGAAAATGCGCTTGCAAAGTAACATATTGTATCTCCTTCAACCACCAAAGAACTATACCGAGTCGAAAAAGTACATCGGTAAACGCATTTCAGCAGCAAGTCAAGAATTCTGTTGAACAATTTAAACTCAAGCGTCAACAAAGGACATCCTTCCTTCTTTTCGTAAAAGAATGCTCAATTCAATTTCCAAAATGATAAAAGATACAGCTCGCTGAAAGAAGTTTACGTGATAGACATGACGAAACTTCCTTGTCGTTGCATGTTCCTACAATGCGCAATATGCCTAGAACTTACTTCCTGAAGCCCCCTTGGGGTCTAAAAATAAATCGTCTTCTTTATTGACATTTTTCTTGGGTTTGGAAGAACGAGCATTTTCAGGCTTTTTAGGTTCTTGTTGGTTCTGCTCTTTCTCAACGGGACCCTGTTCCTTGGGTTGCGCCTTCTTCTGAGAAAAAATGTCGTCAATTTCCATGCTTTTTTCTTGAAATCAGACCTTGAATACCGCGCAATGGTTCAAGATGAATGAAGAACTCAAAACGTTCAAGTGAGCCATAAAAAACTCTCTTCCCCGGATACGGAGCACGGTGGGCTTTTGAAAACCATCCTGCGAGGTGTAGCTATCAGCTCACTATATATTTCAATAACTCAGGACTTCATCCAGCCACATTAAACGGTTAACACAAAGCAACGAATCGTAGCAAGCCACATGAAAGTAACAAGCCTCTGGTAACATTAAAGACGATTCATTGGAAGGTTTTCAGTTAGCTAGCAGGTTCTAGGAAAGAGATGAGATTCGAACTGTAAGTAGCAAGTTTGAGAGCTTGCAAAAAAAATATTTTTTTACATAAAACATCTACATCTACAGAAAAAAAAAACAGTATTCTTAAACATTCTACCACGAATTGTAGAAATATACGAATATACAAACTTTCGATGATCAAAATCGTAGTATTTATTATGAACACCCCAAAATCCAATGAAATTATAAGCAAAAAAACCTAGTTCCGAGTTAAGCATAAATAAAGTTGTAATTTTTCGTGAGTTTGCAACAAACTAAGCCCTGACACGCTTGTCTGTCTCACTTGTACTTTCTTCCATGTTTGGTCTCTTTCGGAGTGGTTGAGCGTTTGCAGACGTACTCGGCATACTGCGAGCTTTCTCATGAACTCGTTTCACTGGTTCATCCTGTTTCATAAAACGATACCATTCATCTGGAGCACGGCGAAACAGTTCCACTTTCCAATTCGACCATACTTTTTTGCCATAAAAGTCAAACTTGATTTCGTCACCACCCTGGGCAAGTTCTTGAACAATGCGAGTTCTGTAAAGAGGCAACCCAAGAGAAGCTTTCCAAAGCTTGTCAACGATGTGAGAACCCGGCGCCGATACGGACAATTCCACAATGGCACCCGAAAACATATTCAGGAACTTCTTACGAAAAACGAAATCTAGGTCTGGCCAATCCAATATTTTTTCAATCAAATGAGAAGAAACCGTCTCTTGACAGTATTCCAGAAGCTGTTCACGAGGGAGTTCCAAAATATTATCAAGAATGACCTGAATATATTCCTTAGGACCGTTAAGAAACTCTTCTAATAATTGTGCGCCTAGCATGTTATTAACCAGTTTCCTCTTCTTATCAGCATCGTTGACATCTCGTTTGTGCTTCGAGCGCAAAAGGGTAGGTATTATGTTTTGTTTCTTTCCTTCATCCACGGCAGAAGCAAAAATTAAAGAGGCCAATTCATGCTGATGGGCTTGAAGGGTATTGCATCTCTGTAGAAGAGTTTTCAAGACTGCCAAGGAAGATTTACGTACCACATTATCGGAGCCCTGCTTCAACTCTTGTACCACATACCCGAGCTCTTCCAAAGGAAGTCGCATAATGTATTGTTGCATGACAAAATTAGCAATGGGATGCACACACAGCCGATAAAAGCGGCCTTCAAAGGCTTCCCGAAACCTAGGAATTTGGGAACTGGGCATCTTTTCAACAATGATCTCTAAAATACGGGATGCAGCTTCGTCTTTTAGTAGAGTATCAAGAAAAGGTAATTCTTTCAGATTGTTATCAGGAGAAAGTAGCAATTTATCAGCCAGCGGTGCAGCTTTTTTCTTTTTTCCACTTTGTGCACGCTCAAAATCAATGCGAACAAATGCTTGCATGATCTTAGAAGCATAGCGATCCACACAGTAGTTACGCAGTTCTGAAGCACTCAAATTTTCCACTGCACTATCAATGATGGAATGTGCAAATTGAGGGAAAGTTTCAGGGACCCGTATACGTACCATGGACTCGCGTCGACCTTCAGTGTAGATAAATCGATATCCATCTAATAACATAAGGATCTTATGCAGTACGTGGACAGCAAGTTTATGATTGATAAGGACAGAGAAATCAGGTCGTATTTCGTTGCACATAAACATCACTAGCGACTCTGCCGTGATGAACACTTGATCTTCTCCTTCTAACATCTCTTCTTCATTGTCCAAAGCTCCTCTGCATTCTAGATCAACAATCTCTGCCATGTGACTTAAGAGCTTTTCAAAGGCATAAGATCCAAACGTTGTTTGTGTAATCTCTAAATAATGACCATTTAGAGACGAGAAGATAGACTTAATTTGGCTAGGTGTTGCCAAAGGAAACATATGCTCTAGTACCTTGGAACCAAAGACATTATTCAAAACTATTAACTCTTTTCCTTTTACTTCACGATAAACGCTATCAATAAAATACCGTGTCTCCTCATTATCACGCGTAAAATGACTAACAAAAGCCTTTTCTGCTTCTTGAAAATATTTTTCTTCTTCAGGATCCAATGCGCCAAGGAATGGTTGCACAGGCTCATTCGTGTAAGGATTGACCTTGTATCCACTTTCTTCGAATCCTTCCTCAGCTGTTTTTGAAGGAATTTGATTGTCTACCTGATCCTGTACCTCATCTGTTCCAGGATTCTGTTTTGAAGACTGCTTTTTTCCACGCTGTTTCCTTCTTTTCGGCATCCTGTTTTTGGTTTTAGTTTTGGTTCTCTTTCCTACTCAAATTTCCAAGTCTCATTTGAATTACGCTATCGTTGCATTCCAGTATTTTTTTAACGAATACGTTGAAATACGATAGTAAATAAACGATGAAAGTATATCGTGAAAACGACAGGAATTCTCGAATTGAAAGACTGGATTTTGTATGGTGTCACTGTAAATGGAATTGGTCGAGTAATCGTGTTAAAAAAGTATTGGCTTCTAAAAAAGAACTTTAAATATGATCTCTGATAATTGACGAACTTTATACAGTAGCAAAGGAAAGAAAGCTAACAAAAAAATAGTATTTTACTTCCAACTTATTCCTTAAGATTAAATTCCTTGAAAAAAGTCTCTTTATACGTGAAAGACTAAACTTCGTTAATCTATAGCTAAAACACTTTCTGAAATGAAAGTATGAAAAGGAGCTATATTGATGAACACATTCCAAATGCATTACCCATCTGAGTCCAAAGTTTCACTGCCATTTTCTGATTCTGATTCTTCTTGTTCTTCTTCTTTCGGACCATCCGTGTCAGAATAATTATCGTCCGACCCATTCTCGTGGTCGTCATCAGCCTCTTTTAAATACGAGGTTGTGGGATTCTTAGTAGGAGGTGCTGCTTTTTCTTCTGCTAAGCTAGTATCCATCAAGCCGTGAGTTGTTGCGTATTGATTCAAAGCTTGAAAAACGCTTTGATCGATCATATCAAAAGATATGATGGTGTTTCTTACTTCAAAATTAATTGAAAAGGTTCTTTGCAAAACACTGCTGTAATAAAAATTTTGAATATCTGATATATCGATAAACAATATGGGTTTACGAAATCCCCAAAGAACTCCTTTCTTTAAGAAATATAAGTAGCCTAAGAAAAGTAGCCAGTTAGCAATTTTTTTTCATATTATATCAGATAAACCATACCATCTTTAGTTTTGTGATTTGCTTCTACCCCGTAAGAGACTCCATTGTCCCCGGTTTGAGCTACAGGGCATACAAATTCCTCTTGAGATGGGGCGACGATGCTTATCCCTATATATTCAAATAAATCTCTAAAGATATCCCATGAGTTTGTGCAATGAGTAAACGAACGTTTGCCTTCTACTAGGTTGAGCTTTTCCAAAGAATGTGGTGCAGTAAAAAATATGGGTTCATTTCCTTCTGAGCTTGAATTCTCCAAAACCGACTTATTGTTGAATTTGCTTTTCCTAAATATGATTATGTTGTTCTGAACATTTGCTTTTCTAGGACCAGGTATGTGACAAACGAAATGAATATCTGTCCAAGGTAGCCATAATTCCACTAAATTTTCTTCTCCGGGTATAGTTATGCTGATACCACGCTCGTATATATATGTGTCAAAACGCTTTCTCATAGGCGACTGAAACGAAAGTCCTGAGACGCCATAAACCAAGTCTCCAGTATCGCCTTGGAGTCGACTTTTCCTTTTCGTGCTTGCCTCTTTAGGTTCTGATTTTTTGCTGTTAACCGCCGGTGCTTCATAATAGGTGCAGATACTATCTATCAATGAACATAAACCAGTATTTTGCTCTTCATATTAGCTTCCTTCTACAACGCGCCAGAGGTCTCATTCGTACCGCATTCAATTAAAATATTCTGTGATAACTGTCGATCTTTAGAAAATGTTTTTATTATTCTCTTTTTAAAATTCGTATCCATTTCACCACTGTATTCTAGAGTATTTCCTTTTGGTCTGTGCTTTGCCTTAATATCGTACGCTCACTAACAACTGGATTCTTCTCCTCCATACTTCCCATTCAGACACGAAGTTCTTCTCGTCAACTATGTGATTTGGATGGGATCATCTTTACTTTTGAGCAATAAATTGAATGCAATTTAATCTAAAGATTTATAAATGCTTCGACAAGCTAATCATGGACTTCAAAAGAATGGAGGTTGAAAACGTTATTTTGTAATTCGTTCTGGCGGAATACCCTTACTCCTTTAAAAATACTTTCTTTATCCTACTACTTACAAATAATCAAATATAGTGAAAGTTTTCGTTTTATAAAAGTTGTGAAAATGAACGTAGGAGTCCGCTGCGAGAATTGAGAATCAACATGATCAACTTACTTGGAAAAACCTAAATAGACTCAATGATTCGTCAAAGTACTTGTCTTTTCGCTTTTGTCTTCTTTCAGCCAATGTTTATTTACGTTCACTTGGATGACAGCTGTTTGTTTATGTCGACTTAAAATTGCTAGAGCCATTGTTTGTTGATATATACATATAGTTGGCCTTAAAACATATCTTAGTTTTCACCATTCCCCATTCCATAAAAGGAGACTATTCCTGCAGACTCGAATTTGCGTTGTACCCGGAGGATTAATAGGAGATTCTCTATATTCAGACTAACCGGACCGTCTGTATGCACATCATTGAATCATTTATATAATATTTCTTTCTATAAGATCTGCTTCACATTGTTTTTCGGCATCTGAAGTCGTCGACTTATCGTGTAACTCAACCAAGCAAATTCAAGCCTTCAAGTTAAGATCAACGTCAGCTCCAGTCACTGGAAATTTTCACAGACATTACCATGTTTGAAGAAGAAACGTCCCCGACTCATCTCAGTTTTACTGAAAAGTTGGCTGGGTTTGAATCCTGCAGGGATGGCCGTGTAAAATTCGATCCAATGTCTCATGGTTCACCTTATCCAAGCAAAGGAAGTAAATTGCTTTCAGCGACTGCATTGAATCGTTATAAACAAAATCAAGACATATTAACCAAAAACCATCAAGATAAGCCCTTGCTATCGTCGAAGTTGGACGAAGTTGATGTTGAAATCACCGAACGTGAATTAAGTGAACATAGCAAATTTGGCATAAAACGCTTGCCAAGATCAAAGCGTTTTCAAGAATTTCTTAACTTTCGCCGTACTTCTCACCTTGAACCCTCAAATCATGCATCCTTCATGTCAACTGCACAAGTGCTCAACGCTGATGCACCCACTAAGAAATCCACAAACAAGCTCAAATCTCTATATGATGGAAAGAGAAGCCCCAAAGCTTCATTAACATTTAGAAAGAAATCACCGAATCATGACTCGTTAGCTAAAAGAGTTACTAGTGCTCCCGTAAGCAGCTCTTCTCACATGGCACAAGATGCCAATGAAGAGAAACAGTCTAGAAGTGCCAATAGTAGCCCCAGATCTATGAAAAGAGAATTGGATGATATTGAAGATCTTCAACCCTTAAAAAAACGAAACATTACTCCGGAGCCTCGTTTATTTGTGTCCAACTTCCCGAATGAAATCTATCCATCCGGTACCTTGAGTTTATCTGCTCGGCGAAAAATACAACAGCAAGTTTCAGGAGCAAATGTTCGTGCCAGAATAGAACTTGCAAGGCGTCGCAATGAAGAGAGGAAAGATGTGATGCCCGAGGTCAATCAAAATGGCTTACAAATGGAGACTAACCGACCCGATCAAATTTCTAACATTGTTACGGAAAAAGTAAATCAAATTAGAGATGTGTTCACAAAATTTGCATCCAGGAATCAACCCAATGAACCCGCGAAACCTGCCGAAACAGACATATTGCAAGAACAGACTGCTTCTCATAGATTTTTGCAGGCAATTAGAGAAAAAACATCAAATTTTATGAAGCATGATACAAAAGATACCAATTTGGGAGATTTAGATGCTATACCGAATGATATTGATACAGACGATGCAACACCACCGAAGGGATATGTTCGCTCATTAGCTGAACAGTTTGCTAGTACCCCTCAATTTTCTAAGGAAGCGAAACCCAAAGGTTTAACTTCTAAAGAGAACGAAATCGAACCAATATCCAAGTTGACTCCCCCGGTAACCCCTGATAAGGTTATAATTCAAAACCATGCTTTGAAGGAATTGCAAAAGGAAAATATTCCAAATGATATTCTAACCGAGAAAAGTGACTTAGACAAAGAGAATGAGGTTTCACAGCAGCCTACGAGAGCAGGGTCTCTGCAGCCAAAGTGTATACTTACTGCTGACCATGAAAATACAGAACCAGAATCATATCTTATAGAACGCCTTTCAGATAGACTATATTTTTGCAGAACTGCGAAGCATTTGCTTCGTGTTTTTGATCTGAAACATGCTGAATACCAGTTTGCGCTTGTGTTTGCAAGGTATCTTAAAGCTCCCCTGGAGAGAATACTCACTGTTCAATCGTCTCTTGTAACGTTTTATGCTTCTTTGTCTGAAATAGACTTATGCGAGGAACTTATGCGACGGGATAGAATCTTTTCAACGCCAGACACCCCAGAAGGTCTTAAGTCTTTTGTAAATTTCCTAAAAGAAGATCATGAGAATTTTAGTTACGATGAAAGAAGTTATTTATACCAATTACAAAATAACATTCGTCGCGAAAACGAAGACTGGAACGGAATCGCTGAAGAAATCAAAAAAATGGGAAATTTACGAAGTGTTCGAGCTAAACCACAGAAAATTGGAAATAAGTTATTTGCGAATCCAGATCTCAAGACCATGGATATACAAGAAACGTTTTTGGAAGAGTTTATGGACGAATCAACCGATGAAGGTGACGATATCTATGATATTGAAACATTAAACAATTTGGACTTGAAGTTTGAGGACGATGAGACCCCTACATCCAGCGTTAAAGAAACGGATGAAATAGATAATTACGAAAACAAAAGGTTTTTAGTCCCTCACTGCGCTCTCCGTGTTTTGCATATCCCAGATATATCCTACCTTCCTCTATTACAAGTCTGCAGCGATTCGAGATTTTCTGATCCTGTGAAACTTGCTCACTGTCTATGGGATCTACAACAAAACCAATTACTATCCTATAACTTCACTGATTGGTTCGTAAATTATTTCTCTAATAAGACTGAAGTTTTCTCGAGTTTTATTTCGTACTACGATCTAAAAAATATGAGTCTTTACGAGGCCTTTCAAAATATTTGTCCCGATCTATACTATGGTTCTGAAGATTTTTTGAACTCACGACTTATACGCATTTTTGCTACTAAGTGGTTAAGCCAGAACTCAACATTTGGGTTTTTAACTGAAGATATAGTTCTGGAGCTTTTAAAATCCCTGGTTCGATTACATAAAGAAACAAACACTAGACGACGAATGTACAATTTCACATCAGCAGAGACTTTTGTGAAATCAACGTTTCAAGTTATACAGCCTTTAATCCACCCTGAAGCTGTGTGTGCTGTTCCTATTGAGCAAAGACGAAAATGGAGGAAGTATGGGAAATCGAAAACGATTTTAGCTAAAGTTCTATGTGCCTCTTGGAATAGTATGCCTCAAGAGATAGGATTTATTCTCGAGTGTATGCTTAGAGAATTTTACGATTTGTTTCTTGTTAATCCTTTCCAAGTACCAAAGGCTGTTTATATACAATTATGTAATCAAGTTAGAGGCCATGTTAGTCCACAACGGGATAAAATGATTTTAATGTCAGAATTGTTGAGCAGAGCAGAACCACAGAAGAAAATAGCAGACCCGAATATTGCCAGCGAAAATGACGCGTTTAAAGAAAATTCATCCTATGTATTAACAGAAGAAAATGCTGGCTTTTTTGCAACGAAAACTATAGATCTTCCTGAACCTGACGTGATAGACGGAAGACCACATTTTCAAATGTTCAATTATGAGATTCATATGAAAGAAGAGAAAACCCACGAGAAATTACCTTGGTTGCGTCAAGGATTATTATTATACAAAAAATTAATTCCCGAAAAGAATGGCAAATGGTCGGCTGGTCCTTGGTGTCAACGCTATGCTAAAGTTGCCCAGGGAAAGCTGTATATATACAAGTTATCTATGTTTGCTTCTGGAGACCTTTACAACCCTGAAGTTTGGGAAAAACATGGTACTATTTACAAGGAACTTGATTTACAAAATACTTTTGCAAGTGTCAATATACCATCATCATGCACCTCGAGAAAAGACAATTGTTTTACGCTTAGTATTCCTGGTGAATGCAGCATCCTTATTCAAGTGAGCAACATTCTCGTATTGAATGAATGGATCCATGCGTTTAACTTTAATGCTGCGATGGCATCCTGTCATCCACTTCCTGAAAATGTCACAAATACCGAATATGGTTGGGGCCCGATTTTACGACGAGCTGAAGAAAAACCCCATTACACTTCCGCTGATGGTACAGTTACCTACGTTGGAGATTTAGTAGAAATACAAAATTGGGAATCTACGGATATGCAAGGTCTACGAGATATTCCCAGACCTTTAAGAGAAAAAGTCAACAATTATCGTCGTACCGTTCCTACCCTCCTTAAGACCTGTCTCGAATTCCAAAATGTGCATGACAAAATGCTTAGCTGTTATTGTCCTGGATCAAAGAATCACTCAAAAGCGCTATCGAACTGGAACAAGAAAATGAAGTTTCTATATGAAAAGAGCATAAAATACAAAGAGTATTTACATGTATTGGAATGTGAATACAGTTATCGAAAATCCCACGACTTCTATCCAACTCTATCGCCAACTAAACATAAGACGAAAATGGAAATCTAGAATAAATGGGTTTTGTGAACTAAAAAGGAGGTTGTTTATCCTATCGAGCAGTTAAATTTGTTGCATGTCAACTTTGGCCAGACATATCGCTCTTTGAGAAAATGAGAGAATGGAGTAAATCTTTATTCGATATCAACCTCCTATACTTTTGGCTATATTGCAATCTTTAAATATTCCTACCTTTTTTTTTGGGTAGATGTACTCTACTCACTGTACATTAGTGTTAATTAGAAGAATCTTATGAAGTTCCTATGAATGCATGAAAACATTCAAGTATCTACTAGCTCCTACGTTTCATTCAGATAGTGCCAACAAATTCATTTATGGAAACCAAATAAAGCCAAATCTACTAGACTATCTCATTCAACTTCTTATATTCAAGGGAGTTTAATTGGATGTAATCTATAATGTATTAGAAAAGCCAATTATATATTTCAAACACTTCTTATGATGTTTTTCGCAGTTGGAATTCATTCAGTAGGTGATATTGCGAACACTTCTGCTACAATGTAATGTTTCGGGTAACTAATAACCTTTGCCTTCTTTATGTTTAGGAAAGTTATAATTGAACTTCTTACCACGTACTTAGCATCTAAGGTAAGAGATTTTAATTACTAGTAGTAAATTATTTGACTTATTAATTGCTAATGAAAACCATCAGATTGCTAGAAGTCATACATTTCAACGATTTGTTAGACAAGGAATTTCCCAATTTGATTTGAAAAAGTCTAAATTTACTTATGAAATTCCCAAACAAAGCTATAAAGAACATTCGCCTCTCTCTACGGCTGCGGACCGTGCCAAACTTTTTAGTAAATTATTCGTGGAATCAGCAAGGGATTACTTTTTTGGGAAAAAATAAAACGAAAGGAAGGAATTCGCATGGTACTGAACGAACCTATACATCTGTGGCACGAGCAAAGGTTGACTCTTATGGTCAAATTCATACAGAAGAATCTTATGAACAGATAGCACTACAAAAGCTTGCAAGGGAAAAGGTTGTGGACGAGCATGGGTTTTTAAATGAAAAATCATTGGAAATGCAGGCTGAGCTACTTCATCGACGTCCGACTCATCTTCAATATTCGTCTCCTTACAATCCTACAAAGTTTGCTTCTGTGTTAATGGTAAGTACACATTTTCGAAACTTACAGAGAACTGAGTTTGCTTACCGTTTTTACGACACAGCCCTTAATTAATTCTGAGCATCGTGGCTGTCTACTGCTAACACAAAGATCAACATATTTACGATCTCATGCAGGTCAAATGTGTTTTCCAGGTGGTCGTGTGGAACCTTCTGACGGATCACATTACTATACAGCCTTACGGGAGACTTATGAGGAAATCGACTTGCTTCCGAATTTCTTTACTTATATAAACAGAATCCCTCCGTTATTAACGAAAGACCTGCATACCAAAATTCATACTTATGTTGCCTTTACGCTCCAAAATAATCTCCCTAGCCTTGGTTTTGGTGAAGTGGAAAAACTGTATTGTATTCCTTTGACCTCATTTTTAAATCCGAATTACCAGAAGATTGCGAAATTTCGAAACACTAATCTCGAATACGTTGAATTCAACATCAAAGATGTTCCTCGAATTTGGGGTATAACGGCAGTCATTTTGAACATGTACTTTCGCTCTCTTTGCCCTGATTCTTTAATACCTACTTCTAATACACTTTTTGCAATCTGTTAGCATTTCACACTTCGTTGCCTACCTTAAGTTACTTCTCGATATTACCTTTACTTGACTAATAATTAATTTCACTTTTTACGAAAGACTAATGAATTTTTGTTTTACCATTATTCACCTCACGCTTTCATAAATTAATAATATATTCATTCCATTCCACAATAACTTAGATATTAGTTTTCTTAGCTTCCAAACGTGCCTTTTCAGCTGCTTTTTGAAGATATTGCCTTACTTCCAATTGCTTCTGCCACTCGCTTCTCATTCGTTTCATTCGTTGTATGGAACAAATCAGTATGGTAACACTCTTGAAGCTCAGCTTCTTCTTTCTGACTGCATTATCGGGCGTGATGCCGATCTTTTGCAGCAAACGTAAATTGAGCTTGTTGCACGTTTCATAGCCAGTTAGCTGCAATAAAATAAACTTTTTGGAGAAAGCTAAATCAAGTCGAAGAGTATGTTCTCTCTGAAATTTAGACTGTAAAAATTGTGTCATTTTTATCAACCCTCGTACTTCTGAAGTATGTCTTGTCCGTATAGTCTGTGATCCGATTGAAAGCTTATCAATCTCATTGAAGTACCTCGGATCTTCTGTTTTCTTATTTTTAAGCAAAATGTTGTACTCTACTCTCAGATTTTCATACGACGACTTAAGTTGCTCCATCTTTATAGTCTTTGACCAAAGGGCATCTTTTAGGGAGTCGAGTGTTTGCCGGTCATTCTTTGTAGCATTAGGAGATGGTATGTTTTCTTTTTCCATCCAGCGTTGGGCATGAATCCGTTCATCCCTTTCTAAATCTTTCACTCTTTGGTATAACAGCCTTTTTTCTTCATCATGTGTTCCGTCAAAGTTGCCATTAGAATACCTAGCTTTTCTTAATTCTGACTCTAAATAGCTCTTTTCTTTTTCAAGCAGTTTCGCCTTCTCGATATATGATTTGCTGTCTTTTATTAGAGTCTGCAACTCTTTTCTTAGAGAATGCTTAGCTTCTATTTCTTTATGAAGCCGCTCACGATATTCTTCCAGCATTTTTTGAACTCCATGTTTATCGATAGGTGAAAGAGCGGACTTTCCAGCTTCGGATATTCCAAAATTTTCCTTAAATTGGCCGTTCAAATTTTCATAAGTTAGCTTGTCTATTTCCGACTCTAACTCCTGAATTTTCTGCTTTTGGTTCCTTATTAAGTACTCAATTTGGTTTATAACTTCCCTGAAACTTGTTGTAGATGGTCTTTCTAAAAGAAAAGCACAAAGCCTTTCTTTGAATGAGTTTTCATCATCTTCAGACTCCTGCATGGCTGTGCTTAATTGATATACCACTTTTTCTAGATTTAATTTATCAGCTTCAAGGCGTCGATAATCTTCAGTAAATGATTCGATTTTTTTCCTTTGTCTTTCAGATTCCTCCTTATTTGTTATAATATTTCTTTTCTCCGAAAGCTTAAGGTTTAAATCTGTCACTTCAAGGTCCTTTTTGTAAAGTAGATCTCGTGTCTGAAGAAGCTCATCTTTTAGCTTTGTATAATCGGACAACATATTCTGTTTCTCATTACTTAATTGATCGACTTGTGATGACAACTTTGCCTGGGCAGCTAACGCTTCTTCACGGTCCTGTTCGCTCAACTCTAACTCGTCTTTAATATCAGATATTTCTCTTCGAATAACACTCAATTCATCATTTAAATTATCGACAAGATTACTGCTTCTAGAAGGAGATGTACTCATTCTCTCACGTAACTTTTGGCTTAGTTCCTCTTTTTCAAGTTCGCACTTATTCAAACTGTTTCTTAAATTAGAGATTGTTTCCTGACCACTATGTAACTTTGTCAATAGTTCTTGCTCAGAAGCACGTAAGTTGCGCATTTGCTCTTCAAATAGAAAGATATTTTTTTCCTTTAATTGCAGAGCAGTTTCAAGAGATTCATTTCTTTCTTCCAAAGAATTTTGAGTTCTCGTTAATTTCTCTAACAACTGAGAAGACTTTGCCTTTTCGTGTTCAACATCCTGGTTCAATTGACTGATGGTAATCTCAACATCCATTCGAAGTCTATCATTCTCGGATTGCAAATACATCTTATCTTTTTTTAGAGACTCTAAATCTGCTAAATTCAATTCGTACCTAGTGCGTAAATCAGCCATTTCAGTCGTTATCGTTTCTAGTCTGATATTCAGTTCCTGCAAAACCTCTTCTGTATCATTAGATTGAGCCATTAACTCAAGCATTTTATTTTTTTCCTCCAGAGACATGTTTTTACTCCGGAAGGACTCAACCTGGTTTCCTAATGAAGCTGTCATCTCTCGCAAATCACCGTTGGTGCTTTCTAGTGACTCTATCCTCATTAGTAGACTATTTTTTTCATTCTCCATGTGTTCTATATGATTAGAAAGCTCTTCTAACTCGTTATTCAGGCCTTCAAAGCCATGGATTTGATTATTAAGGTATTTGATATGAAGCTCCGTTTCTTGTAGCTTTTCTCTTAGCATTTGAGCCTCTGAGATATCTTGAGTACGATCTAGCTCATTATTCTTTTGCTGAAGCTCATCCTTCACATGGGCTAATTCATCTTCCAGATCGTTAAATTTCTTCTCGAGAGTTTCAAAGTCATCTAGTAATTGTATATGAAAACTATTTTCTTTAGTTTCTGAATGATTTGCAGAGGGAATATTCTCCAGTTGCTTTTTTAGCGAAAATATTTCTGCATCCTTTTCATTTAGCACATCCTGAGCAACATTGAGCTCTTCATTGATTTCGTCATATCGATCTTCAAGTCTTCTCATGTCATATTCCATGTTCATTTGATTTTCATTCTCATTTGGACTTGGGGAAGACTTTGCTTGCTGGGCTTTTAGATGAGAGCACTCTGCTTCAAGGGATCGGATTCTTTCCATAAATACCTTTACATTCTGGGATTGTTCGACGCTGTTAACATTTTCAAGAAATTGAATCTTTTTGACAAGATCCTCGTTTTCCGAGTGCGATTTTGTAAGAAGCTGCTCACTCTTCTTTAGTTGTAGAAGCAGTTTCGTTCTTTCCACATGAAGATCTACATTGTCGTTTACGGCGTCACGAATCTGTTCTGGTGCCATAGAATCAAGACGCTTATTGAGGTAAGCAATCTTAACACGTAACCCAAAATTCTCTCTGCCGACATTCTCTAGAATCTTTTCCTGCTCTCGTAATGTGAGCGCTGCGTTTGCGGGTAGCTCATCGTTTGTGCGTTCGGCATTTGATAAAAACGAGCTCTCATCTAATTTTGAAATGTCATAAGCATCACTTTTTTGATCAATACTAAAGCCTTCTTGCGATGCTTTTTCCGATACGGGAGACAGAATTGTTAAGTCTCGATGATACGGACTTTTCTCATCTGAATGCGATCTTTGATAGGAAGAGCTTTGTCTAGCTGAATTCAGAAGAGGCGTAAACTCCAGTGGTTTTGTTTGTTTGGTTGGAAAGCCATGCAAAGGTGTACGCGCAAATGAGTCTCTTGAATCTGTCGAAGGCTTACCAAGGTTCAGAGGTTTCTCAAATGAATTCAAGGAAAAATTCCCCTGTGGAAGGTCATCCAGCGTTTCGTCTTTTGGTGTAGCAGACTGTACCATGGGATCACGTTTCAATATACGAAAGGTTTGGATGCATTAATTCTGCCAAAGGAAACGCTAGTTTGACGAATTCAAAACCGTACTTTTGTAAAGAATGAATATATACTACGTTAAAAATAGAAAAAGGTTAAAAAATAGTCTAAAACACAAGTTTCCTTTGTTTACCATAATTTGTGAGGAAAATTCCAACCCAAACAAAGAGACTTAGTGCATCGCAGCATTACGCTATCCTACTAAATACCTTATACGATGTAATCTAATCATGTAGGAAAGGTGTTCAGAGGTGTGTGCATTTACATTTATACGTTGAAATGGGACGCATATGAACAGCTGAAAAGTTACAAGTATCATCCAAAAGAAAAGGGAGATAGCAATTGCTAAATAGGACTACGACTATACGCAGTCGTTCATAGATTCATCAATACGAACGTTTGAAAACGTAGAAAACCGTCATGTGTGCATGATACATATATGTAGCATATATATAAGTGAGTGAGTTTATAAGAGAGAAGAAGAAGACTAGGTTGGGAGAAACGAGACAAGAAGAAAAGATAAGGCAAAAATGATTTTTCTAAATAAAAGAGAAAAAGAACTTAGAAACAGCTTAAATAAGATTCAGCGACAAGACGAGCTCTACCGTTCAGGAAAAGCTTCATTTCGCTAATTTCAGCATCTACTTCTTCCATAAACTCAATAATAAAGTCAACAAGCTTATGTTTCAGCATTTCCTCAGTGTGGTAGTTAGTAATCAAAAAGGAAATGTCGTATCCCTAATAAAAACAAGTTAGTATTATTTCTACATGTGTCGAGATAGCAGCACTTCAGCAAAGAACGCTAACGCTTGCCAAATAACATACTGGGACAGGCTTGCGACGCAAGATAAAGAAAGACTCTGCACGTCCCATCAAAAATTGCATAAACTTGTGTACCAAAATTCGCTCAATTTCATCCACTTGCTTGATACGGATACTGAATCGTACGCTACATTTGGTTAGTTATGCCATGTCAGAATTATTCACTCCAAAAAAAAGCGCTTTTCGTTGAAAATGAATCAGAAGTGATTCATTGAATTAACTCGGTTATGTGTCTAAGTAGAAACCGTACCTATTCACTGAACTTTCAATCAAGCATTGTTCTTGCTCATTCCGGGAAACAACGAGTGGTTTTAAAAGGACCTCTAATGACCTCCCAACTTCCACTTCTGGCTGACTTTGTCGTTCCACAATTTCCGACGAAAACTCTTCCAATGCCAATGACGCTGTCAAAGTAGAACGAACAGCATTCAAATAGGGACGTAATGTATTAGACTAGACAACCTTTATTAGTTTCCGTCATTCTTCCACCCGAAAAATCAGCTCTCTTACCATGATTTCGTAAGTCTTCTCGTTTCTATTTGTATGGTTCAAGTTGCAATTGTTTGGCTCTGTGTTGCGTAGACTCGTCCTCTTTCATCTCAGTCGGTAGTACCGCTGAGATCTCCGCGGTACTACCGGTCTTGGCTTACCGGTGGGAACCTGTTGCCTCTCCCAATACCAACCGACACGATTGTTTTTTAGACTCCCTGAATAGAAAAGCGTCGATTGATACTCTCTTTGTTTACTAAATCGTACATTTTCTAATTATGATTCCTGTAACAATTCGTTGGCAGGGAAAAACATACAATGTTGAATATGATCCTGAAGATACTGGCATTTCCTTAAAAAGCAAATTGTCTACTCTTACACAGGTGCCTCCTGAACGACAAAAAATTATTGTGAAAGGTGGGCAACTAAAAGATGATCAAATTTTAAAAAATGTTGGCTTGAAACCAAATGGTACAGTAATGATGATGGGTACGCCTGGTGAATTGGTAACGAATATTCCAATTCCTGTTATCACAGCGGCTGCAGATCAGGCTTCGGATTCTGAAGATGACAAGGTATGTAACGACGACAAATGACAGGTGTCATTAGGATGCTTGCTAAAGCAAGAAAACGGGGGTTTCCTTGCTTCCATCCAAAAACAGTTTAACGGATAACACTAACAATTGTTTTAGTACCCATCTGGCCTTGTCAATTTGGGAAATACTTGTTATATGAATTCCACAATCCAATTGCTGCGTGCCATTCCTGAGCTTAAAGAAGCAGTCCAGAAATCCAGCGTTCCTTCTGGTGTAGTTGGTGAATTTTCCAGTTTGTTACGTTCTATGGATTCCTCTAATTCTATAACCCCCGCTCGTTTTCTTCAGGTATGTACAAACGTCTATTGTCCTGTTTCCTATTCATTTGTCTAATCCACGTCTAGAATTTACGTTCAGAATATCCTCAATTTGCTGAAATGAGTCGAGAAACAGGTGGATATGCCCAACAAGATGCTGAAGAGTGCTGGTCATTCTTATTGTCTTCTTTACAACGTTCATTATCTTCAGAATGGGTCCAGAAAAATATGGCTGGAAAACTTACATCTACAATGAAATGTGACGAAAACGAAAATGAAGAACCTACAGTTTCTCAAGATACTTTCCTTAGTCTTCCATGTCATATATCGATGCATACAAACTATATGACTCAAGGCATTTTGGAAGGATTGACCCAAAAAATTACTAAGCGAAGTGAATTACTTAATCGTGATGCTTCGTACAATAAAGTCTCACGGATTTCTCGCTTGCCAAAATATTTAACCGTCAATTTTGTTCGCTTTTACTGGAAAGCGTCTCTTGGTCAAAAAGCTAAGATTCTTCGTAAGGTCAAATTTCCTTTTGAGTTAGATGCTGTAGAATTTTGTGCCCCTGAACTCTCTCAAAAGCTAATTCCTGTTCGTGATAAACTGCGAGAAATCGAGAAAAGTGACGAGGAGCAAGAACGAAACATAAAACGTATTAAGATTCAACCTTCTGAAGAGGAACGGGAATCAGAGGCGGAGCGCAGATTAACACAAATTGCAACATGTCAATCGCTTATAGATCCACAATTAAGTGAGGATGACGGTGCTAATCTGACCGGCTTGTATGATTTAATTGGTGTTCTGTCTCATTCAGGTGCAAGTGCTTCTTCTGGACATTACCAAGCCTGGATCCGAAATCCTGATCAGCATAGTGAATGGTTCCGTTTCAACGACTCCCGAGTAAGCACTGTACCCGCAGAGAAAATTGAATCTTTAGATGGTGGTGGTGAAGCAGACAGTGCCTATATTTTGCTTTATCAGGCTAAAAAAATAGAGTAGTTTATGCTAGTTTACCTATGAGTTATGGCATTTTTTTTTTCTGATTAATGAATAACGGATACTTCAGTGATAGGTGAATCATTGATGTTTATTGTGAAGTTCATGAAAAATACGGATACTTCGTAATAGAAAGTTGTATTAGAATTCTAAACACCCACATAATCTTTGTGAAACTACGCAGAATAGACATATTTCTACTATGGGCATTTCAAGTTAATAAAAGTCTTTGCGGCAAAGTCCGCATTCTAAAAGTGTACACAATGACATCTTATTATATTAAGCTGGCGTTCATTTTATTGAGCAGCGGCTTTGGCGGCCTTAGCATTCTTGATGGCTTGACCACGGGCAGCGCCGGCGGAAGACTTAGCATTGCCAGCCTTCTTCTCGGATTCGGAAGTAGCCTTCTTATCCTTGGCTTGCTTCACAGCAGAGGCACGGGCGGCAGCGCGAACTTCAGGGCGTTGGTTACGCTTCTCCTTGATGACATCCAAAGAAGCACCGACAACACCACGCTGATGCTTAACAGTGCGGCGAGAGCGCTTCTTGGCGGATTCCTCAGAGAGACCCTTCTTGTGCATACGACGGTAGAGGACAGTCCAAGACAAGCGACGAGGATTCTTGCGTTGCAAGAAGAGGCTTTCAGACTTCTTGTTTACGAAGCGGAAAACCTTGTTATCGCCACGGACAAAGAGTCTTCCAGCTCCAGGATATACTTTAGCACCAGAGAATGAGCAGATTTCCACCTTCATTTTGGCTTGCTTTGGGAAGGGTCTTTGAAAAAGTTCACCGAACTGTTCACTACCACCAACACTACGTCTTGGCAGAACACTTAAAGTACAGTCACTTACCCTACCCTAAAAGCTTCTCAGAGATTTAAACAAGAAATGTTCAGTATTTATGGACAAAATTATATATAATTAAATTATTATTGCATTTGATTAAGTACCATTGCAATTATAAAATTTATTATAGAATCCATACGAGTCCATCCGTAGTAAGTTCAAGCTAATGAAGATTACAATACACAATTCCACAAAGTAATCGTAAATGCCTTAACCGGTCTAATTGTCTGAATCTATTTGTCGTAGGTAAATAAACTCTACACATTCTCAATGTCTAGAATCAAAATTGCACAATTCCAAGTATATACATTTAATTTAGAAAAATAAAAGCTTTTGTCAGGTAAGCTTATTCTATCAGCGAGAGAATATGTCTCACCTAAAGAGTAATATGTACTACTTCAGAAAATACCGTCAGAGATAGCTTGTTTTTTGCCTGAAGATTCTTCAAAATCTGTTGGTTTTGAGCGTTTCTCACTAGCATTTTTAACAGGGATCAATTGTCCATCAGTACCCAGATGAGGACTTTCAACTAGTTTACGTTGCAAGGCATCATCAACTAAACTTCCCCATAGATTATCCGTTTTCAATGTTTCCAAATTTCCAACAATAAATAGTGAACTCCTTGCACGAGTCAAGGCAACATTAAGACGACGAAAATCTCTTAAGAAACCAATTGAATACTTTGAATAACTTTTGACGCAAGAAAAGATAATGATATCTTTTTCCTGGCCCTGGAAACCATCTACAGTTTGAATATCAACGGAGGACATGATAGTTTTTCCAAATTTGTCTTTAAAAGCCTTGCGCAACTCATGTAATTGTTGACGATAAGGTGTAATAACGCCGATTCTACCCGTAAAATTGACATCCGAGAAGCAGCCAACCAATTTTTCATACATTTGTACAACATATCCAACTTCTTCCATATTGTATGAAGAGGATGTCGTGGATATCCTTTCCTGACCACGAACGTCAAATAACCGATACTGGCTAAACTGACTATTTGAATGCCATACCTGCTTTGTCTTTTCAGCCATACCCTCTCCGTCTTTCAGACGAGATTCATAAAACTTCATACTAGGGAAGTAACTAATATGTGGATGCATACGGTATTGAATGCTCAATAAACACATCTGATCAGTGTAATTTTTCTGAATACGAACAAACAAAGACTGAGAGTAATTATAACTGGCAGCCTTCTGATTTAGGACCGTCGGTGGTAACTGATTAGGATCACCAACAAGAATACATTTTTTAGCACCATAACGTAACGGTATGATAGTATCCAATTCTACAGCTTGTGCTGCCTCGTCGATAATAACAGTTGAAAAGTTCAGAAAACTGTGCCCGACCAAATCATGACCACTACCAGATAAAGTTGCACAAACAACATCCGCTTGTTTCAAAATAGCTTTCTGAGCCTTTTTGCGTAGATGATCGACCTCCTTGTTTTTCGTAAAGCTCTGACTTTGAAACTCTTCAATTTTCTGTTCGGCTAAGTTCTTTTCATTAATGCTGTTCTGCAAATCTCGACCCAACGCCTTCGTATCTTCTTCCATATCTCTTGCAACATCTATTTGCTTTTCAAGATCCTCAATTTTTTGTATACAGTTATAAAAAACATCGCGCCAACGTGTAAGTTCCTGAAGGGATCCTAGATCTACCGCTCCCTGATTGACTTCAAGAAGTTGCTTTTCTGTCTGATATTCTAATGAAGTGTCTCGAACAGCGACGTTAATTGTTTCAGGGTTACCAATACGAACAACTTTTGGAACATAATGTTCTCCATTGCTAAGGGTAAAACCACGTTTCAACCGAAGTAAAACTTCATCGACAGCGGCGTTACTGGGAGCACATAACAACATCTGTTGCTTAGGCTCAGTACTACTTTGACCGCCGGGGCGTGAAATATGATAACGGTTTAAATCAACTAATAAAGCCGTGATGATACCTATAATAGTCTTTGTTTTACCTGTACCAGGAGGACCTTGAATTAAGGTAAAACCACTATTGTCAAGAGAAGATAAGATTGCTTTCGCCTGTGGTTCATTGACTTGATAACGACTCATGGCTCCTTTAACTTCGCTAGAAGAATGTTTAATCGGTTGCGAACAAGGCTTTCCTTGAACAATATCATCTAACAGGTGGTAATATGGCAGCCCTCGAATTGCAGCATACTGTCTAGTGAATGTAGACAAATTCGTTAGCTTCAAGAAATATAAAGGAATGTTTCCTTGAAGCTTGTTTAACATTTCCAAAGTTGGAAGAGTTCTCACAACTACTAAGGTACCGTTTTCTTGCCGAACGAGTTTTTCGATTTTAGCAAAACAACACAGACCCTTCATAGAAAATGCTTCTTCTCTTGAAAAGGCTAGAGAGACAATTTCAGTATCGAAAAGTGGATAGCCATACAAATCTTTGGGGGCTACTGAAATTCCAATGTCGACAAAATTATTCACAGCCGTTCTCTGAATCATAATACCCTCTACAGGTGAAAATTTCAGGTTCTTCTTAGTAGCTTGAATTTGACTCCAGCATTCCATAAAAATCATAGGCTGCAAAACATCCATATATTGCTCAATATTTCTGAAAGTATCAGCAATTTTTCCTTCAGATTTATGATATTTCAGTATTGGAGAAGCAGCATCGTAATTGGGATCCCATGATAAAATTTCATTATAAAAATCAGACATGTTGGGAAATAGACGAGCTTTCGTATTAGCCGCACTTCGATTGGATAGCATTCGAGCTTGAGAAGGATGTAACTGACTTCTGGGAGTAGACAACAGTTGTATTTGTCTGCGCTCTGTTTGACGAATTTCAGGTACTTTGTTAGCCTTAGCCAGTGAAAACAATCCTTCTTTTCTATCGCTCTCATCAACTTCCTCGTTGTCAGAATCTTCTTCAGTCAATAAATTGGTAGGGGGCTTTTGGTTTTCAAATGTTGCCTTTCTAGACGACACAGCAGCGTCTCGTGCAGCAAAGTGTCCAGCACGACGTGCAATGTATTCTTGTCGTAATTGGTCCAACATTTTCATACGAGGAGTAGGAGCTTTCTTGTCAGCTGGAACAGAAACATTTTGAATCTTTTCCCTCATTTGTGGTTCTGGTTTCTTGTTGAATTGGGTACCACTAACCAATTCTGTTTGTTTCTTACTCTTACGGGCTTCTGCAAGGCGATTTTGATCCAAGATGTTTTTAGCCTCAGGACTTGCTTGAGCGATCACCTCTGCAAGGCGCTTGCATTGGTCAGCAGAAAGATGCGCTTTCTGCTTTCTAATGATAAATTCAGTTAAGAAGTTTATAGTGCGATCTTCAAAAAGATAGTCAAAGTTCGAATACTTTACAAAAAGCATACACAAACTTCCGATAACCTGCTCTCTCAATTCTAAATCATTAATTTTAAGCCAGGTAGTTAACGAAAATAGAGCATCACTTGTTTCACCAAGTAACACTAAACCATCGAATTTGGCAAGGAACTTGATGAAAAGTCCATCATTCTGAAAAAGGTCTGTGATTAACTTTAAGGCAAGCTTCATTGATGCTTTTACGGTATCGTTAGAATTACACAGGGACCACCTCGCAACATTGGAGTGAACGAGGTCTAAAATATTCCAAACACATTGCCAATAGGCGCCTAAACTTGATAAATCATTTTCTCTCCAAACTTCATTATCAGTTGAGAATAATTTGTTAACAGTGCTGACAAAACGCATTATTCGAAGAGCAGGAAAAAAGGTGAAGGCCGACTGCCAATGAAGGGTTGCATCAACCAAGCCGTGAACTATGCCACGAAAATGATTTTCTATAAGCTTCTTCATCACTTCATTCTTATTTTTTACGTTTCCAAAAAACACTTGGAAAATACGGAAAGTGTCGACATAAAGTTGTTGAGATGGTGATAGCAAGAATCCTAACAGGGTATCAAAAATAAAGTCATTTTGCATGTAATTAGCTACTTCTGAAGGGTCCTTTTGCGAAAAGGATCGTAAGAATGAGCTTATATGGCTTGATATAGTTTGCCAAATTTCTGAAAACAAAACCACAGACTTTTCGGGCGTGGTTGATTCTGAAAGCTCAATGTCATGAACAAAATAGCAGGTTGACAGTCCTTCAAAAAATCGATTTGTAAAATTCACATCCTTCACAACATCTGAATTCCAAAAAGGAGAGACCTTATAGGTTGGATCAAAGATAAATGAAGGATCTCTGGTTAGAGCTTTGTGAGCCCAACTAACGAATAAAATATCGTAAAGTAAAGATCGAAATTTGAGTTTTTGCAAATAATCAGACTCTTCACTAAAAAAACTGATATTTTTCTTGTCAATCATCGACAAAACTTCGTTGAGAGAATGCGGTGAGCTATTGTCTAAAGAAAGAAGATCAAAGAGTGCATAAAATGAAGCATAGATGATAAAATCGACAACCTTTTTGTCTTGAACAAAGGTTTCCAGCCAAGAAGGGAAGACCAAGACAAAATCGTTCAAACAAAATCTAAATAATGAAGCCAACACATAAGCCCATCCACACACTGAGGCATTAACGTTTTCGACAATTGTAACATTGGTTAACAATTTTTTTAAATAGTTCTCTAACTGATCAAAAATGTCAGATGCGAGCCAAAAGGAAGGAGAGTTGGAAAAAACTCTTAGACAAGCAAATTTCTCGTCTGAAAAAGCCTCATGCTCGAGTTGAGAAATAAAAAAGTCACGGAAATGAGATTCACATAAAGCCGTGACACAGTTGAGTGGCAGTAGCTGAAAGAGTGCAGAAGCACGCTTCCAAAATTCAGCAGAGCATGGTGAAAGAAGAGAAGATTTATCTTCGTTTGTACGCTGATACAAAATTAAAGAAAAAATATTGTCAAAAACTTCAGGTGTCACGTGAAAGTTTTCTGTTGTCTTGAGGAAATCGATAATATATTCATGGATTTGAGAATGAGATTCCTCAAAAAAAATGACAAGAAACCCTGGCAGAAAAGTATCAGAAGACCAATCCGAAACGAGATCAACAAATCCACTTAACGCTTGGGTGTATGCCTCGTGGTCTTTCAGAAGACGAGGATTCAAGAAGACATTGTACACCAAAGAAGGTAGAACAGTAAAATCTAGTATTGTCTCTTCAACCTTCTTAAAGTTAGAAAGTGTACAATTAAGCATCCACTCGTCCCATTGTCTTTCGAGGTTTGCCAAAGAAACGCCAGAATAATGATATGAAAATTTTGCCAAAGATTCATCCCGCAAGTGATAAAATGATTGAATACAAGATGTACAAGAGCACAAGCGCTCATTATAACACTTTAAGACCCATTCAAAGCATGGTGATGGTTGCTTCGCCATCCATAAGAAGATTGGGCGAAGATACTGGTCAAGCAATCCAGAGCAAAACCAATGCTGTGCATTTTTATAGAGGACAAGCTTCTCAAAACAGGTTTGATCATCAACTTCAGCCATGGTTTAAAGCGAAAGGAGTCCTCTTTAGCAAGGATAACAGAGAACTTTTCAAACAAAAATCGAATAAGAGAGGAAAAAATTAAGACAATAAGCAAACAGAAATCTTTTGACTAGAGTATGCAAGCAATCCACAGACCAAAACCGAAACAAAAAGAGAACCAGAAAAATCAAGACACCGCGTCAGGATTTTTTTTCATAAATATACCCACCGTAAGTTAGTAAAGAATACTCGCCAAACTATTCTATGATTTCGTTGGTGATTTATGCAAACGAACACAAAGGTAGGAGCAAAAAGCTAGTATACACTCATAAATCCAGAAAGTAAAGTAAGCGCTAAATACTGGTGCAATTGCTAGTTATTGTAAAAGCTCCAAACAGCAAGAAACCCCGGTGAATTTAGAGTTTTTAGGCGGCACCTGCTAAATTTGGCAAGAATATAGGTTTTGTTTACACTGAAGAGTCGAAATTTCAGACCAGATTGTCAAAAAATAAAAATACAAGGAATACTTTAAATAAACATACTATTATTTATTTTTACCATTCCCATGTATTTAAAGTGTCTATTTTCTCTATAAATACTTGTAAATCAAAGTACCTCAATCCCAGAAAAGGTGGGGGTGTGGTTTATGAAAAGTCGTAGTCTTCAGTATTTGTTTCCTTTACCAACCAGCGCATAAAAACAATGTCTGAACCCTACGACCCATATATACCGACGGAATCGTCGACTTCAGTCCGTACTGGCAATGCCAACACGGAATCGACTCCCAATGTGAAGACAGCTGCAATTCAACAACAAATTGATGATACGGTGGGCATTATGAGAGAGAATATCTCCAAGGTGTCTGAGCGCGGTGAACGCCTCGATTCCTTACAGGACAAAACAGGTATGCGCATATTGATAGCAGACCAACGAAATTTTAACGTTCATTGCAGATAATTTGGCTGTAAGTGCTCAGGGCTTTCGTCGCGGTGCCAATCGCGTGCGCAAGAAGATGTGGTGGAAAGATATGCGAATGCGGTTATGTATCATCATTGGTATCATTATTTTACTAGTCGTTATTATTGTTCCCATTGCAACGAAGCTTCATGGAAAGTAAGGGTTCATACTCTGGATGTTATGAAATTGCCATGCTGTAGGGCATTTCCTATGAATAGATGGAATGCAGTATTCCTCGCTTTCGAGCTTAATCAGTCTTATCTTTTTTATGCTATAAAAGATAATATTCCATACTATACTATGATGAATGTACTTATATTTGCTTAGAATCGCATTTAAAACGTGAAAATATTGGTTTCTTTTTTTTTTTAAGCAATTACTTCTCTTTTTCCCCAGTTTCACATTCTCATCGCATGAGCCCCGGCATTTGATGAGGGTGACGGACATGCTGAGTTGGTTTTTCTACATATTGGGGCTTTTAACTAAGCTGTTTTACAGTTTCAGCTAGGCATTGCATTAGTACGAAATTGATAGATTATATATCCTCCTACCAAGATTCCCAAATGCTGACTTATGCAAAGTGCACGAGTGTAATCGTGTCATTCGTCGAAAAGACTCGGTATACCCAAATGAAGCCTGCTCGGTGTGTATTTCAATTTTTGTGGCTGTTCGCCGCTTTTCCGTAAGACAATTCGTATGGCATGAGGATAGTTGATGTTTAATGTATATGATAACTGCCTTTCTTTTCCTACAAACGAGCCTTGCAGCTTTTAAATGTATTCGTAAGCTTTGTTAGTGAAGCAACATATGCAATCGGAGACATGAGTAGCCAGTTTTACCAAAGAGTAAACAGTCTTATATGACAAAAGACCATTGAGAGAGGTTAAAAGGTTTATTTACTATATATTCAAACGAAAAACTTCAGTATGCAACTTGAGAAGCAATTCTACTTTGTTATATGTATAGACGAAAACTGAGTAACATTGTTACTTGGTTGATATAATTAGAATTCACCTACCAAACGCGCATGCTCAGTCTTTCAAGAGCATCTATAAAAAATGGCGGAAACAAATCAATTTATGGTATCTGTAGCCAAAATAGATGCTGGAATGGCAATTCTGCTAACACCCTCATTTCACATCATAGAGTTCCCATCGGTTTTGCTGCCGGAAAATGTAAAAGCAGGATCCATTATTGATATGTCCGTGCGCCATAATAAAGAAGAGGAAGCTGCACGTGAAAAGGAATTTGATGATATTCAGAATGAAATCTATGAAGCCTATGGTCAAAATCTTCCTTCAGCACCTGTTTTGAGGCTAAAAAATGTCACCCAAACGAGTATCGTTTTAGAGTGGGATGCTCTACAGTTAGGAACCTCGAGACTAAAAAGTCTCTGTCTTTACAAAAATAATGTTCGTGCTCTAAACATCACCAATTCATTGACGACACAACATGCAAAACTTAGTGGGTTATCTTTGGATACGGAATACGAATTTTCGCTCGTCCTCGACACTACAGCAGGGCGTTTTAGCAGCAAACACATTCCAGTTAAGACCCTCCGAATGATTGATTTGACCGGTATTCAAGTCTGCGTTGGTAACATGATTCCTGAGGAAATGCAAGCTTTGCAAAAATGCATTGAAAGGATTCATGCCAAACCAATTCAAACGAGTGTTCAAATAGATACAACCCATTTCATTTGCTCTTCTGTCGGTGGTCGTGAGTACGAACGCGCAAAGGCCGCTAACATTCCTGTACTTGGTGTTGACTATCTTTTGAAATGTGAGTCAGAAGGAAGACTTGTTAATGTTAGTGGCTTTTACATGGAAAACCGTTCTGGAGGTTCTTCATCTGTAAATATTAGTCATGTAAATGATGGTACCACGCAAACCCCGGTCGCTCAAAACCTTGAAAAACCACCTGGCAATCCTACCTCTATCGTCGCAAATATAGCAGAACCTGAAGCCCCTGTGGATCAACCTAAGGAAGATCTTCCTAAAACGCAACCCGAAGTTCCGGCCAATGAGCATGCAACGAAACAACAGAAAGAGCAGGGAGAAACACAGGTGAAGGATGAAACAGGCATTTCTTCTAAGGAACCCTCTAGCTCTACGAATCCAGGAAATTCTGCTGAGCAGTCTGTCGATGTATCCAGTGATATCGTTCCACCTAATAAGACTCTCAATAAGTCTCAAAGCACAGTTCCTAATAGTGCAAATGAGGAAGGAAAGATCAGCAATAAAGACGAGTCGAATGATGCCAACGTAAAGGAATATGAGCAGTCCAAGCAAGGTGCTGTTTCACGAAACAATATGGAACCTATTCAAGAAGGCGATGAACCTGATTCCACGATGAAAAACAGTACGATTGTGAACCCAGATGTTGGTGAGCGTGAGGCTTTGGTCGGACAAGAAGAATCAGCAGGTCCTTCTAACGAAGTTGACGAAGGGAATAATGTTGAAGCAAACGTTAACAACCAGATACAGGAAAGTGCTTCTTTGAAGGACGATGATGATCCAAAGCCTGCTGAAGAAACTGCTGATGAGAAGGACAGCGTGAAAAAAGCAAAGCAGGAGGAAGATACGAATGTGGATAATGAAAACAGAAACTTAAATAAAGAAACTGAAAATGAAAACCAAGTTAATGACAATCATGATTCGTCTACGGGAGAAAGGACATCTGAAGATGCAGTTGAACCTCAAGCTAAGTTAGATCCATCAGAAGAATTCGAAAGTGTGAATCTTGGTTAAGGATTTTAATGTTATTTTGCTTTCAAGCTATATTTATGCATTTTCTGGGTTTTAACATTCTACGAGTATTCTCCATTTTTCCGATCTTTTGATTAAAGGCACACGTACTCCGTTTTGGACGGTGACCGTTTGATAGCCTCGCAGTCGTCTAGTCCATGGTAACACATCTAAATAGATATTGTTAGTATTCGAATTCATGCCAAGTTAATTTCTTTTTTATTTTTTCTTTTATCTTTGACAATGGCTGCGTTCCATCGTATTAAACACACCATTTCCAACATGATAAAAGCTTGTTTTCGCGTACAATAGTGTATCCGAAACTCTGAGTTTGGTACTTCTTCCACACTAATTAATGACTCTTCTTTCCCCCCTTTACTTAACAAGGCATAATGCCATACATTAGGAAACGTAGTATAGAGTTGCTGGATACCACTGAAGGTTATTTGAAGAAGTGTTCGTTTCAAGAACTGTGCGTCCTTACAAGAAGGATCAGTACAAACTGGGATTTGAGTATAAATGGCTAACTGGGTCAAGTACTTTTCACCGTCTTGTTCGAACGCGATTAAAGTCGTAGTTAAAAAGTACATGTTTGATTTTTATAGACTCTATTGTTTAATGTCTTGTTTTTCTTGTTGTTTCATGAAATTTACGCGTCGAACTAAAGTACGTGTCGGTAAAGGATTGAACAAAGGAATATGGTGTTGGACTATAATGGGAACAAACGCGATTTGGCAGTTTTCCGTTTGTCTTATGTTTTTATACAAAAAATAGTAGAAAGATAGTAAATTAAAAATAACCAGAAGAATTCTGCCTTGCAAAAGGTACCTATTCAAATACCATGTACAGCTTTGTTTACTTATTCAACAAAGATCTACAGTGCATGCATGATCTACGTTAAGGTTATCTAAGCGAAAACGTCATTTGATTTTATAAGATCTAAAATTCAAAATTATATATTTATGTTGACACACAATTATTTACGTTCTTGAAAGAGGAGAAACCTTCAAATTTCATATATCAACGGATTCAACTTTATTGTTCTCTTATTTTAACACGGAAACTACGAATGATGATTTCAGCTTGAGAAATTTACTCTCTTAAAATTACATTCACAAAAACCAAATTTTAAATTCCAAACAATTCATCTAAGGAGGAAAGGACGTAAGTAGATACAGAAAGCTTGAGATGGGAGGCGGGTTAGCATTCTTAGCAAAAAAAGTTCCTGACTGAAAGGACCTGACAAAACGAAAGAAAACAGAAAAAAAGCCAAGTAATGAATAGTATGAATCTCTTCAGTATGGGTAGCCATTCTTTTCAAAGGCGCTTCTTCCATTGAAGGTTTTCAAGTTTGCTTCATGCAATCATGCTTCTTAGCAGAACCAGTGTATGACTGAATTTTCATTCATATTTTTCTCAGTTTCTTCCTAAAAGAGCTTCCTTTTTTCCTTTTAAGGAATCTATCCTGTTTCTACTTCTATTTTCCAACGATTGTTACCTTAATGCTGTCACCTCTAAGTTTACGAAGAGAGATCATCAAATCTTCCAAGAATTCTAAACGTTCGTTCCACCACCATCGTCTTCTTATTAAGTGGACGACACCGTGGTTTTTTGTGAATTTACATAGTTGAGGCAACCTTTCTTTTGTTTCGGAAACGGTTTCTTCTGTTTTCTAATTCCTTGATAAATTCCTCACTTCCCGGTTTTGTAAATATATGTCCACAGACATTGGTCGATCGCATTGTTAAAGCGTAGTAGCATGCCCGAGCAGTCTTCTCTTCCTCACCCGTCTCTTATGTCTACTGAATACTCGCTTCCCGTTCTTTCAACTGCTTATCCCGAACTTGAAAACAAACATGCGTTGAAATCTCCCTCATGGGATACTTCAAAAGCTCCCAATGGTTCGAAACTAAAGGATAGCTCCATTCCTTATTTTCCTTCTTCGATTGCTGCTTCTGACGGCTATGCTGGATACGGTGCTTTTGGGAATCGTTCTAACAGCTTGTCGCGTAATTCTAATCTTGCTGGCTATTCTTTCGCAACTCCTACGTTCGCTCCCTATCAATTTCTTAGTTCCTCTTCATCCTCGTTGGTTCCTCAGACGACTCCCACTTCCTCAATGTCGTCGGCTTCCGGAACCATTGCACCACCTGTTCTTTCAAATGGACTAGGATCTACTTGTTTAACAGCTCCTGCTGCCCCCGCTTCTTCTGGTCCTTCTTCCTCTAGATTTGGATCAAAGCATTTGTCATCATCCATCCTACAAATGAACACTACACTGGATGATATTCCTGTTCTTTTAAGGCGCCCAAATTTATCGTCTTATCCGTCATCATCTCCTTCTTCAAACCAAGGATCCAGAAGAAGTCTTTCCATGTCAAACTCTAATATAAAAAAATCTATATCTACGCCTTTTGCCTCAAACTCCGTTGGTGCTCCGTCCCCTGCAAACGCCCATAGGCTTTCGACTCCTACTTTGAGTCCACGCCTTAATCCCGTAACTTCCGCAAATACTGCATCTGTCTATCCAGGGGATCCGACCTCTTTTCCACCCTCAAAAACTCCATCTTCTTTCCAGTCATTACGTTCTTCAGGATCACCGTTCCTGGCTGATACGTTTACTCCTTCCTTAACTGCTTCTTTTACCTCGACAGCCAGTTCTGGAAGTAACGATAGTGCTCCTCCTCTTCCCCCTAATTCTTTAGGGGTACCGGCAGCAGGAATTCCATCCACTTTATTAGATCCTTCTGGATTGTGTGTTCCTGCTTACATGCCAGAGGAACCGAACGTTCAACCGGCTGTATCTTCTACCCTTGCTCCTTTTTCGTTTCCGTCTAATAACATTCTTTCATTTTGCAAGGATCAGCATGGTTGTCGATACTTGCAACGACTTTTAGAAAAGAAAAATCCCGTATATGTTAATGTCGTTTTTAACGAAACACAAGCTTATCTTCCTGTTTTAATGGTTGACGCATTTGGCAATTATCTTTGCCAAAAATTGTTCGAACATGTATCGGATGCCCAACGTTCCGTTTTCATTCAGATAATAGCACCAAAATTGGTCCCCATCTCTTTCAATATGCACGGAACAAGGGCCCTTCAAAAAATCATTGATTTGGTTTCTTCTCCAGATCAGGTTTCATGCATAGTGGATGCACTCAGACCAAACGTTGTAATGCTTACTAAAGATTTGAATGGAAACCATGTTATTCAAAAATGCCTAAATAAATTTTCTCATGAAGATTGTCAGGTAAGTTATCTGAAGTAGAAATCGCACTTTTTAACAATTTACTAGTTTATTTTCGATGCAATTTGCAATGATCCAGTCGATGTATCGACTCATAGACACGGTTGTTGTGTAGTACAACGTTGTTTTGACCACGCTTCGCCAACTCAAATTGAACAACTTGTTCAACACATTATACCTCACGCCTTGCTTCTTGTCCAAGATGCTTTTGGAAACTATGTGTTGCAATACGTCTTGGAACTTAATAATCCTTCACATACTGAAACGATTGTCAATTACTTTATTAATAAAGTCCGTGTTTTGTCTACACAAAAATTTAGCTCTAATGTTATAGAAAAGGTACGATTGGAACTTTGAAGTTTTTGCTAATAAGGCATTTTAGTGTATATTTTACTCACCTTCCCCTTTAAAGGAGAAGTTGATTGCTGAATTGATGGATGAAAAGTTCTTAGTTAAAATGCTTAAGGATTCTTTTGCGAATTATGTTATCCAGACTGCCATTGATAACGCCGAACCGAAGCAACGTATTCAGTTGGCAGAACGCATAAAGCCGCTTATACCTAACATTAAAAACACACCCTGTGGTCGCCGTATCATTTCAAAATTAGAACGTCAGCGCCCCAATTTAAAGGAAAAAGAATAACCTTACCTGTACCATAATACTAAAAAGTTTCAAAGCAACCCTTAAATGTTGGTTTGTTTCTTTTTATTGTTTTCTATTCCAATTAGAAGAAGGCATTTCGTACTGAAATTCGCTCTTTATTTATTACCTTGGCATAGAAGCGCATCACCTGTCGCTTATTTGTATTTCTAGTTTAAAGGACGGTTATGTCTTATTTGATATCTCACGATTGTTTATTAGTTTCTAATTTTCTATGTTGAGTCATTTGAACACTTCTACCGAAGATACCAAAACATACAGAGTTTATACCTAGCAAATCTCTTGCTCTAAAAATTAAATGTATTCTATAATTATTTTTAATAAAATAAAAACAATTCATTGAATTAATCTACTAATAAAAAAACGATAGATTGAGACCTTAACGAAAACCAATTATCAGTATAACTTAACAATATTAACACAAGGGGTTGTTTTTTTCTAGAGAACGTAAAAGAGAAATATCTGAATTATTTATTTTTGACTTAACTGCAAAACCATGTTGATCTTTAAATTCTGTTATTATATTATACCCAAACTCAACCGAATCGGCAATACTGGTCTGTACACAAAATGGAGGAGAGAGATTTGTGAGATTAGATTCATGAAATTTTTTATAGGTAATGGGAAGCCCTTTCAGTGAATCGTCGCTAAACAAGTGAGAGCATTGCTTCATCGCAGCTAGATACCGCTTATAGGAATCATGTAAGCGAACAGCATTCTCGCAAAGGTTTCTAACATTTCCAGTAGAATTTTTCGAAATTATTTCTGAATTGTTGTGTCGAATGTCTTTCATAAGGAAATGTTGCAAGTGGTGCATACGAAGAAGTTCAATGTTAAATATTTCTCGGAAAGCAATTCCAAGATAACCAAGGAAAAGACCTTGAAAAATGGGTTCCAGAGACACATTTTCAGAACGTAGAAAGAATTCAATATAGGCAGGTAATGTTCTCCAATTGCTGGTTGTAGCAGGTTGATTTTTTGTAACGTTAGATACATTCTGAAAATGGAAAGCGATCACATAACATAAAACAGCATCAATAGCGAAGAGAAATGAGTACTTTTCTTTTTTATCTGCCAGCTTCTTCTGAAATTTACCATCAGCAAGGAGTCTAATAAAATTTTGTTTTAAGAGTTCGAAATCCGGTTGATTTTGTACAAGAGGCATTGAGGGACTGGCAGAGCTAGCTGAAATTGCTGAACTTCCGAGGCTACCACTTTCCTTGTTTTGTATTTTGATCCGTCTATAATCCTCCAAAGTTACTTTGGCTTTTCGTTTCGAGACCGGGTGGTCTGTAGCAGAATTATTTTTCAGATTATCACCAATAGAAGATTCAGTAGAGCCACGACTTACTAGTTTTTCTTTTTCAATCGGATAATCAGTTTTTCCAGCTGGTACTTCCGATGTGTGAGAAGTCTCTTCCTCGGGAACAGTTACTTCGAGCTCTGTATCATTTTTATATGTGGACTCCTTGGAAGACCCTTTTTCATGTAATTTTTGTTCTGCCTGGGAATGTGTAGGAATGTTTTTCGTTGTAAAGCTGCCGAAATCAGAAACAATAGCGTCTGAATTCTGTTTGGATTCATAATCTAGGTCAAACACAAAAGGTGAAGGAAGTGTTGGGCTTAGAAGATTGGGCAAGGCATTGTATGTCTCATCTTTCGTACGCCCTAAATGTAGATCAGGGAGGGTGGGAGTAATTGGAGAAGGTAAATAAAATTGACCTTGTTTATATTGCGAAGGTGGAGTTAGAAACTCTATATCAGAGTTCCTGTTCGCTTCATTGATATCTGGAAGAGTAGGATGTGTACTCCTTTGCACAGATTTTCGATTCGAGCTGGGATGAGAATTCATTTCAATTCTTATGAGTTAAAATATCAAAGAAAAATAAGAAAACGGATTTATGCTCGTAGAATCAGAAAATGGACCTACGACAGCACCAATCTTTCGTAACAAGAGGCAGCAAATTAAAAAGCATACACCGGGAAGTTTATACGTAGCTTTCAGAGTAAATTGTAAAACTTCGGTGGAAAGAGATGCAACATTACAGAAAAACAGTCGCAGAAGGTTAATGCTCGTTTCCCAAAAGTAACTTTTGAGGTTTGAAAGCTGACGGATGAAATGGCTATTCTCGTCCAAAATGTTGAGAACAATGCAGAAGTACGAAATTTAAAACATAAAGGGTCAATGGTTTCGAATGGATTCTTTGAAATGCAAACACTTTGGTACAATGCATTGGAATTCGTTAGTAAACACCAACAAAATATAGAAGAAACATTACGTTTGAAGCTAACAAGTAAATGCATAAGAGAAAGTATATAGATTATACTCTTTGAAAATATATTACTCTGATTCGGTTTCACTGCTTTCTCCAGATGTTTTATCTGCTTCATGTGTCTCAAACTCCTCAGATGCTTCTTGTTGGCTATGTTGACTCTCTGAAGAAGAGGGAGAGTGGATGGATGGAGATTCTCGTTTCACAAGCGGTGTAGAGCCTATAGAGGAAGTATTCAAGTCTTCATCGTATTCCTCTTCTTTCGAGGACCCACTTTGCTCTCCAGCTTCCTTCTTTTTGGCATTCCGAATCAATTCTTGAAATTTGAGCAATAAAAATCGCTCTTTCATACGAAATTCCTCTTCTAATTCGCGAGCATGTTGAACCACCTGTATCATTTCTTCTTCTTGATGAGCTAGTCGAGCAAAGGCAACATCCTAAAAAAATTATTATGTCAGTTTTAAGAGCTAAAGGATTCCAGATCTATTACTTGGATAACATTACTGCATTCCCAAAACGAGGAAAATAACATTTTTGGATCAAGCGCTTTCTTGGCTAATTCAAACCAAGCAATCCGTAAAGGAAATGGATCGATTACTAGGATGTAAATCTAAGCAATTGTTAGTAAAGAAATTTTGAAAGCTGAACAGCATTATCCAGGAACTCACTCGGCAGAGATCTTCTAGTAATACGGGTTGCAGTTTAAATTTGGGATCTGATACTCCGGAAAGTAATTTCTCAATTAAATCTGGAGTTAAGGACTCGACAGTTCGGTTGGATTGCAATTGTTGAAACTGGTGTTTTTTGTCTACCATAATTGTATTAAACCTGTACTTTGCTTTCATAGTAAATCCAGCATTGCATACCTTGTAAAACAAACTTACTGTCTAAGCTCATGACAGTCAAAACTACTGAAGAATCATCTTCAAAATTCGTGATAAGGATCAACGGCTCATCCTTGGAATCTCGCAATGCTACAAAATATTTCATTCGTAATGAAGGTCATGAACGTCGCAGGAGAATTAGAGAAATGAATTTAATAAATTATTTTAAAGTGCTAGAATCCTTTTCCTCAAAACAGTATATTTAAGTGGTTGTATTTCAGCTTTGCAGGATGCTGAAAGAGCATAAAATAATGGAAGAACAATAAATCTGGTATTCCAATGGAAGCAATTCCAAAGAAAAAAAAAGGAAAATAAGACTTACTCTCAGATTTGTTATGAGTAGCAAGTATTAGTATAACATACATACTTACGCAAACCCTTCAATGGAGCTTTATCGTGTTAAAGGTGTTATCGAGGATATCGCCTACTAATATCGTGCTAAGATTATCTGCTGGAATTTTACTCTACATTCCTTCGATCATTAATATATATTAGTATAGAAGCGACTTCTTACTCTTTAATAAAGCGAACATCTTTCTTTGAAATTGCGCACATAAATTCATATATTGTTTTCGTTTTCTTTTCAGTCGCATACTGCCCGAACCAAATCCTTGGATGAAACGATCAGCAAGGAAAAAACTGATCCTTGCTCATCTCCTATAAAAAAGAAAACAATATAGCTCCTAAAATTTTGATGAAAGCAAAATAAAAAGAAAGCAACTTTGTATGATTTGGTAAGTGACGACAAGTGTCACCTCAAGTAGTAGCTAAAAATTTCAAAGGCCGTACATACGCTGCTACTTTACTTGCACTCCGCCAAAGAGATACGAATATGCTATGTCTGAGATATTTTATTCCCATGCTTCTAGTTGCTAATGCAGCACCTTACATATTCTATCCAGTGTTCATTCTAGCTACAATTGCTCGAAAATATCCTTGGTAAGTATATGCATAACTTATGAAATCAAAGACAACTATGACTCGAAGTCACGTTTTATAAATGCTAACGAAGAGGAAAGTCCTTATTGCATGATTATTTTAGCCATTTTAATCAATACGAGAAGCCTGTGGAGTGACTCATCTTTTTTTACATTTAGTCGATACATTTTTGACCCAAAGCCTTTTCCCAAAGAATTCAGTGAGGCCGGCTATAGGCTAATTCGACTTTCCTGGTTACAGTGGATTTCTGGTATACGTACGATTCACGTTCCATGGCTCGATGTTACCGTCAAAATGTAACAGATGGTGCGTGACTTAAAAAAAGCATGTTGAAAAATCCCTATTTGGATGTGAAAATCAGAAAAAAAAAAACTAATTACATTTTAAATTTTTTGTCCTTTTATTTAATAACAACCCTCCCTCCCTTTTGGGTATAAGATTTCCCTACACATAAAAACCTTTTTATATATTTGGATTTCCCTAAATTGAAACTGGCTCTAATAGTTTATACATTTGCGTGTTCTTAGTAACTTCATCTGTACATACTCGTTAAGGCAAAAATCTTTTATTTGTTCCTTTCCATTAAACAAAACCGTTGTCCCCCGATGTCATAATAAGTCGCCCCTATAAATACCTTATTGAGAATGTGTCGAATGAGACACATCTTTATTTCCGTTTATTGAGTCTTTTATACAAGTCGAATCCAGATCCTTGGTTAATATTGCGCTTGGATTTATTTGCTACCTGAATTCTGGAGTCCTCATCTTCCTCTTCGCCCTCATCAACGGCGTCATTCTCTTGACCTTTCAATGTATCTCTTTCTGTTTCTCTCTTCCTCTTTTGAGAAGATTGTTCTGTTCCTGCATTGCTTTTCACTGACTCTTTCTTTTGCAATTGTCGTTCAATTTTTTTCCTCAGTGTAGCTGGAAGGCTTTTCAAACGCTCATTCTTGAAAGCAAATTGGGAATTGGCAGAGGATTCCTTGGCCATGGCTCCCAATCCTAAGCGCGACGGTCTTGCTTGTAATTTGACTTCTTCATTGGAACCTTCATTATCGATTGAATGAGCTTCTTCTCCTAACCAGGAGCGGATTATATTTCTAGAAATGCCTATTGATGACTGAAACTGATTGGAAAGCACCGATGCATCTTTTTTTTGTTCCATTTTAAACACACGTATGTTTGTTCTGTGTCGACAGTTCTGTCTTTCTTGTCTTTTAAAGGGTATAAGGAGGGCTAACGAAATTTATGAGAAATGTTTCTATTCCTTGTAATTTATAGAAGTAAGTAAAAACGAAAATGGTTGGAACAACGTTTGTAAAAAAAGCCTTGGGTATTGCATAACTTGGAAACGATGTTCAGACCAAAACTATAGAGTATGTTAAAGGAAATGTTTCATTGTAATATTACAACTAGGCGTTAAATAAAATATGGATTACACATAGCACTATACAGGGAATACAAAAAAGAGCGAGTAATTTTCCGTAATAATGTACAAAAAGTAGAACTTTTAAGCAGCAGGAAGAAGGGTACCGATCTTTTCTGCAATTTGCGTAAGGGAATGATGCAAAGCAATTTTCTGAGCTGCCAATATGCTAGGTGTTCTTCTTAAGGACTTTGTTAATTCCAGAACACGTTCAAGCTTTTCTTCCGTACAGGCCTTTTGAATTAATTGCAATAAAGCTTTGTCAATATTAGCTTCAAGCTTAGTTACTTGCAGCTGTTGTTCTTGACTAACATTCCCTTCGTCAATTGCTTCTTCGGTTAAGGTCAACAAAATTACGTTTCGAAGCTGCAATTCTTCTAAAGAAGGAACAGAAGTAGGAGCATCAGGAGTCATTACAGTGCAAGGAATCCGGAATGGAAATTCGGTAAACATAGGACGAGGGAAGTAAGGATAACGAGCACTTCCCTTTAGTAGAATGCAATGGAACTGATTATCTGCAACTGTTACAGGCCAATAGGACTCTTGTCTCGATTTACGTCTTTCCAATTCATTTGTGTCTAGCACAGGTACCCATTTAGCCTGACCAGGAGTTCTCCAATGAAGCAAGGCCAAGAGAACACCATCTGAATCATACATGTATGGATCGCCCACATCTGAAAAGAAAATGCTTAAAAGCTCGCCTGCAGGTGGGAGAGCCAATCCATCATTGGATTGATAGACATAATTCTTGCTTATGTCTTCAATTGTATAGACCAATTGAGGAGTCCCATCAGCAGCGGCACCGCCGTTCGCAACTATCAGAACAAGGTCTTTATAAGCAGAACAAGCAACAAAGGGTAGTTGCTTACTCCTATAAATACTTATAGGAAATCCCGTGCGAGAATAAATACGCACATAACCGCTAGTTGTACAAACAACAACTACACTAGAGCTTAGTGCTATGCTAATGGGACTTTCATCTTCCATCGGAAGCATCAATGCCCATTCAGATCGCCGAGACCAATCGACATGAGGTTTGTAGTATATAACACCTGGTGATTGCTCAGTAGCTGGAGCAGAAAACAAGGCTCCTTCCTCATCCAAACAAGCCAGTTCAAACCTTTGGTCATCTGGAAAATGATATTTTCGGTGATTTGACTCATCATGAAATTCGACGGTAATAGTATTATGGCCGTCGTCCTGTTGAACGGTCCATATACATCCTACCAAATTCAGACATAAATAGCGTCTGTTTCCTTGCCACGGTGTACTTCCAGCATATACTGGCTTATGGACAGCAAACTGCAGTAGGCGACGCTTCCTTGCACCGTCTTCAAAGGAAACGGGTTGATGGCCATGTATGGGACGCGCCTTCCTTTTCTTAGCTACTTCTAACTCATCTTCATTTACCATGTAACTATCACCATCCAAATCCAAGGGGTCATCCAAAGCATTTTCGTTAAAATCGCCGAAATCTTCTTCGCCGTTTGTGATATCAGCAGCAGCAGCAGCATTTTCGTTAGTATTTTGGTTTCTATATAACTCTTCTTCGTCTTCATCCAAAATAACGCGTTTCTTATGACCATTCGTGAGCTGAGTGCTTTTTTGAAAGTCGGCTTCAGTAATGGATCCTGAAAAAGGAATTACTTCCGGACAATTGTAAAGAACGCCTTGATTTGTAGTGAAAGACAACACATTAGCAAAAGGCTGCCAAGCCAAAGCAACCACGTTCGAGTAATGATGTTCAGAGACTATTTCCTTAGATAGAGTATCCCATATGAGTATACCCTTATCGCGGAAAGAAGCAGCCAGAAAACGACCATTGCTTGACCAAGCGATATCTGTTATAGAAGAGTAGTTTTCTTTTGGAGTTAGCTTGTAGAGAGCAAGCCAATCATCAGTAGATAATATAGCTACCTGATTTTCAGAATTGGCTACAGCAAATGTACCATCAGAGGGGTGCCAAATTGCTTTGCTAGTGAGGTCGGAATCGCCTTCAACGGACAAGATTGTGTTTGTTAAAAATTTTAAAAGACTTCTGGACTGATTATCGTAAAAATAAAGAATACCATTGCAGCTGGATATGGCAAGAAACTTTTCATTTGGACTGAATGACACATGTTTGTTTGAAGTTTTGGAAGGACGTAAAGAATGAATTTGCGTTGGTTCTTTCGTATTGACAAGCTTTACTGCTGTTTCACTGTCATCGTTAGTTTCCTCCAAATTAGCATTCAAAGATGTCGATAAATTTAAGGCATTACTTACTCACTGGCAATAGCAATCCAATCTCCATCGATAGAATATGCAATGTCACGCACTGGAAGTGTTGTCCTTGCTAACAGGGTATGTTCTGAAGAGTTATTAATGGGATATATGCAGATAGTTGCATCCTCAGAACAGGTACAAAAGTGGGTTTTCTGAAAACACATGATTAGATAATATGTACCAAAAAGTAAAATAAACAAATAAAAACCATACAGAAACAGCAATCCCAGTTATGGGATCTTGATGATTGTCTATGGATTCAGGTTCTTCGTCAGAACCGACCTGAAACTTTCGAATTACCAAATTGGATCCAACGGTAAGTAAAAAGGTACCATCTACTGTATACGCAAGCCTGGTTAGTCCGTCAGTATGCGCATATCGAGGCACCAGCCGATTTCCTGCCATTGTAGCAGACGAAGAAAATCAACCCTTAGTGGAATCGTTAATGAGAGCATCGTTCCAGCTCTTTAGTCAACAACGAAGACGAATCCTTAAAAAAGGGAACAGGAACGCATGATAATGTCGAAGAATTCTAATATTATTAACTGCAGCTTTAAATTATTACTCTGCTGTGGATTGTAGCTTGTGCGACTGAAAAAGGATCCTACAATGCTTTAAAAGAAATTGCAGACAGCTAGATAGCATTCAAACACAGAAAGGTGAGGTTCGCAAAATGGATGAAAACGATTCATGAAGTCTTTCTATACGGAAAATGTAGAAGCGCTCCTATGTTGACATTCAATCCATACTCGGCTCATGTTATTAGACACCCTAATACCTCTACAGACATTCCAAGGAAAGGGAAAGGCCTTTATAGCTCAATTGGTATAAAGAACCAGTAGTCAGAGGCACAATTGAATGATGCTTTTGCGTTTGTTTACTAAGGCAGGATTTTCTTTTAATACCGCTGCGTTAACCAAGTTAAAGTATTTTAGCATCGCTTCGTTATTTGTTTTTCGAGGTTTTGTTACCAAATTCCTTTTTACCATAAACACTACTGAAGCAATTTGCATGTTTGAGTCGTAGTAGATGCAAGGATGTCACAGTATGCAGTAGGGCTGTGCGAAATCCTGGTAGACGAGTTTTTTGGAGAATGCTGCTCGGTATGTTAGAGTGGAAAGCAAAGATTGATGACTGTTCGTGCAGAAGCTGACTAGATGGATGTAACTAGGAAATAGCAAGCATTTTACTTCGTCATGGACGAATGAATTTACCTATGATTCTGAAACGAACGAATCTTCCTGGGTCAAAAATCCGACAGGCTCTTGCAAGTTTAATGCAGCACCATATGGTCTTGTTTGTTACGGCCATTGAACAGCTTCGAGAAGTTACTTACTATGAAGCACAATGGCAAGAAATGTATAATTTAATAAGGAAAGGAAAGGACGTTTATTTAGTTTCGCAAAAATTAAATCAGGAATCAGCATCTATCGCTAAATATGTGAGTACACAGGGCCGTGCGCGTGTGCAAGATGTATACAGTGCATTTGGAAAGAGTCCAGATGATACAGACGAGGAGAATAGGTTGCTACAACAAAATATTACTGACCTGATTTATCTTAAATATCTTGTGGTTGTACAGCCTCGACATTTAATTCCGGTTGGTGACCAGGAAATGCAACTCCGTATTAAATATCTTGAGCAGCGTAAGTCAGAAAATGTTTCTGAAATCAAGAAAAATCGTGAAGTTAATGACTCTGTCTCGCTGGAAATGGCCCAGCTCCGATCAAGCGACATGGCGGAAAATCAAGGTCTTATAAGAAAACCCAAAGATTCGATTCCCAGGCCGACGAAAAGAAAACGAAGAAACGTTACTACTTCTTCAATGACGGGGGATCTTAATGAAGTTTTGGACGATGAGAATAGTATTCTGCTTCCAGATCCGGCTGCACATGTACGTGTAAATCGTGCGAAATTCTCGTTTTTAGCAAGAAACCAAAGACTTGTCCATTGGGTAGAACGTCGCATTGGAAAAACGGCTGCTATCATATATTCTCATCTATTAGCATCCCTGGAGTCTAAATTTGTAGGCTCTCCGTCTCCTGCTACTGGTATGCAAAATTCAATTCATTTATTTTATGGATAAAAATCTCGAGTGCTAACGTTGTATAGTTTTGACTATCACTACCATGGAACTTACAAGAAACTTTCCCAAAGACATTGACATTGAGTCTTGTTTTGCAAAAAGCTCAAACGTTAGGAAGCCCTCTGCAAAAGCTGCATTTGATCAACTGGATGAGGAGTTAGAAGTGGAAGATGAGGAAGATGAGGATTATGAAGAAAATATCGATGACGAAAGCAATAGTAAAAGCAAGGTTTTGGCACAGCATTTGGAGTTATTAGCTGATAGTTCCCTGAAATTTATTACAAGAGTCGGTAACAGGGGCATGGGTGAATGGAAAATAGACTTTGTTTATTTAACAAATATGCTTCGTTCTGTAGAATTTGAAAATATTTTAGATGAAAAACTGGGTGACAGAGCAACTAGACTATTACGAATTATAAAGGATAAAGGAAAAATTGAGGAAAAGCAACTAGCAAATATAGCCTTACTACGGCAAAAAGATCTACGAACAGTCCTTCAATCAATGGCTGAAATGGGAGCATTAGAATTACAAGAAGTCCCAAGGAGCTCGGATCGTGCTCCTTCAAAGACTTTTTATCTCTGGTTTCACCGGTCAGAACGGGCTTATTCTATCTTTTTGGATCACTTGTATGAAGTAATTGCAAGAATGTTTCATCGACTTCGTGACGAACGGGCTCAAAGGTCGCAACTAATAGACAAGGCTGAGCGTATCGATATTAAAGGGAAAGAAGAAGAGTACCTGCAAAAGTTCGAACAAGTCGAGTTGAAAAAGTTACGCTCATATGAGGAAAAGCTGTTATTGCAGGCTTCTCGTTTGGACGAATTAATTTTAATTTTTAAGGACGATTAATAAAATGTATTTTTTTGAGGGTAAATTTTCAAACAAATAAAGAAAACCTATTATTAAGTAAAACAGTTCTTATAGTATTGAAATTATTAAATATCCCTAAAGTAACTAACGAAATAAATGACAAGTAAAAGGATCTATTGACATGCACGGGAACAGTAAAATATTCTATATATGAATTAAATTGTGACGGATGTTTTAGTGACAAAGGTGTTCCATGTGTCGGACGGCAGCGGACTGGAAGTAGCTTTGATATCCATATTGCGTTTTTTATAGGCATTTCCAGATGGCATCAAAACTGAAAATCCATTGATATTCGACCAAGCAAACCCATCAGGTACGCTGAAAGTAGATAAAGCGGTCAAATACCACTTGTCAGCCGTATTCACATTCGGGTCTACGCTGTTGCTAGTAACAATGGACATCGAACTAGATGCTGTTGTAGATGCTTCTGAAGAAAAGCTGCTAGTGGATACAGATTCAGCCGACGAAGCATCAGTAAATGAGCTACTTGCTTGTTCCCAAGATGACGAAGTGAATGATGGAGTATATGAACTAGGAACAGGAGTTTCTGAAGACCAAGTACTAGAGGATGGAATATAGGAATTCGAAGAAGAAGTCACCGTAGGCCAGCTACTGGTGGATGGGTTATATGAACTAGAAACGGGAGTTTCTGAAGACCAAGTACTAGAGGATGGAACATAGGAATTCGA